TCAAGTCTCTCTCTCTCTTTCTCATATGGCTTTCTATCTCCCCATCCATCCCACCCAGTCTCTCTGATTTTTCCTGTCTGATTTCCTTCTCGTACACTTCCAATTTTTCTATTGCGCCTGTCATCTTGCGTTTGTGACTAGCGATCCTATCTCCTGTACCTTTATTACAGCAGTCATTCTGATTTTAATTATTTTGCTCTCACACATATTTTGCTGCAAGAAAAAACACGAATACGCTACAAGATTTCCAATTTCCACAAGGTTTCCATCAGGATTATGTCATTTTAATTATGTTAACCAGTTGTTCCATTTTACATTGTTTTTATGATGGCAGTCAACAAGTTCATCTATGGATGCTACTCAGAGTTCAACCACTCTAGATTATGGAAGTGGTTAATTATTTCTCTGTAGCACAGGATAGTCAGTGCTGTTCAGACTTCTGTATCAATGAATGGGTTAACTAGTAAAAAGCTGTTACACATCTGTTGGTGACTATAAATGGGGTTAATTTGTGCTCTGCTGTTCCATCTGGCAAGGTAGTCTGCCTCTCTCGGTACGGGGTTAATTAACTCTCTGCAGGTCTTAGGTACAGAATTATTCTTTTTTTTTTTTTCTTTTTTTTTGTGCGCAAGTTTTGTAGGCTTTTAAAGGACGCAGTATGCTTGTGCAAGAACATACAAATAGTCGTAGATATAAATATACGGCATACACAATGAAATAAGAATTGTAACATTTCATGAAATACAATGTGTGCACAGTGTGATAATAAACCATGGATAGCACCTTGTTCTAAATTGACACATGTGTAAGAAAAGGCATTTATACACTGGTTGGGAACAATGCATAGAGACGGTGATATTCTCCCTGCTTGTAGCGGCCATACTATGCCTGTATATATCAGGAGATCATATTTTTGTCTAGAGACAGTGTGTCGACACCTCACTCTCTTAACACACCGTTAGAAAGTAATTGCATTGATTTTTCCATCCTTCTTCACCTCCCCCTCTCTGCTGTCTTTCTGGACATCCTTGTGCTTCTCCCCAGATATAATCCTACAATCGCCTTTCCCTTCTCTCTTCTGTCTCTCTTTCTATCCTGATGCTTTGAAATTTTATTTTTTGCATTTCACCTGTACTCTTCTGTTTCTGTTTCAACTGTCTCTCTCAGCACATTCATTGCTCTCTCATTTTATTGCCTTTGGATATTGTGTGTTGTCTCTGCAATCCCTTTGCTATCACCTACAGACCTTCTGATGTCCCTCTTGATATCATTACTTTTCGGTGTTTTATCTTTGTTCCCCCCCTGGGTGTTCTACAGATCTCTTCTGTCTTTCCTTTTGTCTTCATTTTTGTTCCTCCTGGCTAGCCTCTTTCATGTCTATACTGTGTTTCTTGCATCTATACTGCACATCAACACATCCTCATGGGGCTTATACACGCTAGATGTGCCATGATTAGTCTGTGATGCATTCTGAGATGTATGTTCTGCTTTATAGAACAGATTATACGTTGGCTAAACAATGAGTAGACCATATAAAAAGAATGTATATTTATAAGCCCTCCAAAAATAACATAAGAATAGAATATTTCATCTTTAGCCCTAGTGGTCAGTAGCTCTGCATTCATATACTGTCTTCATTTTACATGTTCCTGAAAGATGTAATTTGTTCCTTCTATCTTCTTCTCCATATATAATGGGGGATGGTTTTGAACATAATTCCCAATGACAAGGCAATCATAGTATACTGCAACAATGAATAACTGATATACTTCCCACTTCTCATCTATAGTGTACGCCACAAATATGTCCAGCCAGTAGTATATACCGGTATACTGCCATTTAATAAATGAAAAGCTGCTGTGTAAATGTTTCGTTTCATCTGGATCACGTGAACAATGTCTTATCAGTACTGTAAGAGTGGGTACTATTATATAGTAACCAGTCTAGTAAAATGGAAGATATAAACATACAATTGGCTGCATAGAATGTTTGAAGTTTTATTGACATACCTGTTTTGGGGGTTTCTGTTTCTATTTTTGTCTCCAACTATGTGGGCCAGAAAAATAGTTTGCATTTTCATTTTACTTTACAAGCTAAATATATCCCCATGCCAGATAGTAATGCTCTTTGATGGGCTGGTTAAGAAATTAATAGCTTAATTTGGGCTGATCGTCATTGCGTTAGTTGGTAGTAATGTTAATTAGCATGGTGCTGGAGGAGTGTTAACTGTTAACTATTATTGTTTTGGATTTTACTGTGAAGGCTTGACTATTTCTTGTTTGTTGTTGTGTTGTCACATTTTTCAATATCTATGCTGGTTGATTGTGGGCTTGTTGGCAACTACATTTTTTTCTACTATTGATTAGTGACTGCTGTGCTTATTGGATGGTTTTATTGGCTTGTTATCAGAGCATTGTCTTGTTTTAGCTGTATTGGCAGGCTATCCCCATGATAGCAGATTATTGATGTATTATGTAGTTTCTGCCTTGTTAGGTAATTATGGCTTTAATGGATGGTTTACATTGTCCTAACTGATTATGGTTGTTTTTGTTGGCTCTGTCGGTATCGGCATGCTTTTCCAGTGATAGATGTTTATTGTGGTGATTGCTGTGTTGGCTGATTATCACCAAGCTGCCTGTTTTGCTTGCTGTTTCATGTGAAAAACAAAACAGTAACGACCTGTTACAGCCACATTAACAGATTAATAACAAATTAATTGTCTGATTGCATTGGTTACTTACGGCCCACTTTTTGTAATATGAGTTGTTTCTGGATATCCCACTGGTGGTTATGGGCTACCATTGTTTTTCCATATTGTCAGACTATCACTGACCTCTGTATAGGCACATAGGTCTATAAAAGTTGTTATTTGATTTATAGGTTTCATGAAACAGGAGAAGTCCTGAAACTTGGAGAACTGTTAAGAGCAAATGAGAAGGTATCTATCCGATTGTTGAACAAACATGGAATCCTGGGGGATGCAGGTTAGTATTGATGTGGAAATATCATTTTGAAGAGTCATGTCTCCTATTTTATCTAAAACGAAGGGCAATTCTAGAGCATCTTGAGGCCTTATGTAGTGTTTTTGGCCTTCATGTCAGTAGTAAGTGCCATTTGTTGTTTAGTGTTTGGTTTTACCTTAAATGAGTATTGCATTTGAGGACCAAGTTGCCTGTAGGGGGTGTTAAGTATATGCATTGGTTGTTGATAATATAATTCACCACTATGTAGTATGGTTAAGAATTTGAATTTACACAGCATTTTATGGGCAGTTGTAAATTTATATATTTCTGCCTGTGATTATGTGAACTGCTATGCTCTGTAGGGGGAGGGGGAGAGGTTTGAGCAATTCTGTATAATAATCATCATTTGAGATAGATATGACATAGCAGCAAAGTAATGAAGATTATGAGTTCTTGGTTTTACCAAGTGTGTTATGTGATATATTATCCTGTGTCATCAGTGCTAATGTTATGGTTGCTTGAAATTTCAGTTAGAGCTGCTTGTCATACACCAGTGTGGGATTGTTGTAGTTGTAGTCATTCCTTAATATGGTGTTGGCTAATTATAAATATATTGGTTTGAGGATTTTTGTAGTGACAGAGCATGGATGAATTAATTTATGTATCTTTTTTGTAGGCCATTAATGATTGCATTGTAAAATAAAATGTTAATGGAGTTCAGCTTACAGTTTGCTTATTGCTGTACCTATTCATCATTGACGCATTATCTAGTTGTCAGAGAATGGTTTTCCTATCACTGTGTGGGCTGCTTTTGTCTGTATACAGTACGTATAATGTGTATGTTGGTTTAGTGTGTTAACACTGTATTGCCTGGTAAACAGCATGCTGTCTTCTTCTTATTATATAGGTCTTGCGTCAGTGCTTGGTTCTCACCAAGATGTCTGACACTGCTTATATTGCTTTGTTAACGTTATATTACCCTGTCAGTACTCTGCATGCTGTATGGTATGATAATATAAATATATCTCTTTGGTTTTGTCTGCGTAATCTGAGTACAGTCCAGCCAGAATTATTATCACTGTGCAGGTAAGCTGCTTTTGCAAGGCTTGCTCTTGGGTTATAGGCCAAGAGCACTTTCTAAGCAATTAGGGAGGCTTTCAATAGTGACAAGAGTTGTAAATTGCAATACTCCTGAATGTGATTGGCTACAGTCACACTTCTCTGAGGATGGCAGCTTAGCCTGGCACTGTGATTGTGCAGAGATGAATTGTGATTTAAGCTGCAATAAGTGGAGCCCTACTCTCTTTCCCATCCTTTGAGTATAGCACCCCCTTTCTTGCACCATTACTTCACCCACACCCTCCTCCACCCCCTCGCTCCCAAGCTTTAGAATGAAATGCTTTAGTTAATAATTTCCATACTCATTAACATGCTAATGTGCTCAGGCTCACAGCTCTTTAATCACCTCAACATCAGACTCTGTGGGGAGCAGAGTTATAAGGACTCCAGGGAGGGGGGAGGAGAGAGACCAGCAGAGCACAAGTTAACCCATTCTTTACATCAGATCAAAACGGAGCACTAACAAATCATTTTAATGGGATAGAGACCAGGCTGGAAACCGTTAACAAATTCCGGATATTAAAGACTAACATTTCACTGATCGAACAGCAGAGCACCAGTTAATCTCATAATTACCAGGAACACGTAGCCTAGCTATTAACCCTAAATCTATTCAGTGACAGAGAGAGAGAGAATGAGTTAGACCAGCATAGTAATGATTAATAATTCTAAATAGTGCAGTGCTTAACACCTTACTTACCATAGAAATATATTGAAAAATAAAAATAAGCACTTTATGCCAAGACTTCCTGGGTCCTGTTTTGCCACTTTCCTGTATGACAGACACACAGAATGTTAATTATTGTATTCCTCTTGCTAAAATATTATTTGATTGGTTTTTTTTTCTCTTACAATATGTTTTTTCTTTTTTTGTTAGGGCCACGTCTGAGATGACTCTTGCATATTCAATGTACAGCCATGGATGCTGGTGAATGCTTCCTCGCCTCTTCCGGGCAGGATGAGAGGAGCCCCTGGCCTCTGGACCTCAATTTATCCCTTTGCCCGTCAGCCACCAAAGATACCCGACTCCTGCCCCCCTCTCCCTCTCCTGATTCCTCTTCCTCTGCTTCCACCACTGGAGGGGGCTACAGTGCTGTTAGCCCATCATCCTCTGTCCTGCAACCATCCCTACTGGCATCTCTCAGCCCTCTTAACCCCACCTATCTGCCAAAGCTCCTACCTCCTACAGAGTCAAACTGTAAAGAGGAAAAGGAAGATGAGGGCGAGGCATTTCTGGGGCATGTCCTTTTCTCCAGCGACAGATCTGTCTACCTCCTGAAAGGAGAGGGGGAAGAGGAGGGAGCTCTTCCTTCCTCAGACTCACCACGGGACTCCCCTAATAGCACAGTGTTGCCCCATCCTCCACTCACCTCGTTCCGTCTCACCGCCACCTACCAAGGCTTTCGCTCTAACCAAATATCCCGACATACCTCAGCCAAGGCAGCCGACCTTACCCACACGGTGCCTGGCACCTCGCCCAGTAACCAAGACCAACCCAAAGAAAAAGAGGCGGGGGGGAGAAGAGGGGAAGAAGGTAAAAAACACATATCAATTGGGGAGTCCCATAGGACACAGAGAGTGGATGGCGTGTGGATTTGTCTCCCATGCCAGCTAACCTTTCAAAATGGAGGCAGCCTAGGTAGGCATGCCTTACATTTTCATGAGCTGGACCATCCTTATCAAGATAAGCTGGCAGGGGGAGAGACTTCGGGTATTGTACACAGCTCTAGCGGGCAACTCTTCCTTAGCCTATTAGAACCAAAAAAAAGCCACAAGGTGTTAGAACCTGGCCAGGAGCCAGAGAATGTGGTACAGAATATTACGCTTTTAGATGTGATTCAAACTCTGCCAGAACAACCAGGAACATCAAATGATGTAACTTCCAAAAAGAATTGCAAGGACACCAAAAGTCAAGACACTTGTAATCCAGAAAGTAAATCTCAACTCTCCCAGGGCCTGGTGCCCAATACACCCTTTAAATCTAACAGTTGTGAGTCCACTGGAACACACCACTCAACTGAAGCCAAAGATTCAATACCCCATGTAAATGAAAAAATTGATGGAACCACATGGTGCCCACGAGTAAAAGAGGCACAGGGTGAAGGTGGTGAAGAAGAGGAAGAGGATGAAGGAGAGTGTCCTCTCCCAACCTCTCAGCCTTCTGACATCACTGAACAGCTACTCACAAACCAAAGCTTCTACGCTCAAATGATGACCAGTAGCTTTCCACAGATTGGATCGCTACATGGCATTGACAAGCGAGGAGACCAAACCGAGGCAGACCGAGGGCCACAAGCCCATGATGACTGTGCCCCAACCTCAGGCCCTCAACCATTCCAAAGTCTTTCTCTACAGGGCCAATTATCACTTCTCCATTCCCGCAACTCCTGCAAAACACTGAAATGCCCTAAATGCAACTGGCATTACAAATACCAACAGACATTGGATGTGCATATGAAGGAAAAGCACCCAGAGAGCCACAGTCACTGTTCCTATTGCCATAGCGGCCAGCAGCATCCACGCTTAGCCAGGGGTGAGAGCTACAACTGTGGCTATAAACCATATCGCTGTGAAGCCTGCAATTATTCTACCACAACTAAGGGGAACCTCACCATACACATGCAGTCTGACAAACACCTGGCAAACTTGCAGGGCTACCAAGGGTCAGGGACCAGTTCCAACTCATCTGCTCCTCCTATGACAGCACCATCAGTCAATATTGGACAGGTAGAGGGTGATCAGACCTCACCGCCTGATCGGCACATCAAGCAGAAGGCATCATGGCACTGCAAGGTTTGCAACTACGAAACCAACATCTCCAGAAACCTCCGCATTCACATGACCAGTGAGAAGCACATGCAGAATGTCCTGTTGCTCCACCAGGGGTTGGGAATGGGGCAGGACACTTTTTCCTTTTATGGTGGTCCAATTGCGCCTGAACAAAACCTAGAGCACCCATTGCTTTTTAACCCCATGACCTTCAACCCATCTGGAAGCCAAGGTGAGGATAGATACTTCTAAAGTAGTGGGCTGAAAAACTTCCAAGTTACATTATGTATGGAATAGATCTAGGTTAATAGATCTAGGTTATGGGCAGAGGAAATTAACTTCCACTACATGAGTTTCTTAAATAGCTTTAATATGAAAATGGAAATAGACTTTTGTTTTATAGTGCATAGCAAATCAATATTTTTTTGGATATAGGAATCACCTATTTGTCTGGACATAAACTTGATATTCTGCGTAGAACAACAAAATTGAAATGTCATTAATATTATGGTGATATCTACAGGATTCTAACGTATTTGCCTTTTACCATAACTAATTCTAATTTTTCTTTTTAAACTCTTGCTTTTTGTTACAGCATGCAACCTTCTCACTCAAGATACCTCTTCAGGTTCCCAGGTAACAAATCTGGGATCCTCCAGCACTTCATTGTCCACGCATACACCACTCCAGGACTCTGCATTGTCTGCGCTGGAAGAGGAGCCATCCCCTGGTGTTTTCCGTTGCCTGGTGTGCCGCTGTTTTACCACAGATAGTCTGGAGGGACTCATCTCTCATGCCAGTAGAGGCCGTTCTCTTCCTGAGAGGGAATGGAGGGAGGTGAGAGGAGACTTGCATTGCTGCCGACTCTGCTCCTACAGCACCCAACTAAAAGCCAACTTCCAACTACACCTCAAGACTGACAAACATGCTCAGAAGTACCAGCTGGCTGCCCACATGCGAGAAGGGGGAGCAGCACTGGCCGCTGCCCAAGCTTCGGCAGCAGAGCTACCAATCAGTGGCTACAGCCAAGCATCATCATTTCCCCCACTGCATATTCGATGTAACCTGTGTGGATTTGAGAGCAACAGTAGAGAAAAGATGCAACTGCATGTGCAGGGAGGGAGCCATGAAGAGACTTTGCGGGTTTATAAGGTAATAAAGGAGACCTTATTTGGGAGAGACAATGGGTAATCGTAATGACCAACATTACATTGTGATGTTGTTTATATATGTTCAGATTTCCTTATTTCAAGAAAGGGTACATATACCACAAATATGGAACTGTAGTAGTTGCGAACTAAAACTTATGAGGTGCTCTGCCAGCCATAACCCATTAAGTGTACCCATGCTAAATGCAATTTTAAGTATTGCCTTTTTGACTTATACACACTGTTTGCCTCAAATTGGACGTAGAATCTTTTTATGTGAAGTTGATAAGTTATTTTATCGTGTAATACTGATTGCTACAATTCAGGCAGGTAGTGGTTCTGAATGATGCACACTCTTGCTAGTTGACCCTCTGATTGTCTGCTGAATGAGTTAGAGGTCCAATACCCGGCTGTACGGTTGAAGCCATGTTTTGAAGATAGATTTTTATAGAACATTAGAGGCCAGCTACCGACATTCTGGTCACATAGTGGTCGTCTTTCAGTTTGCTGTAGTTGCTGCAGTACAGACTGTATATGTTTCTTTCTGGGTGAAGCTCTGCGTAAGACACTGGTAATGTTAAGAAATTCCCTACTTCAGCACATGCGTATCTTCATGAAAAAAATACTAAACTAACCAGGATCAGATATAATTTATTAAATAAAGGTGTTATTTTTTTTATATATAGAATTTTACACCCCTATTTGGCATCTACTTTGTGTCATTACCACTAAGTTATCTTTTTCATGTTATCTTCTGTACATGTCTTTTTGTAGTTCTTGCAGTCCATTGAAGGTGGTGCTGGAAGTGATACATGCTTCCGCTGTGCCCCATGTGAAAGCAGTGTTGGTTCTCGCCTCGCCATGATGTCACATCTGCGCTCAGCAAATCACCATCAGAACCTTGCACAGTGGAGGCTGACTCATGGGGAAGTCATGCTAGAGGGAATCATCAGTATCTGCAGAAGCCCCCCAAAGGAGCCTGGTAATAATTTACATTTAGTTATCCCTGAATTATTTTAACTAGTTTAAATCTGTAATTTCTCAAATCTCACCATACTATTGTATCGTTAATGTCTCCACACTGTCTATATTCAATAACCTTTAGTAACTGCGTAACATGAGTAACTGCACTCATGTTTTATCCAAAATCTTTTTGTTAATTAAGGTTGCTCTGGATGGAAGGGGTTGCCCAAATTCCCCAAAGGAATCTTAGTAAAATGTTAGAAAAGTCTCGGCACTTAGAGTTCAGTGGCAAGGCAGGCTTTTAATGGAACATAGAAGCACATGACAATGTTTCAGTCACACGATGTGACCTTTGTCAAGTTAAAGGTCACATTATGTTATCAAAACGTTGTCATGTGATTCTGTGTTCCATTAAAGCCTGCCTTGTTACTGACCTTCAAGTGCCTGGACTTTTATAACATTCCACACGGTCTGTAGTTAGGAAAAATTATTTATTTATAAAATATTTTACCGGGGAGGATACATCGAGATTTCTCTCATTTTCAAGTATGTCCAGGACGAATGCGAACACGTCAAACGGCATTTTATTATATAGCATTATAACATGGTGTGATTCCAAACCACTCTATAGTAGGTGAAGACCCTAAGGTATGAGCACTACACAAGTCATCATTATATCGTACAATGACCATAAACAAAAACACTACACATAATAACCAGGGCATCCTTACTGCAAGTAGGAAGTATGCAGAGTCCTAATAAATACTGAACCACTGATATATATCCCATTTTAAAGCCTCCTTCCTTTTTTTTGCATTAGGATTTTTTCCCATTATATCTCTCTTGCACTCTATCTCACTTGCTCCTTCCTCTCTGGCTTCCTGCCCATCTCCTGATCAATATTTTATGATTTTGGCGGCTGTTGAATGGTGTTAAAGAACTTTAACACTTTAATTAGCTGAAACGGGAATAAATTCCCCACAACTGTCAATTTTCAGTATAATCGTTTATCTGGTGACACTGTGCCTGTCCCCTCACGCAGTACTCCGTCTCCCTGACTGCCTTCGTCATTCATGCTGCTTGTTCTTACTGTTTCTCTGAATATCTGTCCTTTGTCAGGCCCTGTGAGTGTGATTCTAAATGGTTATCCTAGTGTCTAGCTGACCTTGAAATTGCTTCTAGTGCCTGCAAATGCCTGGCTGTCTGCATGTGCAGTTTGTGTTAAACTGTGTAGTTCATGCATATAATAAAGACGTGTGATCTGGCAATAGCAGGTCCTTGATGCATGCATGCTTGCATGCCGTCTTGCATACCTTTTATTTCTTTGTGCTTGTAGAAATGCAAGTGTTGCTATGTTGGCGTAGCCATTTTCTGAAAAGATGTTTTTCTGACAGTATCTTAGTCCAATTCATCAAGCTAGTCCAACAGTAAACAAGGGGATAATATATTTGTTGTATTTAAACTTGTTGCTTGGTACCAAAAATCAATATAAAAACAGTTCTGTCCCAAAAAATGTTTGTACTGGCTTTTATTTGACTAGTATATGAATGACTAGTGCTGTTAAATTTAAATGTAGTGTTGGGTATAACAGCCCTGTATAATATGGTGATGTGTGTTAACATGTTGACAATTCTTGCTAATCAGTAAGGACAAACCATCTTGGTCCCATTTCTCTGATGGTGACCATTGTCTGTCCACAGTCTCTTCCTCGCTCTGTTAGACTATTCTACTACCTCTAAATTTGAAGAAATTCCTAAATTACACCAACGTATTAACTAACTAATACATTTATCTCCCTATTGTAGTTCATTAAAGGAACACTAAAGGGTCAGAAACACAAACATGTATTCCTGACCCTGTAGTGTTTAACCCACCATTTAGGTGGCTTGCCCCCCTCCTTAGCCCATCTATAAAAGTTTAAAACTCACCTTGTTTCCAGCACCACTGGGAAAAGCATTGGATTGGCTAAAATCGGCAAAGGGTGGGGCCAAATGCCATTTTGGCCAATCAGGACCTCCTCATAGAGATGCATTGAATCAATGCATCTCTATGAGGAAAATTCTGCATCTCCATGCAGAGCTTGGGGATGCTGAATGTCAGGGCTGCTTTTTTTCGGCAGCACTGACCCAGGAAGCACCTCTAGTGGGCATCTAAGGAGTGGCCACTTGGAGGTGTCACTAGAGGCAATGTAAACACTGCCCTTTTCTCTGAAAAGGCAGTGTTTACATTAAAAAAGCCTGAAGGGAACTATTATACTCACCAAAACAACTACATTAAGCTGTTGTTGTTCTGGTGACTATAGTGTTCCTTTTATGTAAAGGATATTGCAAAAATAAATGTACATCTTTTCTGATTTCAGCTAAAGTACAAACGTCCCCAGAATCGGTTTCAAACCAAGAAGCTGATGAGGAGAGCACTGATATAGCTCAAGGTGAGACTAAATAATTTGGTTCTACAGTTACATATAATGCTTTGTCCATTGTCCATAGACCTTGTTACTAGTTTCTATAGTGTTATATGACTCATTCCGTATTCTATAAGAACTGTTTTCTCTTGGTGACTCCATTCTTGGTCAAATTATTTATTTCACATTCACTATTGATGTATAGCGAGTTTGTGGTATGTAAGAACAATTCCTTTGGCATATACTAGTGTATATGTATATATACAAAAATAATGCCCCTTTACCTAGATTCCTGTCTCTAATATCCACAGTTTTTCCATTTAACATTATGGTCATTTTTTGTGTCTTCTGTTAACTGTGCTCCTGCCTTTCTAACATGTGTCCAGTATGTAGAACCAATATGTCTTTGCTGTGTCTGTGCTAGTTGTATGTTATACCTCTCCTGACCCCCAATTTCCTGATTTAGCTTCCACACAGGAAGAGACCTCCAGATCTGAGTGTGACAACACCACTGAAGGGACTACGGTACGTGCAAACCTATTCCACATTGGCGTTATCAAGACTTTACTATCATATTGACTGGATCACAAGTTGTGGGAATTTAGATATCTAAAACACGGGCAGATTGTGATTTTACAATCTTTAACAAAACAGTTTAAATTGCATTTGTTAACTAGCCACTAAATAGTTATTTAAGATCAATACTTATCAGCAATATTTTCTTAAAAAGATTAAAAACTATTCTTAAAACATTGTTCCTATATGTATTTTCTTGGTGGTTTCTGGCTGTACCTCATTCAGTTGAATTTTGTAGCAGTTGTAGATAGTTTAGGGTGGGCTCAGCAAGAATATGCCTAATAAAAAACTATTTTAGTTTGATTATCCATATTAATAGAGACTTTATTTGATATAAAATATACCAAGAAAAGGGCATTAAATGTGTCCAATACTGGAAACTTAATATCCATGATGTGTGCCCAGGTGTTTAAAAAGAAGAGAACAATATCACAACCATCTTTAGGCCCGCTTTGAAATGTTATAATTAAGAAACAATACATGTAGCGACATTATAACGCATGGTATAATCTTATCGAGAATTGCTGTAGATAGATAAAGCATGATTGGTAAAAATGTCTCATGGATAATTTATAAACAAAGGCCATCAAAGTGCTGTGAAGAAACTGCCAGTACTCATTAACTAAAGCACCTTAGCAAGTGATATGTTCATATTGGTATAAAAGTACTATATGTTGGTTGGTGTCTCTGTAATAGCTGTCTTCAGCTGTTAACATTAACTAACTTAGAATAAAAACTGAGTTCCAGCAGTTACAATTTCTTCTAGAAAATTTCCAATTTCCATTTTAATTTAAGTTACAACCACTCACTAGTCCCAGCATGTCCTGTTTCCAGCTCCTGTCACATGTTTCGCATTAAACAGGAGCTGCAGGAAGTGAGACATATTTCCCAGGGAGGGGGGTGGACAGCTGAGGGTTAAACATGGGCCCAAGTCTGTAACACCCAGCAGGGGAGGAGATAGGAGGGGATTTGTTTACCAGCTAGGCCGAAAGAAGGAAAGAACTAGAAAAGGGGGAAAGAATTTAAAAACTAAAAAAAAAAAGAACCAGGGAAAAAAGGGGAAACCAGATGAAAGGATTTTACAGGACTGTGAAGCAGGAGAAAGTGCTGAATAAGAGACACAGGAGAGAGAAGGGGGGGTGGAGGGGGGATTGATCAAAAGAAACAGAAAAGGTGGTGAATGAGGATCTGGACAGTGGAAAAGGTGTGTGAGGGCATTAAAGTAAAGTTTAGGTGAGGACTAGGCACAAGAAAACGATTACAGGTTAAAAACATAGAGACAAGGGATCAATAGATTGAGAGAGGAGTTAAGAGTGAGGGGAAGAGATTTAAAGGTGGCAGAGCAATTGCAGAACTGATTAAGAAAAGAGGGGAGGGCCTGGGGAGAGGCTAAAGTGAGGTTCACATAGATGGTGGATAGTGAGAGGTTCGACAGCCTGGACATGGAAGATGAGTATTGTGTGTACAGAACGGTAAGTGCCCTGAACTAAGTACAGGCTTTGTAACAGAGAAAAGGCATGGGGCAGATATACAGAAACTTTTCAACAATCGCAGACATGCACAAACATAACACATGTGACATAGCATGAACACACATAATAATCTCACTCACATACATACATAACAAACACATACATGCAAATTAGCAAAATTCCCCTGCTATTCAGCATTGTATAGTACCCACAGTAAAATCCATTATTTAGCCTTTATCCAAAACAGTCACAAGTACTGAATTAGCTGTAGCTAGACTCACAAACTCTGCGCAGTCTTGTATATTTATAGCCCCTATTAAATAAACACTTACACAGGCCCCACCCCAATGACAGATACAGAAGCTGCACTCCAAAGAAACACACTCAATATACCCCTTCACTCAGTGTAGCAGCGTTGGGCTGTTGTACTGCAACTTTTGACCTTACAGAACAGTTGTTAGTATTTCATGCAGTAGATTCCCTAGACAATATCATTAGAATAGTCACGTTTATATTTAACACAGTGCATTATTCCATCTACAGGAAAACAGTTCAGTGACTGTGGATTGCCTTAAATTTAATGGGTATCACATATGCATATGTATATATGCAGATTGTCATCACAACATAGTTCTTTTAGATAGCAAGAAATAGAACCACAATCAAAGATCTTCTCCACATTCACACTTTAGCAGTATGCCCTCCGGCCTGTATGCTTGATGCTTTCCTCTCCAGTTACATACATACATGCATGCAGTAAGATGCACATTTAATGTTGATCGTCCCTATAAACTCACAGAAAAATTATTTATCTTTCTATACATGCAGATTAGCATCCTCCACAATCTGCAGGATGCCTACCTCCAAAATGCCCTATTCACCAATAAAAAACCCCATTTACAATCCACCCCTCACATTTACAATACACTAGTAGACTGTGCACTTCTACAATCACACTCACATCTATGTAATGCCTTCCTCATAATGAGCACACACAACAGTTCTTCCTATGCAATCACACACATTATGCATTCTTACCCAGTCACAGACATATAAAATGTTTCACAGCCACACATATAGCTACACTTACATTCATGCACATATGTACATAACACTATGCTACCAACTTATGTGCACAAACAATGCCCTCCTATTTAGCAGCAGTCGCACACAATTATTACACAGTGACCATCTCTCTAAGTTAACACACAATGTGCCAATACCCAGTTACATCATGTCCTTCTTCTCAATCAAATCCAGAACATTAAACTCTTTAACCACAGACTTAGATTAGACTCTTGTATAGTCATAAATAACCCTTACACGCAAATCCTAAATGTTTCTGCAAAGCATAAACACATACATGATACTATGTTTCCCAAACACACATATATAGAATGTTTTATTTAACAGCCCCACTCACTCAGTGTCCTTTTTCCAAATCATGAACACAATGACCTCTTCCCAATTATACACACCTACAATTTCCTTCTCTCCAGTTACAGTCACATACATGGTGCCTTTAACTTCAATCATACAAGTTATACCACCTGCCTCAGAAAATAACAATAATATGCCCACAATCAAACCACCTGCCTAAGCAAATACCAACAATATGCATACTTCCTAAATCTCTCACACATATAATGTACTCCTATGTAATTAAACAGAACATTTTCTCACAAATGTACATACAGAATTCTTATCTCCTTAATAACACATAGGGGCAATGCAGAAAATCCAATCAATATGTATTTTCCTACTGTCATTTGAAACAATATTCATTCATATTATAAACACTTCTAAAAGCCACATACATTCAGGCCAGTTCCAGCAATTGCATGTGAATATAAACAAATCTTAAAAACATAGAGAGAAACACGTTATGCAGACACAGACCCCAAAAGGTACTGAAACCGTCACAAACACATTTGATAAATTTACAGTTTTAAGAAGTATACCCTGGGACTACTGATCTTTATTGAAATTACACCAACAAGAAACCTAACAACGCATACCTCAAATCCTCACAGATTGTAAGCTCATTTGAGCAGGGCCTTCTTTCATTTTCTACAATTGTAAAGCTCTGCAGCATATGTTGGTGCTATATAATAACAATATGTATATATAATTCCTTGTGTCCAGCACACGCAGTTTTCCCTTGCCTTGGCACTAAGAAACTCTAGCCTCAATATACAAATCGTGATTAGAGCACATTGAACATGCATTGAAAAGGAGATGGATAATTATCAAGCAACTCCACCCTGACATGTTTCTGTAAAAGAACTTGTCCAAAGATTATGGTCACAGAAACAACCAGGTGTTACCTTAATGTTATAATCACGTAAGCATAGCATTTCCTCCCATTGCTCACCTACAGACTGTATACATAAACTAGAGTATGGGGTGGTAATCTCTCTCTCATTTGCCATGGAGAGTTGAATACAAATATATGAATGGAGGAATTAATGTAAAATAAAACGCACACATATAGATAGAAATAGCACAAAATGTATCCTTCGTGTTCTTTTCATCCATCAGCCACTCTTTATTTGAGGATATGTTTGAACCTCTAGAATGGTATGCTTTGTTCAATCAAAATATGAGTTATAGAATTTTTCGTTACCAAAACAAAACAGGAATTTTGATCAACATAGGCTTGTGAGTTAAATCATGCCCTGATGTGAAGAGAATTCTGGGCAAAGTTTTGTTCTTGGTCATGAGGTCACTAAAAACTTCAGTCTCCATAGATCAGTGGTTAGGTGGATCGCATACTCCATCCAACTAAAATCACTCCCAATAATAAGACATAATTCAAAGAACCCAGGACTAATGGCTATGGTTATACAGACGTCTCTTGTATTGCCTGATGTCAATGTTCAGGTGTCCATTGTAAGAAGAACACTGCTAAAGGGTGGTATACATGGGATGTTACTGAGGAGACTGCTTATTCAGAAAGAACACTACTGCGTGTCTCACATTTTTTCCAAAGACCACCTGGGCTATATTGTCTTCGCACCAACGCAGTTTGCAAGGGAACAGGGGGTACTGAATTACACCAGCAAATTCTTCTAGAGCATGATATGGTATCCAGCTGTGAGCTGTATCTTAACATTCAGATATTGCCTAGAAATATTAATGAATAATTCCATAGGTACAAAAACAAGGTTTGGTTGACATCACTGCTGCTAAACAAAGGTACCACTAGTTACTAGATCTTAAGGACCACATATTTTTGTTTTCTGAAAAGACAGTGACTGTGCTACAAATAGATATTAAAGTCTGATTTTATTAATGTTGCCAGATTATTCATAATTTATACAAATTATTTTGACTTAACACACTGAAAGTACATGTTAAAACTCCCATATTGAAGTTATTTCAAGAACCACATATCAGTAGATATCACCATACCTACAGCATGTATACCAACATTCAACAACATGTACTTACAAAGACCAGTGTTTTCTTCTAAGACCATTTGTTTCCTTAAAAGTCTGCAACTTAATTCCCTAGAATTATTTGACTTTACACCACCCTATCCACATAACCTTTGTTTTTCATTTACTCATCATGAAGTTATACACACAAGTTATTCATGTATTGTGTACATGGAAATATTGAAGCAACAAAAGGTGGGAGACCTATTGTAATTTAATGCATAAGCAAAACATTATTTATACTGTATGTGTAATATGCAGTCTTTCCTGTAAATAAAAAGAAAACTCACTAAGCCCTTGTGTAAATATTAGGAGCAAGCAAGATAAACTGTGATAAAATGTTTAACTGGATACATATTTATAGCTCATAAAAAGGAGACTTTGTCACTATTTTGGTACTTGATCAGAGCACATAGCTCCACCATTACAAACATAATTTATCACTATTTATTCCTGTGTAGCTACAGTTTCATTTAAAAGCATGGCTAAACTTCCTATTTTTGTCAAACCACAACTCCCATGGTTCATCAAAGCATTATTGGAATTATACTGTATTATTGTACAGCTTTGCTAAATATATTTGTTTTGTAACTAAACACATAATATTAAATCCTCTTCAACAATAACATGCCATCAAAAATCTGAGTTTGTACTGTCGTTATAGACAAATAACTACACATACACAATAACTATATACAGAGACCTATTTAAATCATTCGTATTATCAAAGAATATAAAACATGTCAATGAACTCTTATTAACTTCACTCATACCACAAACAGAGATGCTTGATAAAATGTACAATGCACTAAAGAGTGATAGGAGTCCCTGTGATACCAGCAACTAGCAGACTGATATACGCTAAAGAAAGACCTTTTGTATAATTCAATTATCAGAAGTAGCCATCTAGACCTGTACCAATGTATCTGATAACTGCTCACATTATTTAGGAAAAGTCTCAGATGCCTACAACAGTATGTGACAGCCTAAAGAGATTCAGGGAACACCTAAATTATCTAAATAAGTTATATATCACATAGATTGTTACTAAAGATATCTTGGCCTGACATACCTTCGATGACACCTGTCACTAAATGCTGAAAACAGTCCTGCTATCAGTAAGATTCCCTGAACTTTGTAAAAGCTGAGAACTTGACAAAAAGTGAAATAAAAAATAAAAAGGAAACTGCTTCAGTAGCTATACCAAGAAATAAAAATTATTATAATCACAAATATATAGCTCTGCTTGGCAACATAGAGCAAATACTTTGGCAATAGCTGAGCCCATGACTTCTGAGGAGCCTGACTGGCGAAACGCGTGCGTCAGGGTCTCAGCTATTGCCAAATTGCTTGCACCATGATGCCAACAGGAGCTGTATATTTGTGATGATAGAAAATTTTATTTTTGGAATAGTTACTGAAGCAGTTTCCTTCTCTTTTATTTTAATTTCATTTTTTTTTTGTATAGTAGGCAAGTGTTCTATTCTAAGCTCTCACCTTACTTGAAATAGTTCAGGGAATCTTACTGGTAGCAGGACTGTTGTTTTCAGTATACAGTGATAGGTGCAGTGCACGTTAGGGCAAGATATCTTTAGTAACAACATATTTATTTACAGAGGGACTGCACTACCAATAGGCAAACTAGGCAGCTGAAGGGGAGCGCACTGCACGGTGCTTCCCTCCTGCCGGTCACTCCATGCAGCATGGCCGAATGGACTGCGGTAGAGGATATTCTGTATCATATGTGCTGGATCTATATATATATATATATATATATATATATATATATACACACACACATACACACACGTTAAAAGTATTAAACTTGAAACTACTATACCCCTCTATGTGACTCTATCCCCCACCAGTCTGTCTAACTCTTTGTCCCCCACAGTTTCTCTGTGTTTTTTTTTTGTTTTTTTTGTATCTTGTGTATTGTATAAATTGGCCCCAGCAGCACCCCATTTATGCCCCCTGGTTTCATATATATCTTAGGTGTCATATACTGTAGGCATCTGAGTCTTTTCATGTTAAAATTTTGTCAGGAATGGCTATCCTCCTAACTAATGTGAACAGTTATCAGATATATTGTTACAGGTCTAGATGATTACTATTGATAATTGTGTTCTACAAAGTTGCTTTCTTCTACTATAGACTATATCAGTCTGTGCTAATATTACAGTGACTCCTATCACTCTAGTGAATTGGACATTTTATCAATCACCTGTTTGTTTATGGTATTTTATATTGCACTAATAAAAAAAAAATATATATAAAAATATATATATATATAAACTTCTTGGTTCTTTCACTCTCAGTGGTTATCTTTCCTCTTGTCCTAGAATTACAATTAGTTTGCCCCCACCTTTTGGTTTATTTCTCAATTTGACATATATAAACATTTTAGATTCCTATAGAGAACATGGCCCATAACAAAGCAGCACATGGTAAAATAATCCAATTTAAATCACACCAACATTCAAATTATTTATTCAGGAGCTCTTAATAATGACCGTGTGTAACCTATTCATCCTCACCTTGTGGTATCTGCAGTAATTGCCTCCCTGACAATAACGGAAGTGCCGCTCAGCGGCCATGCGTCAGTATATCTGACTCCTGCAACATGTTGGTGGACGCCGGCCGCTGCGATCCACACCATTTTAAAGGGCCACGTCCGTCCACGGTAATGACTACGTCAACATGCTTGTGATGTCACGCAGTGTGTCCCTGACCTCAGCAAGTATACTGACTATTCTCTGGTACGTTAAGTCCGGCCGTTTTAAGGCCTGGTAAGACGTTACCTTTAGTCCCAAATGTGATACCATTCTGCATGCTGGATCAACTAGTATCCTGACACCGTGAACATTAACTGCATCTTTACTACTTACCTTTATATTTTTTTTCAAATAAACATCCATATAAAACACCCTAAAAAGTAACCCAATACCACATAGATACCAGGTCTAGCCCATTAATCACAAACATGCAGAACTAGACTCTTAACAACACACATAACAGTACTAGCCCGCTAACCACACACATAATAGGACTAGCCCGCTAACCACACACATAATAGGACTAGCCCATTAACCATAACAGGACTCGCTCACTAACTACACATATAACAGGACGAGCCCATTAATCACAATCATGCAGAACTAGATTCTTAACCACACACATAACAGGACTAACCATTTAACTATACACATAACATGACTAACCCTTTAACCACACACATGCAGGAAAAGCCCATTTACCATACACTTTCAATACAAATCAGTTCCTTACCTACACACAATTTACATAGAAAACTATATATCTTTTTCAGTTATATAGATACAAACCCCTATAAAAACATACATAACATGACAACCCATTACATTACACACACAGGTCTAGCCCCTTAATCGCCTCCACATAGATCACCACCTCCCTTGATCACACAGATGGAGATCCAGCAACTTGTTTTACTTAAATAAAGACAAGCCACCTTAATTCTACGCATACAGAGCACTATGGGGTCACGAACACAAACATGTATTCCTGACACTATAGTGTTAAAACCACCATCTAGCCCCCCTGGGCCCTTCATGCCTCCATAAATATAGTAAAAATCTTACTGTATTCAAGCCTGAAGCTGCTGGCTCTTCCCTGTCTGCCTCAGAAAAACAAGCAGTCTGCTGACATCATCAGAAGTCGTAGCCTTATACAATCACAGTGCTTCTCCATAGGATTGGCTGAGACTGACAAGGAGGCAGATCAGGGGCAAAGCCAGCATGATTCAAACACAGCCCTTGACAATCAGCATCTCCTCATAGAGGTGAATTGAATCAATGAATCTCTATAAAGAAAGTTCAGTGTCTGCATGCAGAGGGAGGAGATACTGAATGTTTGGATGCATTTTAGGTAGCCATGATCCAGGAAGGATCTCTAACAGCCATCTGAGGAGTGGCCAGTGAAGTTATCACTAGACTGTAATGTAAACACTGCATTTTCTCTGAAAAGACAGTGTTTACAGCAAAAAGCATGAAGGTAATGATTCTACTCACCAGAACAAATTCAATAAGCTGTAGTTGTTCTGGTGACTATAGTGTCCCTTTAATAATCTACATGCATCCTTAATTACACACATAAAAATCCAACACTTTATTTTTGTACACAGAGAATCATCATACACATACAGAACAAGAACCCCTAATAACCCACATACAGACTCTTAATTACACACATACCGAGCAACCCCATTAATTAAAAATTTAAAGAAATATATTCACTTACATAAAGAGCTAGCCACTTTATTAAACACATATAGAACCTGCACTGTTAATTACACGTATACAGAAAATTGGTGTGCGTAACTGGTGTGCTAGTATGACCATGCACACCTTAATGCTCTTCCAGACTTTATTCCTTGTGTCCCATTTCACTTCATATCAGGCCACCTTGAAATGTAACAGAGATCATGAAACGGACTCGTTATTACAACAATAAAAATGTGAAAAATTTCGAGACTTATTTTTAAATTTTACGATAACAATAGTTGATATTTGTAAATGTTCATGTAAAAAAAAAAAAGTTTAAATTCTGGATGCTCCACACAAAATTAGCCAGTTTAATCACACACAGATACATCTTTTAACTAGACAGACATTAGGATTTAGACAACTAGACATTTGGATCTTCATATTCACAGGATAACAGAACCAGCCCATTAATCATACACACAGAGATTTGGACCCCTAATCACCTTCCTGCAATTACTCCCCCTGTAATTGCCTAGAGAACCATCATCTTAATCAAACACACAGAAACACAGAGAGGTCCAGCCTTATTATACATATATGCAAGCAGTCCCCGAAATTATATATATATATATTGAGAGCTGACTGAACAGAGGGAACATACACACTCCCCATAGCAACCCACACAACGTCCCACCTGGGAAAGCACCAGCTGACATCAACGCCAGGCAGCAGACTCTCACACCCCTTCCAATGACATTGTGGGGCAGACTTCACACGCACTAGCACTAGACCGCAGGGCAGTGTGGGCTCAGACCAAGAGTACCAGGTCTCCGGGCCCCAACCATGGCACCGGAAGCCTCCCAATCCACAACTCTTCCTTATGCTGTCCTTCTGTCCCCTGTCTCTGCCCTATACACCCCTCTGGGGCCAGCGACCACTTACTACAGGGCTCCAAACACCGGAACCGGATGTTTTGAGTTCTTGTTAGTTTAATACTGAATTAAAATAATTTAAATCCTTGGTGGAAGGTGAAAAAATCTCACACAAGTTAAACATGCTATGTCATTACCAGGCATGTTAGCTAACTACTGTACAGCTGTATGACATGATGCATGGCTTTTGCACAAGCCACCGTGATGTATGATGCACCGTTCTATCCGCCAAGTCGGAAAAATAAAGAATTATAAAAAAATAATCTAATCACTGTACTGACATTCTACCATTTGTTCACATGTCCATATGAAACCATCAATATTGCATCTTTTAAAGGGATACTAAAGACATCAAAATAACATTAGTTCAATGAAGCAGTTTGGGTGTATAGACCATGTCCCTGCAGTCTCACTGCTCAAATCTCTGCCATGCAGGAGTTGAATCATTTGTGTTTCTGTTTATGCAGCCCTAGGCACACTGCCCCAGGCTGTGACTCACATAGCTTGCATTAAAAAAAAGTGATTTTTTTTCAGTCAGGTGTTAACTTGCTTTAGAGACAAAAGTGGTAAACCGCGCCCAAACAGTGCAAATAATAATTAAAATATATACATACAGAGAGTCCTCTAATTAGGAATGTATAAAACCTTCAAGACAAAAAAGTACAGAACAATAATAGTGCAATATGTCAAGTGAATTTCACTTGACATATTGCACTATTATTGTTCTGTACTTTTTTGTCTTGAAGGTTTTATACATTCCTAATTAGAGGACTCTCTGTATGTATATATTTTAATTATTATTTGCACTGTTTGGGCGCGGTTTACCACTTTTGTCTCTTCTGTTTTACTACTGTGAGCAGGTATTGGGAATTCCTGCTTGGTTCACTGCTGCCCACCTTTAGTTTATTTAGTGAGCGCCTAACTCCTCTTTGTTGTTAACTTGCTTTAGAAGTTTGTATCTCCTTCTCTGTAAATTGAACTTTAATCACACACAGAAATCTCCTGCATGGTCTAGAACAGGGGTTCTCAACGTTAGTCCTCAGGACCCCCTACCAGTCCAGGGTTTAGGGATTACCTGGGTGTGTCTAAGGTATTTAGAAAAAAAAACACCTTAGAGGTGTTTTTTCCCCTTTTTCTAAACACCTGAGACACACCCAGGTAATCCCCAAATCCTGGACTGGTAGGGGGTCCTGAGGACTGGGTTGAGAACCCCTGGTCTAGAACATTATTTGCAGAGCAGGAGATAAGAAATTCTAGATTTAACATTAAAAATACCTAAAATATCTAGGTTCCTTTTCAGAATGTGCTTAGGAAGGCTGTGTGAGTCACATGCAGGGAGGTGTGACTAGGGCTGCATAAACAAAGTGATTTTACTCCCACATGTCAGAGAATTGAGCAGTAACACCCCAGGGGCATAATCTATACACCAAAACTGCTTCATTAATCTAAATTTTGTTTGGTGTCTATAGTATCCCTTGAACTATAAATGCACGTAAAAAAAGTAGCCAGAGTTGTAATGTATTCCCAAATAAAATACACACAATCCATACATTATCTCCGTCACATTCTCATGTTTGCTTCTGACTTTTCTACGCTACCCTTTTCACCACTTCATCCTTACCATCTTCGTCACAAAAAACCTTTTATTACCCCTCTACTTTTACTTGGTCATCTTAATTATGCATATCTGTAATTGATGCTCTTATTTTTTGCCCCCTTTTGTGATATTTTGTTTTTTTCTCCCTTGCTGTAGGTGTTTTGCTGCCCTTTCTGTGCTTATGTCAGCCCATCAGAAGAACATGTTCGCAGTCATACAGTGTCCCAGCATGCACTGCAACCTACATTCCGTTGTCCATTGTGCCAAGAGAAGCTCACAGGAACTGCTAACCTTAGGAGTCACCTGGGACATGGACATAATGTGGTGTCTGAATGTGTTGAAAAACTACTGCAGGTGGTGAGTATTCAGAGAGAGAGAGATATAAAGAGAGATTTTGTGTGTGTGTGTGTGTGTATTTGTCAACAAGGAATATCATCCGTCAGCACAAATATACCCAGGAGTTCGGTTAACCCAATTAAGGCATTTAGGGTGAGCAGGGATTTAGTAAGCGTCAACAAAAATGGTGCTTACATATTTTTTTGCAGCCAGGCAGAAATTATTTTTATATAGGATTTAGTAACTTTAGATTTAGGTGCATGACTGGTTACTGAAGGATAAAATAATTTCAGTTAAAAGTAACTGTATGCAGGGAAACCGTGACAAGGTGTATATGTTACAGACTTAATATTGTTTATTAAATATTAACAAATGTGCCCTTCCTTTTAATATTAGGACCCTAAACAAAAGGCTATTGGAACACAAACATATAGAGAAAGCACAATGTGCAGCTATGTTAATGAGAACAACTAGTGAAAACCCAATACATTTATTGAAGAGCACCAAATAACAAATGTTTTGGAACCCCTGCCCCTTTATCAGTCTTCAGTGTCCTCATTAGCCATAAGGCTAATTGGTGCGGGATTAGACATGTAGGTCAAGGAGACTGAGATGTCCTGGTCCCTTCATAATGGGAGTATGACAGGATGTGTGGACCCACTTTTATATATTACTATTCAAACACATCGGAGAGAGGATGGGTAAAAGGTCTAGAAACATAATGCAACTTCTGCCCATTTAACTCCACTTTTCACAGGAAGAGGTGACGCTATACATGGGACCTTCCTGGCCACACATATTTCTAGGCTTCCACCATCCATTTATTTGTGGGTTTTTTTCCGCCTCTGTGATTTAATATCCTCATTGGAACAGAACCGAGTAATCCAATACTTCCCATCTCAAATTTGAGAGTTATGTAGTCAGAGAGGAGAAATATAGGAGAGCCGGTGACTGTCCTGACATATCTGGAAACGTTTGGCAGTATAAGTAATTAATAAAACCTGAGCTCTTGCTGATTCCACATAAATAAACTTGCTTTATATTTTCATTACACTCCAAGAACACACCTCTGCAAAATATGTCATAACTAAAGTTATATAAATTTTTTTAAATATTATAAACATTTTCCATTTGACATCGTATTGTCACATCCCAACTACGTAACATTAAATGAACAACTAATTGGTAAATGTGGTATGAGGTACATGGCTAATAAATCACAAATAAACAATTGTGTATTTTTCTTAATCTTCTCAGTAGTGAAAGTCCTAACACCAATTTTATATATTTGCAGCTCTAAAGTAGCTTTACACTTTCATGACCAAGGCAAAATTATTTGCCATTGTGATTCTCAGTGCCGATAAGACAAGATATATAAGATATATGTTCCACAGGAGTGGAAAAGGATATCTGGATGGAATAGTTTTGTCCTTTACATTATATGTTCTTCATTCATCTGTCCTGTATGCTATTGTATATATTAATTTGACTATGTATATCTTTTAGGCACAAAAAGTGGACATAAGTTTTCGAACTAGAATTATTCCTCTGAGAATCAGAGACGAACCAGAACACCCAGTTTTAGAGACCCGACCTACCTGTAAGTCCTTGTGTTTGTGTTCACCACAGTACATCTACTTAATGCTCCATATCACCTTTTATTGTATTATTTTTACTGTGCCATATGTATATTTCTATGAGTATCATTAGATTCCATTAAAGATATTATATTGAAATAGTTTGATTTTATTGCTTATGTTTCTACCCAGGTGAAGCCACCAATTTAGTCAACGAGGTTTCCCCTCCTCAATCCCCATGTGATGATTCCTCAAATCCAGCAGATATATCTGAGCCTGTTCTTGAACCGGAGAAAACACCAGACGAAACTTCATGTCCCTTCTGTAGACAGACTCCTGAAGATCTAAGGACACACTTGGAAAAAGATCATCCTGAGCTTAACCCATCAGACATCCAGCAAGCATGTGAAGCTCGGCACCGTGAGACTGAGGGAGGGGAGGCGGAAGATAGGAAGTGTTCTCAAGAAAATACACCTGTTCACTCCCAACAAGCCACATACCGTAAAACCACCAACTTTGCAATGGACAAATTCATGGACCCCTCAAGACCTCACAAATGTGTAGTTTGCAAAGAATCTTTCACCCAAAAAAATATTCTTCTAGTACATTATAATTCTGTATCTCACCTGCACAAAGTACGTAAAGCTTCCCTAGATCCCTCTCTTTCAGCCCGCCAAGAGCCAGGAGCAGGGACCTCAGGACATGGTATACAAACAGGGCAAGACAAGCCGTATAAGTGTACTGTGTGCCATGTGTCATATAACCAAAGCTCCACCCTTGAAATTCACATGCGTTCTGTTCTCCATCAAACTCGCTCCAGGGGGACAAAACAAGATATAAGTAGGGTTCCTCAAGAAAAACCTCAAAGAGAAGGTTATTGCAAGAGTGAGAATACTAGTGACCCAAGGGCAGAAACAGCAGGGGAGCTACAGAATGTGGAAGCTTCAAAAAAAAGAATTCCACAAATAAGTTCCTGTTTGGGGGTTCCTATTCTGCCTGCTAATGTTGCTTCTTCCACTGTACAGCTTGCAATAGATTTGCCTCATCCACCCCCCCTTGTTCAACCTCCACCACTCTTTGCTCCCTCACTCCTTCCTTCATTTCCATTAATTCCAGAGGCCCTTTTGAAGCTACAACGTCAACAGCAGCAGCTTCTGCTTCCATTCTACCTGCAAGAACTAAAAGTTAGTGGAGAGGGAGGAAATGCTCCTCTTTTGTCTTTTAGTGGTGCCCAGCTGCCACAACCAACTAAAGATGAGGGAGGTCAACCCAGTGTCACACCAAAGCCAGCAAATGATAAGGAAGAACGAGTTCCAGATGAACAAGATGCAGCCACGGCTGAGACTGATGCCTCACAGAATCCAGAGTCAAGAACAGAGGCTGCAACCAAAGCTGGAGACCTTACTGGGTCTGCAGCAAGAGCTCTTCTAGAAAATTTTGGTTTTGAGCTGGTCACACAGTACAATGAGGGTAGACAACCATCCACTTGCCAACCTCAGATTCAGCCAAGGCCTCCTGCACCACCACCTGATGTTCCTCCTGCACCTACATCCACAGACAAACTTCAATGTGGTACCTGCGGCAAACATTTTTCCAATAGGTTAATTCTTAAAACACACGAAGAGCACATGCACCAACGTCTTCTACCCTTTGAGGCTTTGAGCCGATATGCTGCTCACTATCGCCGAAACTATGACAGCCACTACCCAACTGGTTTGAGCACAGAAACAGGAGGAGAGTCTTCTCTTGCCCCACTGGACTTCTCCATCACATCAAAAGGCTCTCAAGAAGCTGAAGAACAAGATGCTACCTGTGAAATGGGATTCACTGTGGAACAGCTAAGCTTCCTACATAGTCTCCTTGATCTGCCGAATCATTCAATAGAAGAGCAGATTCTTTGGGCAGCTGATAAGAGTGGACTCTCTCCAGCAGCTGTCCAACAGTGGTATAAACAAAGAGAGAAAGTATTTCTAGAGGGACAAGAGGATGAAGGCGAGGAGACCTCAAGAGGTGATCGGCTGGGAAATCGACGTTTCTCACGGACAAAGTTTTCTGATTTCCAGACCCAAGCCCTTAACAGTTTTTTTGAAGCAAGTGCTTACCCACGAGATAGTGAGGTGGAACATCTTTCAGGACTGTTAGGTCTACCTGGACGGGTAATAGTGGTCTGGTTTCAAAATGCTCGCCAGAAAGCACGAAAGCAAGCTGCAGAAACAGGAACCACTCCTACATCTCCTCTACACTCAAACCCATCAGGGGAACGCCCTGCCTCCAACAGTAAAGTGCCCCCTTGCCGGAAATGTGGAGTCATCTTGCCCTGCATATTTCAACTCATCCGTCATCTTAAAGGTTGTTACAATGAACAGAATGATGAATTGACAGAAGAGGAAATGAAGGAAGAGGAGACAAACAAAATCCCCAAAGCAGAAGGGTCACAGCCAGATCAGATAACAACCTCTGAGTTAATTTCAGGAAACACTCAAGATGAAGAACAAGATGAGGTACTTGACGAGGATGAGATTGAGCCGCCAGACACAACAGCACCAGAAACTAAGGAAACCACAGAAACAGAATCACCCACAGGAAATGACGAGACAATACAGCAAACATCAGAGCAAAATGAGCAGCCTATAGAGCAGAATGAAACATCTGTTCCTGACAAAGCACTGGACCAGAGTCCAAACAAGTCAACTTCAAACAGTGGTCAACCTATGCCTCCTTTGATGGATTTATCACTGTTTATCCCCTTGGGACATGGCGATGTGAGCTGCCAAAGGAAAAGAAAGCATGAGGAAGAAAGCCTCTCACCTACAGGTAGTGAAGGTGGTGATGAACCCCCCAGAGATAAACGCCTGAGGACAACTATATTGCCTGAACAACTTGATATTTTGCACCGTTGGTACCTTCAGGATTCCAATCCCACACGCAGCACTCTAGAACGTATCTCTCTTGAAGTAGGCCTGAAGAAGAGAGTTGTTCAAGTATGGTTTCAAAACACTAGGGCTCGTGAGCGCAAGGGACAATACAGAGGAGTAGCTCCTGCTTCTGCTACCCGACAACAGGATGATGCAGTCCTAGAAGGGTCCAAAAGGGATGTTCCCACTAGTTACTACTACAGTGTTGGTACAACTCAAGTTGCACCTCCATTACCAACTAAGACAGCACATAGTACATCTTCATTACTTTCAAAAACTCCAGCTTCTTCTGGCCAGGCTCCAAATACAATCACTAATAAATCTCTTGTCAATACAACTCAAGCTCTCACAGGCTTACTGAATGCCAATCAAGTGTTGCCAAGTCTGGTAACTCAACCCCAAGCTATTCAAGGCCTTGCCACCACAACTCAAGCTTTAACTAACCTTGTCAGTACCCCACAGGCCTTATCTAGCTTTGTAAACCCAACACAAGCATTTCCAAGCCTGGTTAATCCTGCACAGGTTCTTTCCAGCATTGTGAATACCAGTCAAGCTTCTTCAAGTTTGCTATTGGCATCCTTCACAGCTAAAGCTCCAGCACCACCTATTCTATTGTCCACTGCCCCAGAAATTAAACCAAATACCTCTTCTGGTCTTCTTGTCTCCTCCTCAGTAGAAAAGATTCCTGAACATGAGAAAATATCAACTCTTCCAACACCCTCTAAAAACACAGCAGACCCCCAAATCTATCACCAGCCCTCAGATGCCCAAATTTGTGAAAATCAAAGTGGAAACAACCTAAAAATACCAGAGGACAGAGGAAGCTCTAAACCTGTAGAAGCTCAAATGCATAGCCCACTTGGTGGAGATATCAGTGATGATTCTGGTTCAGACCCTGGTCCCACAAGCCCTGGTAAGAGTGGAATAAATTCTGAAGGAATGTTGGGATCCTCTGGAGCTAGAAGATACCGCACTCAAATGAGTAGTCTGCAGTTAAGGATCCTGAAAGCATGTTACTCAGAGTATCGCACACCAAGTATGCAAGAGTGTGACTGCCTTGGTGGGGAGATTGGCCTGCAAAAGAGGGTGGTTCAGGTTTGGTTTCAAAATGCAAGGGCCAAGGAGAAGAAAGCCAGGCTCCAGGGTCTTGGGGGAACATCTTCTACTGGTGAAGGTCCTCAGCCTACAGAATGCACTCATTGCAATGTAAAGTATGGACCAACTACCCCGTGCCGTGCCCATATTTTTTCTCGGCAACATATTGCAAGACTAAGAATGTCCATCCAACAGCAGCTTAAAGAAGAAAGTCGATATCGGGATACTCAGCCAACTGGGGGAGCAGCTTCTGGATCAGAAAACAAACAGGCATCACAGCTACCAAGTTTCCAAGCTCCAAACACAGTAACACCTCAAATTCAGAGGCTCACCCCATTATTGATGCCAGGACAGGGCATTCCTACACCTATTGGTGGACTGGCAACTTTCAATGCAGGTACACAATGGGTGAAAAGAGGGAAGGAGTTCTACCACGGAACAAAATTAGTCAATTCTTATAAGAGAAAATTGGAGGGGAGAGAGAGGTTGGGTGTAATGGGTAGAGATGGAAGGTAACATGAATGATACACACTTTGCACGTGACACACATGGACAAGAATATATAATATTTAATAGAAAAGGACTCTAGAGTGCAATATGCATTTAAAAGAAAGGATTAGAATAGGAGGTTTTAACAAAAGAAAAAACACATTGCAAACATAGTAAAGTAAATATAATTGTGAGCAAAGACAGAATAAAAATGTCATTACTGTAGATGAAAGAGGGACAGGTGCAGATAATACTTTAAAGAGTTATCAGATAACGTGCCCTTATCAAGTAACATGCTTTGCAAAACTCAGGAAAGCATACTAGTGGAGTAACACCAATACGATCAGAGTTAGCTGGGGAGTGTCAATATGAGAACAGAAAGAGAGAGATAGCATTGAGTGTGAGCTGGGGAGAAAGAGGTCGGCCACATTGACAATATCAAATGAGAACTATGGACCATTTATTAATATTCAGAATTAAAATGCCACATGGATGCCAGAACCCATGTGAAAAAAAGGGATGTGAGGTTTTGTAATTGCAGAAAATTATCAAACTGGTAGTGAAATGGGAGCAGTAGAGAGTAAAATTGATACATTAATGAGAACAGTGCAGTAACAGAAAAAAGAGAGAGCTAGGAAATAAGTCGAATGGGCTGGAAATAACAAAGAGAAATGGATGGGCTGGGTTGTAACATATGAAGAAACTGCAAGAACCAATGAGAAACATAGGTGAAAGGAATAGTGAGACCCTGTGGAAATATAGAAACACTAAGGACAAATAAGAAATATTTGAGAATGGCATGTAACTAGAGATGTAACTATGACAGTAAAATGCAAAGTAAATAGTACAGGAGCAGGTCAAATAATTCCATCTTCATTTCATTACAAGAACAGGGGCATTGGAATAAAAAAAAAATTATGGTAAAAGGGAAGAAGCATAGGTGCGATATGTTAATATGGAGGGTTATATAAGAAATACAGTTGGAATTAATGCAGTTGGACAATGAATGTACAATGGGAAAATAATGGTGTCTTATTACATGAAAAAGTCCAAATCCAAGGCATCAAGAAATTTGATACATATGGGGAATGGATGTAAGAGAATTTGGAAGAAGTACTAGTAAAATAGGCCAGGTTAAAATAGTTAATATTGGAAAGACCTGGAAAAGAGGTGTGTGTGTGACCAGATGATGTCTGAGAGATGCACAGGAAACATTTAGCATGTTAGAGGTATCTTGGAGGACAGGGCAGTATGTTGGATGTAAATGTCACGTAGGAGTATGGCTAACATAATTATAAAAGATATGTTTGAGATTGTCATAGCTGGGAGTAAACATGATAAACTATTTTATATAGGGATTGGTAGAACACTGCCGGCAACAGGGAAGCACGTTGTTGGGTTTTGCACGTGGGAAAAGTGAAAGTAATAATAGGAGAAAACAGTGCACTTGAAACATATTATGCAAAGAGAATATCATACGATATAATATAAGGTTAACATAAAACTAATATCTGGCAAGATTGACAGACACAATTGGAACTCCTCACGCTAAGAACAGTTTACATGGGCATAGCTATTGAACAAAATGGGAAGAGCTATAGTACCCAGGATACTGGATGGACAATGAGTGGTGGACATGTCTTTTAGGTAAAAAGTTAAAGGCTGAGAAAAAATACAGAGCAAAATGACCAGACAAATTGAACTGATAGTAAGGGGTGGGATATTTAATATAAAACATTCTTCAGATAACCTGGACAAGTGTAAAAACTGAGTATAATATAAAGGACTTGGGGTACAGTTAAAGATAATTGGTGGTAACTGGCTGGATGACCCTCAAGAGAAATAATTGGTTATCATATGTGAAAAAGAAATCATACATGGGGATATTTAGCAAAGCACATAGATGCTCTTCAGAGTCTATTGGTTACCATGGTGGTTACTCTTTATTTAGTATTTTGTCCCAGAATAGCACCTTTTTTTGAAAGAAGAAGAAGGAGGCTCTGAAGTAGTAGTAGTAGTAGTAGTAGTAGTGTGGGATAAGTGAAGGCTATTGATACCATATACAAAAGAGGAAAAATAATTGTTGTGTAAATATAGGCAAGGAGAACTGGAAGAAGAACCAATTCCTGTGTAAAAGTGAAGAATATGCGAGGGCAATGTTGATGGCATATGTTCAAGAGAGACTATAGGGGAAAGAGACAGTTTGACATTGAAACAAAGATAAACGATTGGTGTTAAACGTAACCTAGGAAAATGAGAAGAGGTGGAGTATTTTACATAAAATGTGTGTGTGTGTGTGTGTGTGTGTGTGTGTATATGTATATAGAGAGAGAGTGTGTGTGTGTGTGGGTTTGTGTGTGTAAAAATATCTGTTACTGTGTAACTAAATCTACAATTAGCATTACTACATCAAATGTAAAGATAATGAGAGTCCTACTGTGACACTGTATAACATTTCAAGCTTTAAACACCTTCAATGCATTCCACGTCATAAGGATAGAACTAGAAACAAGTGCAAAATGACGGTGTAAAGGAAGAGAATGGAAATGCAAAATGAATGGTAAATTGACTGACTTTGTAACATAACATAAGAAAACAGACTGGCAGCGTGGGAATATGAAAGATTTGGGCTAAAATAGTGTACAAGAAAATGTGTGAGATCAGGTACAAAAGACGTTGGTGGAAAATAAGAAGGATTAAGAGAAACTTAGTGGAAATGATGATAATGGGATAGTGGAATTAGGCTGGCGATGACAAGGAAATTAATTGTTTATCACTGAGAGCTGGGGCAAGGTGAGGTGTTCTGGAGGATTTTGTTGTGAGGCATTAGGTAGTCTGAATGTTCTTCAGAGTTGCAGGTATTGGTTTTTCTTCTGTTTAAAATCTACTGGCTTCACATGAAAAAAACACTTTAGTCTAACTATATCTGCTTACTGACCCATATCTTGCATCTTAATTCAAAGTATGTTAATACATTTGTGACTTTTGCTTGCTCTCAGTTACATAATATCTTTAAACCTATATTTTCTTTTCACTTTAACCCTCCAAAACTGTTCTAACCCCTTTTCTTGTCCTGTCTTCTCTTATTCCAGGCCCTCCTCCCAGCCTCCTCGGAATGGCTTCTTCTGTATCTCCAGCTCTCCTTCCTCGTACAGCTCCACCTGCCCCCTCTGCTTCCCACTCCTCTAATGATGCCTCTGTGGCCTCTTCACAGGCCACGCTGACCCCTGAGGCCTCTGGTACCTCTGCTCTCAAAACTGCCCCTCTAATGGGGGCCCCTTTTATGCCTTTCCCACTAGCCCCAGCTGCCACCCCGCTATTCACACCCCAAATACAGGGCCCATATTTCCAGCAACTCTATGGTTTAAAGAAGCGCTTGTTCCCCATTAACCCTGTCATACCACACACACTGCTAGGGCTACTCCCTACCCCTCTAAAACCAACAGCCGAGACTGCACCACCCAGAAAACTAGAGTGTCCACAGACCAAAGCAACAAATGAGTGCAATGTTGGGCAGGAGGAAATGCTAATGGTAGAGGAGGAAACTGTGGAGAAAGATGATGACTTAGATGATGAGGACATCCCAATGGTGGATGTAGCAATGAGGTATCAGTGCCAGCGTTGCAAGGCATCATATGAGGAAGAAGCAGAGGCTGAAGCTCACCAACGTGCAGTCTGCTACACTGGGCCACCACCTCACCCACCTCCACTAAGGATGAGGGTCTGTACCTACCACTGCCTGTCCTGTCAAGTCTTGCTTCAGGGCTCTGCAGCTCGCAGTCAACATCTAAGGTCACAGCAGCACCGTGTACACAACATGTGTGGTGATGGAGCATCCTCTGCAATACCTCAACTCAGGCCAAAGAGTGCTGCTACCTCCGTACTCATGGCTTTATAGAGATGCCCATGGGCAGTCTCACATTATAGAAATGCTTTTCAAACTGTCTTCTTCTTTACTGGCCCTTTGTTTGTTTTAGTTTTCCTTTACTCTTTCTATGTTATTTTCATTAACTTTTAATTAATTTCCTTTCTGCTGCTTTTCTGTTGCCTTTGTGTTATTCTCTGTCTAGATGTATCAGTCTGTTACAGATGACGCATTCCTTCAATTAAGAATGCTTCCTCGATCATCTTCTACTGGAGTGCCATTGTACCTGTTGACTTGACTGCCTCTCTCTGTCTATCTTCTGTCTTTTTGCTATGTCCCTCCAGTGGTAAAAGAAATACAACTTAACACAGGCCAAAAAGAAAAAAAACAAAAAACAAAACCTAAAACCTCTACAGAGAAATACTGAGAACCCAAAGTTTTTCTGCATTTCCTGAAACTGGTGCCAAAACGAGAGTGACCTCTCTCTGTTCTTGCGTCCTGCACCCTCATGCCCTGATGTAGGGAAGAGGAACAAAAAAAATGATGAACTGGGTAACAGAGGGAGGAATAAACTGAAAATAACCAAAAGTTCCAAGACATAAGGAGCAAAACTCAGAAGCAGCACCTGCTTTTCTCTTACACATGCGTGTATACGTGTGTGTACAAAAGATTATGGGGATTTTATTTCAAAGGGGAGATATTGCACCCCTCCACCAATGACTGTAAAACGTAGGGGTGAAGATTACACCCCAAAAACTCTCTCTGTGATGCTTTAACTATTTGTGGAGGGGATGAGGGAAGGGCTTTATCTTTTGTTTGGGGAGGGTTGAGGGATAGGGGCATTTTTCACTCCCTTGCCTCTTGTATAGCTCTCCCCATACCTCATTCCCAAAGTTTTAAGATTGGGGTATTTGGGGTGGGGGCTGGAAGGGTTAAGCCAACTAACAGTAACAAAGAAAAAAAAAAAGACTTTTGAATCCAAAGTTCGTGACAAAGAAAACTCGAGAAAATGTTGACACCAAAAAAAAAAAAAAAAAAAGGATCGAAGGAAATGATGTGTTAAAAAAGGACAATTATTTGTATTGTGTAAAAAAAGTCAAATGGAAAAAGCTGGGTCACTTTGCAGTACATAATGCAGAGCAGCAAGTAATCTGTACATGTGTTTACCATCACCAAATGTGTTTAGTGTGGGCCTCAAGTTGTGGAACAATCTAGCAATGCTCATTAAGGATTCTCTACACCTTCATAACCTGTCTAATTTAACGTTTCCAATTCACCTCAATTTTCTGTCCATTTATTTTCTCTGACCTGACTACCGAGTATGCCATCTTCTGTGCTTTGGAAATTCTTCCTTTTTTGTTTCCTACCTCTTCATATCCTTCTGAAGTTGTTATTCCATTCCATATCCTTTCTTCTATCGGTCTTCTATTCTCTACACCTCATAACTTATTTACTATTACCTACTGATGCATCACTGCACCTGGCTACTTTGGGTGTATGTCAATGATATTGGTACCATCCCTTGAATATATAGATATACATACATGCATATATACACACACACACACACACAAAAAGACAATTACACTCTAGACTTTACATGGCCAACTCTGAAGAGCTTTGAAATGACAAGGTTCAGCTTATTTTCAGTTATGTTCTATTTCTAAAACTATATTTATCGTGTTGCAAAAAACACAAACCAAAACAGGATACTAATCACGCATTGCAGGTACAACTATCACATTTGCTTGTTACCCACATCAGGTCTACAGAGTTCACTACAATTCTCCACTTACAATATACTGGCCATCTCTCTCTCTCTCTCTCTCTCTCTCTCTCTATATATATATATATATATTGGGACAAAACAATTGTGGCTATTTATTCTGTTAGCAGTGTGATTTGGTAGTATTCTTCAAGAACAATTCAAATGCAAAAGTAAATTCTTAGAACATGTGGAGGAACCAACAGACCACAGAGGTGGTTTTGTCTAGCTTTCAAGTTTTGAACTTACAGATATAGAAAATATATTCCGTCATTATAAGATAGGTCCTAATTCATTCATGTTGACACCAAATTGACTTCCTAGAGGTCATAGGATAACTCCTCAAATATTCTTGCCTATACAAAATAATAAAATGGCACTTAATCATAGTCAAATATAAGTTAAAAAAAGGCCAAAGCCAAACAACTAATCATTTTCCTTTGAGTGTGTGATATTCTTTCTGGGTACCATCCCAGATGACTGCTCTCATCATACAACAGAAACACCAGTTCTCTTACTTTATCTTTGCAAATCAGTTCCATGACGTGTTCACTATTAACCAATATCTCATCTCTTTCTAATATCCCCTCTACCTCCTGCTAACATTCACCTATTTGAAGGGTATAGCTCTGTGGGGATACACAGATTGTGACACATACAGATTGGGCCTAGGACTCTGGTTGAACATTCAGGTAAAGCCTGCAAGTGTCTCTCACCAAAAATCACAAGAACTGCTATAACCAAACTAGAGAGGACAGCACTGACAGAGGAAATCTGATCCAACCAGAGCCAGTCCGCTAACAGATTTAAAGACCCACACTTTACCTGCATCTTTTAACCTGTATAGTGACCAGCTGCTCACCCACCATGGATTGTCGCATGCAAAGAGTTCAAGGAGTTTTTCAGAGTGATGTATAAATGGTTAAAAAAAAAAAAAAACTATAAAAACGAAGATAAAATGTTATCATGGTGTCTGTGTATTCTATGAAAATGTTTGTAGAATCAGTCTAAACTGCCCACTGCTGGGTTATGTAAAAAAAAAAAAATGGAGTGCAAACCGCATTTCCTCTCAAGAGGCTTACAATGATATCATGTGTATTATTTTTGTGTTAATCTGTCTCACCGTTCTCTGGAGGCCTTCTGCATCCTCCCTTTGCAGTCTCGCTGGTGGCCATTCTTGGTGATTTTCTGAAGTTCTCTTCTTTAACATGAACGCCTCCCTTCTTGGCTCAAACATGGTGACAGGCCGTTATGCAGTATGGCACACCTGGCACGTTCACTCAATAACAAAGGCACATATATGATCACACTCGACAGATGCACCACTGACAGATATTCAGTGATCATAAGAAAAATTTGTATGGGTAAGAACGATAGAGGGTATTGCTGTGCCAATCTCATATATATAATTTTTTTTTAGTGCCATGTCTCATGTTACATACCCTTCCTCGCTTTTTCTCTCACTTTCATGCATTCTCTGTACGGCACAATACAAAAGTACCAGGTGCCAGCTCTGAGGGGCCGCGTCTGTGCCAGCTTCTCCGCCAGCATTGTATCTCTGCCAACTCCCGCTATCTGCCTCTTTATGCCCATCTCTCTGTCTGTGCATATCTCTCACGCTGACATGCTTTTCGTCTGTATCTCTCAGCCCCACTCTCTCTCTCTGCCAGTTTCTCTGCCCGGGTACGCGCACACAGGGCACACACAAACAGATGCAAATACATGAACACGCACACAGATGGTCAGTGCCCACAGCTGCCAGCTCACACCTCAGGGAGCTGAAGCGGGTGGGTGTTGGTGGGGGTGAAATATATATACGGTGGGATATTAGTGGGAGGGTAGAAAAAGATGCTGATTTTTCGATGGCGGATGCATCTGCTACTCTGTGCGCAATCTCCCTCCTCCGTCACTGCGCTGTCTCTCACACTGTTGTCTCTTGCAGTCTGTCATCTTGAAGGGGGCAGGTACAGGCTGGCTCAGTGCCACTCACATGAACCCCCGTACATCACCGCTGACTGCTCCCCCTTCCACACAAATCCAGACACCCCTCTCATCATCATCACCACACAGCATTAATTAGCTGAGAGAATTCATTATACTCACAAATCCTAATTAACACAAACAGCCTAAGGGGAATTGCCGGATGTATGCATGGCAGAAAAAGTGTTAACCATGGCTGTGCAGATTTCTCTATGTAGCACTCAGGGGATGTATTCCATCAATAAAAAACACTCATGATCCCAATTTTGAGTGCCTTAGTACAGGAGGACTGGCTGAATTCTAGGCAAGAGTAGAGGATCTTGAGGAAAGGTAACACAGCACCACCTGCAGGAGAAATAGTGGGACTGATTTGTATTAAATTCCAGGGAAAGGAGCATGAAGGAGATATTTGGCTGTTTTTTCAAATTCTGCTAGCATTGCAAGCTTCTTTTATTTTTATTTATAATGCATACAATATTAATCACAATGTTGATTTATGTGTGTTTGCATTAACTTCACTCGCCTGAAAGAAACATAAAGTCATTATGAAAAGATTTTTTTTATTACAGATTGCTTCAGCCACTGAACAAACAAATAACACAACCAGAGTCTGACCACATCTGCAATGAGACTTCTCAAAAACACTGCCCTTATGTTGCCATGTTGAATCCCCATAACGTACTTGGGAGTGTGACTTTCATTTCACCTGCACTAGTGCTGGCAATGTGATCCAGTCTGTGGATTTGATATTGTACAAAAAATAATATATCACTGCTCACACAATGTTTTAAATCCCTGCTTTTCTCCCTTCTTGCACAGAGTTAATTTCCTTGTCATATAGGAGCAACTCTTTCTCTTCATGTTACAGCCAAGTTTTATCCAGTATGCGGTTAGATCATTGCCAGGTTCCTACAGGGAAATTGCCAATTTCACAAATTTCCTGAGCAGAATTCCCGCTTTGCGAGAAAGAAAAACGAAGACGCATCTTTAGTGGGACCTGAGGAAAGAGGAAACAAAAAATGAAGAAAATGAATGAAAGAAAAGTCATTCAGCATGTGATTTCATCTTCCTGCCATTTAATCAGGGCATACTTTTTGAGGATTTAGGACCCGGATACACTGTGTGACAGCTCCTATACCAGATGCTTTGACGATGGAACCACTGGGAGCCTGAAGCTGGAGCTGAACACTCTGTAAAAAAGAAAACAGATTCACGTCGCAAAGGATATATCTAGATCCATACACACATAAAACCCAATCATGCGCATCAGGGAGGAGACATATTCTGTACATATTCTCCAACTCAGCTAGTCAGCTCACATATTTTAGCCTCAATGTTGTCATCTGGATTTCAAATAACTGCAATTTGGGAGAACTGTGCATGTCACTCAAATCTATGCACAGAAGAGGTTTGTGGAAAACACATGCAAGCATGCCCAAAAGTGGCATCTCATTAACTGGCAAAATGAATGAGAACTAGAGAAATACGTTTTCTTCTAGTTTCCATTCACTTGCAAAAGCACACCTGCATCACCCACTAGATAACCTTATGCCCAGTTCCCCCCCTGTTGTGTCAAACACGGTGCCACTAAATCGTCAACACCATGTATTGAAGACACGCTCCCCAATCCACTGCTTTCATAAGTGAAGTTCAGTGAAATAAAGTAGTGGTTTGTTGCTTGCAGACCAGCCACGAGTCAGGTGGCCGCGTAAAGTATGTTAAAGTAGTATCACATCACATCCAGATCTGGCTAAGGTTCCATGGTGAATATTGTGCGGATATCAGTGACAGGCAGCTGCAACACACATCACCTGCCACTGCTCCCACAGCTGTATCACCAATAATAGGTAGGGGTAGCACCATTTTTAAGGATAGAAACTAAAAAGCTTAAAGAATTTAGGTTCACCAGTGTCTCGGATTAGGTAATATACCAATTATACTGACCTTGGGTACAGCAGCCTGCATCTGGAAGTCAGTCATGTCACTGTCAGAAGAATTAGTGGCGCAGGAAGTGATGACTAGAAGTGCAGGATTAGTGGGCGGACGTAGAAAAGAGAACTCTACATTAAGCCCATGATTATTATACACAACCAAGGGAGGTAATGCTGCAAGACAGAGTGAATATGTGAGTATCCAAGTATGTAATATGGTATTCCGGAACTATGAACCCTTGTGTCAAAATCGTGTTGCTTTATTGTTGCCAAGTCTATGAATAATAACAACACAAAGCTGATTATTTTCCGATTTCAACTGCAGAGCAATACAAACCAATAAACCAATTTTTAGGGAATATGTTACTGCTCTATATAAATTGTGGAAAAGTGTGATGCTGAATTAGGGTTCAAGAAGAGTAATTTGTCTGGCCTAGAAATGTTCACAGGGGCATTTCTGAGTCTGCTGTGTGCTGTTGCTGACAACTGATGTGTGCTTGGCAGGCATGTAATAATACAGGTTCTCAACTAGGAACCCATTGTAAAGTACTACAGGGTTTGTTATTGCTTTATTAAGAAAATAATGACTTCAGTGTAGCTCCATCCCTCTACACGTTTCTGCTAAAACAACTGATGCTGACCTCTGACCCCTGATTTCTTATACCCCTGCAGTAATATGTATGAGTTCTATTATTGGATATGTTGTGCAGATAGAAATTCTCTTCATACCTGGAACTGGGGTTTCATCCAACAGGTCCAAGAGGCTGCCACCATTAGGAAGATTCTGGGTAACATTCAGGTCAGCAGCAGGAACTGGTGTAATTACATTCACAGGGCTCTCTTCAAGCAGCCCCAAGAGATCTGTGACCTGCAAGTTAATACGGTCAGCACCTCACTTATAAAACCCACTCACTCTCTAACTTCCATATCCTCTCACCTGGCTTAATGTCTGCACTGAGGAGGGTTGACTTTGGGGTAAGCTCTCTACAGGTGTTCGTCTTTCCTCACCCAGAATATCTCCTGCTGCAGATTTCTCTTCCACTGGCATCTTCTCCAAGATGGCTGCCCTGAATAAGTAATAAAGACAGGAAACGTTAAAAGAGACACAGACCCTTCAAATCCTAATGGAAGCATTTGTCAATTTTCTCTGAGGTATGAGGGTTGGGATAGGATTGATGAACATCTAAAAACACATGGATTTCAAGATCAGAGACAACATGGGTTTACTTCAGGGAGATCATGCCAAACTAATCTTATTGATTTTTTTGATTGGGTAACTAAAATAATAGATCAGGGTGGTGCAGTAGACATTGCTTACCTAGATTTCAGTACGGCTTTTGACACTGTTGCACATAGAAGGCTTATCAATAAACTGCAATCTTTAAGTTTGGATTCCAATATTGTTGAATGGGTAAGGCAGTGGCTGAGTGACAGACAACAGAGGGTTGTAGTCAATGTAGAATATTCAAAGCTTGGACTTGTCACCAGTGGGGTACCTCAGGGATCTGTACTTGGACCCATTCTCTTTAATATTGCAGAAGGTCTTGATGGTAAGGTATGTCTTTTTGCTGATTATACTAAGATATGTAACAGGGTTGATGTTCCAGGAGGGATAAGCCAAATGTCAAATGATTATGGTAAACTAGCAAAATGGTCAGAGTCGTGGCAACTGACATTTAATGTGGATAAGTGCAAGATAATGCATCTTGGACGTAAAAACCCAAGGGCAGAGTACAGAATATTTGATAGAGTCCTAACCTCAACATCTGAGGAAAGGGATTTAGGGGTGATTATTTCTGATGACTTAAAGGTAGCCAGACAATGTAATAGAGCAGCAGGAAATGCTAGCAGAATGCTTGGTTGTATAGGGAGAGGTATTAGCAGTAGAAAGAGGGAAGTGCTCATGCCATTGTACAGAACACTGGTGAGACCTCACTTGGAGTATTGTACACAGTACTGGAGACCGTATCTTCAGAAGGATATTGATACCTTAGAGAGGGTTCAGAGAAGGGCTACTAAACTGGTTCATGGATTGCGGGATAAAACTTACCAGGAAAGGTTAAAGGATCTTAACATGTATAGCTTGGAGGAAAGACGAGACAGGGGGGATATGATAGAAACATTTAAATATATAAAGGGAATCAACACAGTAAAGGAGGAGACTATATTTAAAAGAAGAAAAACTACCACAACAAGAGGACATAGTCTTAAATTAGAGGGACAAAGGTTTAAAAATAATATCAGGAAGTATTACTTTACTGAGAGGGTAGTGGATGCATGGAATAGCCTTCCAGCTGAAGTGGTAGAGGTTAACACAGTAAAGGAGTTTAAGCATGCGTGGGATAGGCATAAGGCTATCCTAACTATAAGATAAGACTAGGGACTAATGAAAGTATTTAGAAAATTGGGCAGACTAGATGGGCCGAATGGTTCTTATCTGCCGTCACATTCTATGTTTCTATGTAAAACCAAATAAAAAACTACATGCGGAATCACACTGATCTGAACTGATGTATGTGAGCTTAGTCTTGCACATTCGAGGAAACCTGAGAATTGTCTCTGAATTTTGCAATTTGGAAGAATATTGCCAGCATGGTGAATGATCCATATTATCAAAAAGCACAGAAGTAAAAAATGTAAGAGTACTTATTGTGCTCTCGACACCATTTGAACTTTTTTTGAGGAGACACGTAACATATTCTCTATAAGTTTGTCATGTGTTTTGGAGGTCAGAGTAAATGTTTAATGTTAAAAGCACACTATGCTATATACTACTAATCAGCTGGGCAAGAAATACTTGCAGGAAGATAGGGAGAACACCAATGGGGAAGGAATGTGTACTGGGAAGGCAGTGCAGAGAGAATGGGGATGGTAGATGTTGATTGAAAGTATTTAATATGAAGCAGTGGGAAGTAATAGAGATGTAATGATTCGGAGTGACGGCAGAGGAGACTGAAGGTGAAGGACTAGCATGGAAGGTGAATAGAGAGGACTAACATAGAAAGAATAGCTAGAAATTAGCCCAATAAATGGGAACTGAGAGAGGGAGGGAGCATGGGTGAACTGACATGAAGAAGGGGGGGGAGGGAGCTTTATTGGACAGTGAACGCTTATATAGAAAGCAAAATAGAACAGCTATTAAAAGAGAGGAGTGGACTGATAGAGAAGATGTTCCAGCGGTCTACACTGGCAAATGCAGACTTTGATTTAGTATACAAATCCTTGTATGTTTACTGGCAGCAATAAAGGATGTATGTGTTTTGTTAAAAAACAAAAAAAAAACAAACGATAGACTTTTTTTTTTAAACAAAACACAAATGTTCTCGTTGCTGCAGGAGTGCTGCTGTCACTGTATATAATTTATTAGCTTTGCTTTGAGCTGTACGTCTCTAGGTGTATTACAACTATTTTGATTTCTCAAAGATGTAAGTTAAAAGCAATTTTGTTTAATACATGGATATAAGAAGTATTTTATCTAATGGAATCCCAATGAGTGTATATGTATTGTGTCTGTGATACAGTAATCGGGTGTGGGTAGAAATGTACAGGAAGAGTGATACACTGCAGATAGTGATGTACTCAATAAGGTGTGCATCAAAAGCACTGCCATTGAATGACTACAATGTGGTTATCAGACTCTTTGGGTTTGTGATAGCAGTTACTGGTCTTGGCAGTTCTGTTTGACAGACTGCTCTAAGAATTAAAAAGGGCCTTAGGGTGAACTTATTTTCAAAGTTCCCAAGCATCTTCATATTGATGTTTTTCAATCTATTAAAGGCTAGCAAAGGGAGATGTAATTATTATTTTCAACTGACCTATCACATTATGCATCACATAATATCACACATCCAGCACATGGTGAAGTAAGAGATTTAAGTATGTAGCTTCTCCCCTGTCTTTTTTTTTTTTTAATGCTGCTGACTGATGGGTGAATTTACATCAATGATGCTGCTTGCTAATTATCCTGGTTAATTGTGCGAAGGATAATTTTGTCCCATGTGAAATCCTAGGACCCCCTGGGCTGCTGGCAGCCGTATTTTCCAGGGAGGTCACAAAGGATAATTATTTTGGGCAGCCGAGATTCAGCAGGGTGGGGGTGGGCAGAGCACATGCATTTACAATCACAGACAAAGACGGAGTCTAAATGTAGCTACCCAATTGGAGGCTCGAAAACTCCATTGTGATGATTTCCAAACATATATCCCATTTACCACCTCTCTAAAATAAAGCCCCTCCTGTTTAAAAGCAATCTATTACATGATTGACTAAAACATCTGAAATCACCTATTATTTGTGTTAACGTTTATCATTTTCATTTAAAATGATATTAAAGGGACACTCTTGGCACCATAAACACTTAATCGGAATGAAGTTGTTATGATTTGACAAGATCTCCAGGTGCAGGCTTACTTCAAGAGGTTAAAAAACCCCATTAATAAATGGTTTAACCCCAAAATCTTGAATCTGGCGCCCAGCTACTTCCTTTGCAGTCCGTAATTTGAATCAGGAAGCCTTGAACTGGAAGCCATTGATTGGTCTAAGAGGTCAGGATGGTTTGCATATGTGTGGTTTTTCTATTTGAGATTCATTTTGTATCAAACTGGAGGCTTCAGATCCGTGTGTTCTCATGAGTTCAGCATATAAGTTTGGTACACTACCTGCAACCACGGATGCAGATTTAAGATATCTGAACTACGCGCAATCAGATACTCAGCAGTGAACACCTTATCTATTGATCGCGGCTTGAATTTGTGAGTAGTGTCTGTTGTGACTTTATCCCTATTTTTCTGGTAAACCGTTCATTAACAGTTTAACCCCTTTGCAGTATGCTGGTGCCCAAAGATCTTGTTGCAGCAAAATAACTTAATTTCGATGGGGTTGTTATGGTGCCTGGTGTGTTCCTTTAATGATTTAGCAATTGACGTCACAATTTAGTTCAGTCCAGGCACAGCCAGAGCATACATGCATTGGAGGAGGAGAAACTGAAGCACCGTTTCTATTTCTCCTCTCTGTGTGCTGAATGCCAGGTACCAAGAACAAAGCTTATAATAATGACTGACAGGGCGCCAACTGCAGATAAAAAGGCTTGGAATTCTAAATTTTGTTTTATTTTTCACACCTCAAATACATATTATGGGAGATCTATAGACTAGATAAGTAAACATAATATTCAGAGTTGTAGGATATGACAGTTCCATTTAACTATGGTTTAATAGTCATGCTTCATGGAAGCAATTATTCTAATCCTGGCCCACTGTATGCACTTCCCATCAGTTTTCAGAATTAAAAGGGATGTCTAGTCAACCTTAATCTACAGCCCATCATACTTCATCTATATGTCACCTATTTTTACATAATATAATGGAGCTTCCATTTCCCCAATTATCATTCTTATTAATGTTCGCATCTCTAACATATTACACAGCACTGCACAATTATTATCTCCAGATGCATACCTCATGTGGTCGTATTTCTTGAACAGAGCATTGTACTCCACTGCTCTCTGCTGTAACTCCACGTCATGACAGCTGCCGTATATAGAAACCACACGGCGTATACGGCTGAGAGAAAGAAGGGAATGATGAGAACAAATACACAATGCAATACAAATGGCAACACATAAAGCATCAGAAAACTACATTTAAAACTATTCTGTTGCTCTCCCAGTTGGGCTTGGATTCAGCCGTCTCATACGGATTGGTGTGAAATAACTTTTTGTTGGTTCAAGATTCTGACACTAGTTTCATATGTAAACTACTAAACTGTAACAAATAAAAAACAGTTTTTGTTATTGCTATAATTTACAAGGTTCTATGAGTGAACCTCATCTAGAATAATGACCATTTAATCAAGATTAAGCGGAATAATGACCCATTATACGCTCACAGCTAAAACAATGCTCCTACAGTTGTTGTCTGATGTGGCTTGTACAGAAGGTTACATTTTTTCCAGTGTAGGAGGATGAATGAGATTCACTAGAACAATGAATGGTAAGTTCAGGGATAAAAAGCAGAGACAGTAGATCGCCTAGGACCGCAGGCTGTGCGCACTGAACTATATTGTAAGGACTAGAATCCACAGGAATGTCTTATTCAGAAGACCATTTTTTAGTTTGTTGACAGCAAACTACTTTGTGCACCTAGTCACTTATTTACATTTTAATGTCAAAATAGCTGAACTGAAAACATAGTTGAGTTGGATAATTTTTCCCATTTTAGTTATTGTGGCCTAAACTTTTAGATTCACACTTGAGTAATTAACCATGTGTATTATGAAACAACCTTCCAAAAATAAGTTCTACACCATACTCTGTTTAATACACAAGGGAAAACAAGACTGGCTGCTTACTCCACATTTTGTTTGAAGCGGGTGCTCAGTTTCATGATGGCCGTCAGCGTGTAGGCCCGTGTGCTTGGTGTGGAGATGTGAGACTGTAGTATTCCTTCCAGGACATCTAGAACCTCATCTTCCGTTACCTGGCAACATCAAGCACTCAATGGTATTGTCACTGTAATTTATATGCAGACCTGCAGATCTTTGATCCCTTCTGCTTATTAACAATGGCATGATAAAAGATTGTGCATACTGTAATTGTGCTGTAATGGTATATTTTATGCTTTGAACCACATCTTACCTGTAAAGGCTCTTCCTCCTCACAGGATCCAAGCAGCAGTAATTCACCATATTCCCCAATGCACCAGGAGGCCACTTGAACCAATGGCTGCTGCAAAGTGCAAATAAGACTGGATGAGACTGCTGACCCTGATTGTGACCCTGACACATTACGTTAATGAGCTTGTCACTCAAAACACATGGCAACACCATAATTCTAGATCAGATCTCCCGCTAAGGATTCTCCCTACTTCGCCTTGCTTTCCCTATCCAGTGTTCTCCTAAGCTCAGCTTCCATATCTCTGTATCACTCCCCCAGATTTCTTTCCGCACCTCCTTCTTTTCTCTCCCCGCTGTCATTTAGTCTTTGTGTGCCTCTCAGCTCGGGGATCTCACCTGCCCAATGTCTTCCCTCACAGCTTTGTAAAGCTTTTGCACGATGTATGCATGCAGCTCAGAGGCTCCTCTGATCAGGTGAATTAGGTGTGATACAGCATCATCACGAACGCTCTCCCCAGCCTGACAAAAAAAAGAAGATAATAGAGTGAAACCATAATTAATCAGGGAAAGCAGGGTCATGAATCTTCACAATGATCAGTTTTAAGGCTAATAAAAAAATAAAATAAAAATGCAACATTTCACAATATGGTTTTGGCACATATAATGCATGCAAGAAAATCAACCTCCTAAACGGCATGTTATTTACATGGCTCAAGTACTTGCAAATCTAAATACTTAATAATTAGAAACCAAATCAGAGCTTAACCTTTGATGTTGGATTACCATAGTATTGGAAGGTGTTAAAAAACTAATATTTATTTAGTATTTAGGGAGTCTATATGCCTAAATGTTTGCATCAAAACTATACCAGACAGCGTGCCCCACACAAGTGGAAGGCACACATATTATTACACCCAAAATACATGAAGTAAAATGTTAGTTTTAGAAAGGATGCAGAACATGTCACATTGCTGTTGAGTATGTATATATTAGTGGGTTCCTTCAGTAAACTGACATGCATTAGCAGGTATTGCCACTATTCTGTGTATAAATTGCCAGATTTCACGTGATCTGCTAGCAGCTTGCACATTGCACATTGCACCAATAATGGAACAGTATGCGTTGAGTGCAAGTTTCTCTCTGATCAGCTGCAAGGGAAGCTTGAAGAGAACATCTACTGCAACACATACCAGTAAAGGTTATTTTTTAGCACTAACCTGCACATTTAAAAAAAAAAAAAAAAAAAAATACACCTGGTGCACAGATTAGAAATCATTACATTAACATTTTTTGTTTGTTTTAAAAAAAATCTCTCTTTTTTTTTTAGCTTGCTCTTTCTATTTTTCTTAATCACATCTGTGTGTTCATAAGAACTAATGTTTAATTTACAAATATGGTCATGTTACTATGCAGTTGGCTGTCTATGTACAATGCAGCCATTGTCGGTCACATCAAGCTTCATGTAGCTTGTGCTTTTATCTCTCCCACATGCAGCCATTTAGAATGAGCTGCATTACATATAGCAAACACTAGGTGTCACTGTGATTTCACAGCCAATAACACAACGTGAAGTACTCACTGTGATCAGTGTCTCCATTATAGTATCTATGTGCCAACGTTTGGAGGGGGAGAACCTAAAAGAGGGTGGAGAGACATCACATTATTGTACGCCCCTGATTGCAAACACTGTGCATCACTGCACACGCAGTGCTCTTAAACAGCATTACTGTTAGTCTATCAGAAGTATTACCTTGCTACCATTATACAGTCAGTGCCATTACTCACCATTATCATGCAACTAGTGCTTTTGGTCATGCTCATTGGACCCCCAGGGCGTTTACTCATTATCTTTGTCTAACCATTGATTTTACTCACTACTATTCAGTATTTTTATTTACTATCATTGTACATCCAGTGCTTTTACTCATTGTCGGAAATCCAGTGCTTTAACTTACTATTATTGTACATCCAGTGCTTTTACTCACTATCATTGTAAATCCAGTGCTTTAACTTACTATCATTGTAAATCCAGTGCTTTAACTTACTATCATTGTAAATCCAGTGCTTTAACTTACTATCATTGTAAATCCAGTGCTTTAACTTACTATCATTGTAAATCCAGTGCTTTAACTTACTATCATTGTAAATCCAGTGCTTTAACTTACTATCATTGTACATCCAGTGTACATCCAGTGCTTTAACTTACTATTATTGTACATCCAGTGCTTTAACTTACTATCATTGTAAATCCAGTGCTTTAACTTACTATTATTGAACATCAAGTGCTTTAACTTACTATTATTGAACATCAAGTGCTTTAACTCATGGTTATTGTACATCCAGTGCTTTAACTTACTATCATTGTAAATCCAGTGCTTTAACTTACTATTATTGAACATCAAGTGCTTTAACTCATGGTTATTGTACATCCAGTGCTTTAACTCACTATCATTGTACGTCCAGTGCTTTAACTTACTATCATTGTAAATCCAGTGCTTTAACTTACTATCATTGTAAATCCAGTGCTTTAACTTACTATCATTGTAAATCCAGTGCTTTAACTTACTATTATTGAACATCAAGTGCTTTAACTCATGGTTATTGTACATCCAGTGCTTTAACTCACTATCATTGTACGTCCAGTGCTTTAACTTAATATCATTGTAAATCCAGTGCTTTAACTTACTATCATTGTACATCCAGTGCTTTAACTTAACATCATAGTACATCCAGTGCTTTCATTCATAGTAATTGTACTCACAGTGTAGTAACTCACCAACATTGCTATTGCTCACGGTTACTGTACACCTAATACTGTAACTCACCATCATTGTACACCCAAGTGATTTAACTCCCTAGCATTGCACACTGTACTTTTGCTCACAAATTGTTTACTTAACATCATTGTATACACAGTGTGTTAATCACTTTATCATTGTACACCAAGAGCTTTTGCTGGTCATTATTGTACTCTGCAAACAAAGCACCAGCACTACATTGTTGTACCTCACATCATGGCGGACACTGTGCGATTACCCTCAGGAATACATTGTTTTCACATAAAGTCATTAAAAAATGTGATTGATATATTATTTTGTCTTACAATTATCCCTACAATATTAATCAGGCCAAATCCTATTAAAGTTGTATTGGTGCATGGAGTGTCCACTTAAGTGTGCTTCAGTACCAACATCTTAACCCTGCCTCACTGCTCACTCACATTTTAAGTCTGCTTTACTGTTCAGTGGCCTCTTACCTCCATGTCACTGCATTCTCAGAGCCTTACCCTGTGTACAGATATCGTAGTTCAATGTCTAATCTTCAACTTGTGTCCCCGCACACAGAAATGTTAACCCTGTATTTATGGAAACTTATTGCTACTAAATGGGTACAACAAACATGAAAAATAATGTAGAAAGCTAGGTAGTATTTCAAAGCATCTCAAAAACACATAGGAATTGCAGTACGCTGTGCAGTTGGAAAGTTTCAGCTCTACTGTGGTCCACTGGACGCAGAAGAACATTGCGCAACCACTGAAAAGGACTGTAACCGGTTCAATTGTGACACCTTTTAGGATTCATTTAAAATTTTCAACGTGTTAATTAATATTTTAAAACCATTCAGGGCTCAACCAACTACAAGAATACCCAGTATTCTCTTGAACATCTTCTGTTGTGTTTTTTGTCGTAACAAATAAAGTTATCTTGTGATGGCGAGACACAAGGAAAAATGTAAACATTGCATTACAAGTCCCATGTATCTGTGCTCAGACAAATCTACTAGTCCTCACCTCTCAGCACTCAGGAATATTCCAGAGGCACATTGTTCTCTCAGCTCTGGCTGACATGTCTGCAGAAACCTTTGGAGTTCCTTCATCATAACACGGATGTTGGCTTCATTCACTAGTGCGAAGCATAACTCAAGCGCCTTCCTAAGAGAAGCAAAGAAACCTGTAGTAAAGTTTCCATCCTAGAAAACCTATGGAGCATGCATAGCACAGTGGTCATTGGCACAGTTCAATCAAGCTAGCAAAATACATAACAGCTGGGTATCTTCACCTGTTCACAGATGTGTCAGTCTGTCTGAGACATTCCACAATGGTTGCTCGATGTCTCTGCACTGCTGCATTGTCTGTCTGGACCAATCGCTGGAGAGACGTGAGCGCAACGTATCTAGGAGACAGAGACAACTGTCTGAGTCCTACAAATGAGATGAACTCATACAACTTTTACAGCAAATTGGAAAATACATGAATGGAAAATTACAGGTTTAAAGTGTTTTTACCTGATGTTTTTATCGTTACTTAAGAGAAACCGTCCAAGGATGTTAACAGCAAGTACCTGGGAGATGAACAAAAAGAAAGTTGTTGATCAGAAAATGCTAGGTGTGCATTATTACAGAGATAGAAAATTTAACTCATTTGGGTCAATGCTTAAAAGACACTGTGAATGTTTTAACATTATTTAAACATTCCCCTTATGTATTTTTTTAAATTCACTTTCTATCGCTTACTCTTGTTGCACATTCTCTAACATACAGGGGCTTTCTGAAATCACTCAAAGGAAACATAGGCAAGTCTAATGACATTTACACATATGCATACTTGGCTCTGTCAACAGGTTTGTAGAGTGCTCACTTATAGTGAAGTAATTAAGTATTACCAAGAGCTTGGACATTTTGATTAATTTTTTAATGCAAGATAGATATTTCAGGCCTGGACATGTGTGAGATTTATCTACCCAGACATGAATTAGGAATGTGTTTTGTTTGGAGTGAAAATATCCAGTGGGATGATCAATGATAATTAGCAACGCAATACTGATTTGAAGAATATGCTCTAGTCGAAGTTTAATGTATGTAATCTCCTATGAGAGAGATTAAACATCACGAGTCAGTATAAAATGGTTTAATGACAGTGACTAAGCTAGTGAATGTCCTCTCGCTTTCTAGTCCTCAGCTCCTTTGTACTCACACGCAGACCACTTGCAGATTTGGTGTCCACAATAGTCAAAACGGTCTCATACAATACAGCATTCCCAGCATTAGACTGTGTTTCAGTGCAGGTGGAGACCTGAGAGACAAAAACATAATTTTAATGCACAAATAGTTGCCTAATTCCCCTATACTGTACACAATACATGACCTCAATAGCACTCTCTCCAATCATGCTCTCACTCTTGTTTCACCTGGGCCAGCAGGTCACCCATAGCATCGCAGATACTCTCATCATTCTGTCCTAGGATTCTCATCAACCGCAAGAGGCGCACCTGAGAAAAACAGGAAAAGAGGGGATAAGAAAAACAAAGTATGGGGCGATAGGGGGACAGCACAAGGGTCAAACAGACAACATGTACATTAATTAGATTGTGCCAGAAACTGAATAAAAAGCAGTATAGAAGTGTACGAAAACTGGAGCTCAATAGTGTTAAAGTGAGATTAAAAAAAAAAATGATCAGGTACAAACAAATGACATGGAATTGAATAGATGGACTTTTTGTGACTGACTGGCCTGACAGGTCATTGGTCATGAAGAGGTTCAAATTGGTAGTTGCAAAATAAAAAAAAATCACTACAACTATGGTCTATGTGATTATTTAGTTCTAAATATATGGTTCCTCCTACAGCTTGGTCACAATATATGGAGACCTAAATAAACTACTTGTAAAAAAATAAAAATGTAATTTATCTTGCCCCACACACCTGATAGCGTCACATAACTATCTTGTGGTATTTGTACAATTATCAGAACAGTTTGTTGAACATTGCCAGCAATCTCAAATTGATTCTGCCCTCTACCAGTTCTGCTCGGGGCTACTTCGTATGCCTAACAAACTTCCTGTGAAAATACTTTCTTGCCTCTCAAACCTTACAATACTTTTATGAAGCAGTGGAGTCATACATTGATTAAATAATATTTTAATACCCGCCCCTGAGGTCCCTTGCTTATTCTTCCCTTCATGTTTCTTCCAACTTTTTCTTTGTTTCTACATGTATTGTTTTTTTGTTTTTTTTTAATTGGATCATTGTATGTATGATCCGACATCACCTTAAACAAAACCTTAAAAAATATATATGTCAAATCCTTCCTGTACTTTATTAGACCTAGTTATATAAATGTAAGTATCTATCCGCAGCTGTACTTCAAGCCTGTATAACACGTTTTGACATTTTTATTGGGCTTTATAAAACTTGTGCAATGACGAGGAAAGAAAAAGGTAAAAGTAACTATTTTAAGTCAAATAAGAACATTGTGAGGACAAGGGACAGCTACTGCCTAGACTTACAAGGACATGGATTGGTTACCTGGAGGAAGGGGTCAGTAACACCAGAAACTGCATGTTCAGGAGAATATTCAGACATGATCTGCCTTAGCTTTTGTAGAAGAAGGGGGAAGAGCTGCAGGGAGAACACAATATATAAACACAATTAACATAGGTTTGTTTTTACAAAATCTGAGCAGTAGCAACTTTAAGTGAAATATCCTTGAATATGTCCTTCTAACTTATAACCCTGTCAATAGTGATGTCCCGAACGGTTCGCGAACGGTTCGCCGCGGACTCATCATTTAGTAAACTTTGACCCTGTACCTCACAGTCAGCAGACACATTCCAGCCAATCAGCAGCAGACCCTCCTTCACAGACCCTCCCACCTCCTGGACAGCATCCATTTTACATTCATTGGGAAGCTGCATTCTTAGTGAGCTGTCCAGGAGGTGGGAAGGTCTGGGAGGGAGAGTCTGCTGCTGATTGGCTGGAATGTGTCTGCTGACTGTGACGTACAGGGTCAAAGTTTACTTAATGATGAGTCCGCGGAGAACCGTTCGGGACATCACTACCTGTCAACCGTGCTTCTACAGAAACATGCCATAACACATTTTAATCAGCAAAACTCTTCTCCCCAAACGTTATTTAATGCTCGTTTCCGTGTAATATGTGATATACATACTCATTCTTTAATTTATTTTGCAATATGGCTTTAGATGTGTAAAAAAATGCATTATATATGAGGTAAATATGGCACAAAAGACAATGTCAGATACTTCATGGTATATCATAACTGGTCCCTCTTAATACATATATGGATATGTGCTATTGCAGGGACAATAACATTTTAATAAATTAACATTAAGCAGACTCAAATCATTCCTATACAAGATAGAATAAACAGACATAGGAAAATGAAAGGACCTTCTTTGGATTCTATGGTTTTACATATAAGGACATAATCATCTGTTCCTTAGCAGGTCTTAAAATTAGGTAAATACAACCTTAGATGAACAACAACACATGAAATATCACACCGTGTCGTGATTTATTCAACAAAAATAAAGCCAACATGGAGAAGCCATGTGTGAAAAACTAAGTACACCTTATGATTCAATAGCTTGTAAAACCACATTTAGCAGCAATATTAGTCAATTTAGCTGTCGGACAGAGGGATAACATTTGACTCTAGAATACTTTGGTATGCAGAGGAGTTTTAGGTTGACTCAATGACTGCAAGATTCCCAGGTCCTGTGGCTACAAAATAAGCGAGGTATATGTGCTGTGCGGGGGTTTAGTTTTAGCAAAATGTGGTGATGTGCGTTATGGCCAAACATCTCCACTTTGGTCTCGTCTGTCCAAAGGACCTTGTTCCAGAAGTTGTGTGGTTTGTTCAGATGCAACTTAGCAAACCTAAGCAGTGTTACCATGTTCTTTTTAGAGACAAGATGCTTTCTCTTGGCAACCCATCCACACAAACCACACTTGTTCACTGTTTTTCTAATTGTACTATCATGAAGTTTAACATGCTAACTGAGACCTGCGGAGTCTGAGATAACTCTTGGGTTTTTTGCAATTTCCCTGAGCATTGCACGGTCTGACCTTGGGATAATTTTGCTGTGACGTCCACTCCTGGGAGGATTGGCAACGGTCTTGAATATTTTCCAATTTTTGAATAATCTTTCTCACTGTAGGATGATGGACTTTATTGTTTGGAAATGGCCATCAAACTGGGACGGGTATAAGGTTATATGTTTTTCCTCCTTGGCATTGTGTTAACACACCCATGAATGCTCCAGACCAACAAACTGCTAAAACTTTAGCTTTTATAGAGGTGGTCACACTTCCTGATGTTCAATTAATCAAGGACATTTGATTTGCAGCACCTGTCTGCTACTTAGCCTTTTAATTCCTACGCAAGTACGGGTGTACTTAGTTTTTCACAGATGGTTTCTCCATTTTGGCTTTCTTTTTGTTTAAATAAATCATGACACGGTGTAATAACTAATGTGTTGTTGTTCATCTGACGTATTTACCCAATTCCTAAGGAACAAATGATTGCTATTATATGTCCTGATATGTAAAAACCATTGAATTCAGATGTGTACTTTTTTTTTTACCAGAACTGTATATTGATCATAGATTTCATCACACCGTTAAGATTATCTTATTAGAACACAAGGACACAGTTCTTATTTACTTTTAAAACACATTTAAGATGTCTTTCAGGAGGTCACATATGTTTTTTAACACTATTGAGTTTTTACACATCTATTGTGTGATTATGTCATGTGATCTATTGTTAAGCTTTGTAGAAGTACCCTATCCTTCCCCCGGAGCATTGTTACATCGCTGGTACGTCCTCATCACATCTACATTAGAACTGCTGCATATTCTCTCTCTTCGTTTCTAGTTAAAGTTATTTTCAATTTTTTCACCGGAAAGCTGTACATCCATCTCTATAAGTTCCCAATGTAACACCGTTAAAGAACTCTTCTTTACGGTCTGCATTACAAGGTTATAAAGATTTAACTTCTAGAAAAAGGTGTGTCGGCACTTGGTAAAACCTTTTTCTATAAATAACATCCCAACCCATGCCACAACGAAGGCATGTTCTGCTGTAATTCTTGTAATTATTGGTATATAATCAGCTGTAATGATGTTTGTAATTACATTATACAGAAAATAAACAGTGTGTAAATGGTGCAGTGAAAGTGTTGCCCAGTAACAACATACAGGATCGTGTTTCAAGACATGGGAAAGCATGCAGCTGCTAACATTGTTAATTGGGGGAAAAAGGTAACCACATCTAGATAGTATCCTGAATGCAGGATAACAGTAGCAAATTAAAATTTCACTGCATTATCCAACAACTAGACTGATAGACACCTGCCTATACAAGGTTATTCTGTAAGCAGTGATAGATTCCAACCTCAATTTCTATTAATTCTAGAATAATTCTACAAGCATTGATTATCTTCTACATTATTCCACTGTTCATGCATTACATATGTGCTAAGATTACACCCAGGTCTTCCACCAGGCTATGGTTTTCTTACACGCCACACCTCTCCTTACACAAATGTCCTCTATTTGGGGCTTAATTAAAATTTGTGTTCCCTCCTACAAAGCACTCCGCAAGAATAATGCAAATTACACCTCAACATCTCCAATTAGTACATACAAGCAATCTCAGCCTCTACTCAACCCTACAACATATGCCAACAACACGTCTGTTCCCAATTCCTGGCCTGCTCCATTCTTATGGAATGCCTTACTTCTACACATCAGACTTTCTTTTTTATAACCTCCAGTGTTTTAAAAACTATCAGGAAAACTCATTAAATTCCCAAGTAATGTATCTATCACTTGAGTTTCATCTCACACAATAACAATTCCTCCTACCAACAATTTTCTTAATTTTACAGCTACCAATTATAAATTGATTTTGAATATTGTGTAGAGATAGTTACATTTCTATTATGGATACTGTACTTTTCTATAAATTATTACCCACATCTTCTATATGGTAGGGAAGTGGTTCTTAACCCCTGTGTCTGCTCTAGATTATGCCCTCAATAAAAGGAACATATGACATTTATGAGGCCCCAGGAAATAAGCAGCTTGAAAATTGTTTGCTGTACAAGCCCTGCTTCCTAACTTCAACGAACACCTATTAAAACACAGGGAAAGGTCAACATATTTTGTTACCTATCACAACTAAAAAAATGGATCACTGAGATTGTTTATTGAAGCAAAAACCATGTGTAAAATTTGTCAAATACAGTTAAGAAAATCACTATAAGGTCCCGTAGCCAAAACCCCCATCAGCCATTATTGCCCCTGCTCAGCAGATTTACCATCACCAGCATGCTTTGTGAACACATTTCATAGCTCTATTAAATGTGTTGGTAATTTATTTAAAAATAATAGAAATAATTATTGAAGACACAGCTTACAGAGAGATTAATCTATTGCAGCTGGTCTACTTTTAAAGGACTATATCTTACTAATTCAATCATTCCCAGAAATAGGTGAGGTGGCATATCGCTCAGAAAATCATATAACTCAATGACTAACCATCCTGTATTTGCCTGTAGATACCTTTATTTTGAACATCTCCAAACAGTCCAGCACAAGATGATTAAAATATATGGGCAGATCTAAGGCAATGGGTTGAAAATCCATTAATCATCAAAAAAGGACTGTAGAAGACTGATACGGAATCTTAGCAAACGACTTAACCAAGCAATGCTAAAGCCATACTTAGACAACGGATTCCACACTCTGATTACTCCTATAAAGAGCAGACATCTGATCACTGGAGAATAAGCTTAAGTTGTCAAAACACGCATATGCTTACCAAAAAATAATTACACAAAAAATTCCTCTCAAGAAATCACAAAACGCAAAAAAAAAAAAAAAATAGATCAGGCCAGCTTTATTCCACAGTTCAAAAACTATGCAATCCAGCTTGTCTTAATAGCTTCTCAACCATAACCCAGTTAAAATGCCTGCCTACACACAACTCACAGGAATAAAAAATTAAATTATAGATAAAATTAAGCTTATATTTATTAGTATCTCTAACAAATGCAATACATACATACAATACATACACACAGACTGCTGAATACATACACACCGACTGCTGAACACATACACACCGACAGTTAAATACACAGACTGCTGATTACACACACAGACAGACGGCTGAGTACACACACAGACAGACAGACGGCTGAGTACACACACACACAGACAGCTGAGTACACACACAGACAGACGGCTGAGTACACACACACAGACAGACTGCTGAGTACACACACATAGACTGCTGAGTACACACACACACAGACTGCTGAGTACACACACACAGACTGCTGAATACATACACACAGTCCGCTGTTTACAGTCACAGTCCGCTGAATACACACACAAACATACACACAGACTACTGAATACGTACACACACAGACTGCTGAATATACATACACACAGAGAATAATGAGTACACACAGACTGCTGAATACATACACACAAGCTGCTAAATACAGACAGACAGTCCACTGAATACATACACACAAACAAACAGACTGCTGAATACACACACACACACACACAGAATAATAATGAGTACACACAGACTGCTGAATACATACACACAGGCTGCTGAATACATACACACAGTCCACTGAATACATACACACAAACACACAGACTGCTGAATACACACACACACACAGAATAATAATGAGTACACACAGACTGCTGAATACATACACACAGGCTGCTGAATACATACACACAGTCCACTGAATACATACACACAAACACACAGACTGCTGAATACACACAGTCTGCTGAATACACACACACATACTGCAATCAGGGGTGCACTGTATGTGTTTGTGTGTTCGGGTGCTGAGTGTGTGTGAGTGATGCTGTGTGCGTGGGGGGGTGCTGTGTGTGAGAGGAGTGCTGTGTCTGTGTGAGGAGTGCTGTGTGTGTGTGCTGTGGTACTATGTGTGCGAGGGGGTGCTGTGTGTGTGTGAGGAGTGCTGTGTATGTGTGGGTTGCAGAGTTTGAGGGGTGCAGGCAGCAATTATTTTTTTTTAAATAATCCTATACATTAATAAAATCTTCATGCCCCCCTACCTTTTTCTAACCTTTGGTGAAGGAGGGGGGGGGACACAGCCAGCCCTGGTGGTCCGGTGGTGGTAAGTTCTATGTACCCTGCAGACTCTTCTGTCTTCCAGCGCACAGAATGCGGTGTGGAGCATTGCCATGGTAACGCACGCCTACGCTCCACACGGCCTGCTCGCGGGAGGCGCAATATGCTTCACAGATCCCTCCACCTGCCTCCGGGTCCTCCTGCCCTCTCTCCCCGATCGAAGGGCTCTTGGGCCGGTGAGGGAGATCTCCAATCTCTCAACAGCCTGAGAGAGCCCATGGCCATAAAAGAGGGCTGGCAGGGGAGATCAAATTATCTCCTCTGTTGGCCTGGGCACGCTGGGCAGCGCGGTGGGGCCCCCATGCAACTGCCCTGCTTCCCTTATATCTCCATTTGTTATATACATCTACTGTGGTTAACATTCTGCAATGAAGAAAGTTTTGTTGCCGCTATAAAGGCACAGAGGCCCACACGTTTAGAGCCTAGCCTCTTAAAAAGGCTCTTTAAAACATGAGTGTATTACCAGTTACTGCATCATCACCTTTTGTATTATTACAATATCACAGCATATTTTTACTTTATTTTCTTTTTTTCCCCAAATATGGTGTAATGACACCGCGATTTAAAGGGGTAAATAATTTTACCTCTGAGTGCTTCACTCACTAATTGTGTGTTTAAAGGTGGTATTTCACCTAAACACCGAGTTCTATATTTGTATATTGTATTTGTTTTGTGGATTTTTGGATAGTACCCATAGTGTGTATTAAGCTGCTGATCACATAACGTATTTACATTGTACTATTAAGCGCCTATTTTGTTTGCACATTTAAACATAGAATGTGACGGCAGATAAGAGCCATTTGGCCAATCTAGTCTGCACAATTTTCTAAATACTTTCATTAGTCCCTTGCCTTATCTTATAGTTAGGATAGCCTTACCTCTACCACTTCAGCATGGAATTCCATGCGTCCACAACTCTCTCAGTAAAGTAATACTTCCTGATATTATTTTTAAACCTTTGCCCCACTAATTTAAGACTATGTCCTCTTGTTGTGGTGTTTTTTCTTCTTAGATATAGTCTCCTCCTTGACCGTGTTGATTCCCTTTATGTATTTAATTGTTTCTATCATATCCCCCTGTCTCGTCATGTTACGTTTCTTTAACCTTTCCTGGTAAGTTTTATCCTGTAATCCATGAACCAGTTCAGTAGCAAATCAAGTAGCAAAAAAATATAGGATGTCTGTGTGGTAACGCAGCAGTTCCAAATATGTGTAAAATTTATTTTCTCCTTACTTTCTCTGAATGCTCGCCAAAGTATCAAATATCCTTCTGGAGATACGGTCTCCAGTACTGTGTACAATACTCCAAGTGAGGTCTCACCAGTGTTCTGTACAATGGCATGAGCACTTCCCTCTTTCTACTGCTAATACCTCTCTCTATACAACCAAGCATTCTGATAGCATTTCCTGCTGCTCTATTACATTGTCTGCCTACCTTTAAGTCATCAGAAATAATTGTCCCCAAATCCCTTTCCTCAGATGTTGAAGTTAGGACTCTATCAAATATTCTGTACTCTGCCCTTGGGTTTTTACGTCCAAGATGCATTATCTTGCACTTACCCACATTAAATTTTTCGAGTTTACCTAAATCATTTGCTATTTGGCTTATCCCTTCTGGAACATCAACCCTTTTACATATCTTAGTATCATCAGCAAAAAGACATACCTTACCATCAAGACCTTCTGCAATCACTGATAAATTGTTTTGAAATAAATCACTAATAAATTGTTTTGTTAACCGTTCGGGAATATAATCTGTAACTTCTAAATACGTGATTGCATATTGTCTAAAGCACTTTAAGTCCAATCTCTATATAAAAATCTCTATATAAGTTATTATTATCATCATCATTTAAAGAAATGATTCAGATGAACATTGAATCCAATATAAAGTAGGGCACAAAGTGTCAAAATACACAAACATATAATGAAGGATAAGTGAATTGCTAATAAAAATCCTTTTGTGTGGGTATATAAGAGGACAGAGGAGACCTTGATTTAACGCAGGTAATAAATATTGTAAAATAAGGAAAACTCAGGGCTGATGCACACATTTACAGAGAATATGGATTCCCAACAAACCTACAAGGACATAAATGGTGATGAATATGTGTAGGTATTTTTTATTATAGGGGTAACCTTTTCCTAGAGCTGAACACAAAATACCTATATTAAGGTTACTCTCTACACAAAAAGAAAGTATCTGATTATTGCTTTCTTGAATATAAAGAAACTTAAAGTTCCTGCTTTTGCTGCAAATTCTCAGGCTCTATAGTTTCTTCAGAAAGCCTTCACCAAACCCCTCCCCCCCCCACCCTACACCATAATTAAATATAACCTAATCTGCACATTGCACCAACCATGTGTGGGCTTATATGTTATGCTTAAATAAAATGTTCGCTATGTTTTGACATTTTGATATATCTATTTAAGGACTTTCATTGAGCTTAGTGCAGGGTCAGACAAGGAATGAAAAGCAGCCGTGGAACAAAATTCTATACCAGCCCAATAACGTGTCACACAGGCATAGTGTGCAGAAATAGGTCAGAAAATAATAACTTAAAATCGAAAACTAAAAACTATTACTTTAACGTGAAATAAAGCACTCGTAGGGCTACAAAGTAAACAAAAAAACAAATTTCGTTTTAGCAGACGTACATTTGCATATCATCAATGTTTCAGTCCAACTACCTTGACATATTAAGAAAAGTTTGGTAATGAGACTGAAATGGTGAATGTATGCTGCTCACTTTGGCTGAGATCATCAAACATAGGAAAGCATTGAGAGGGGAAGGGGGAGTGGCTGGTATTCTCTGCACACTGTAGTGCAGTCAAATGCTATATGCGCATATCTGGCATGCACAAATACTTTGCTCTCTTGCGATCCCGACAGGTCGCATGAGCATGAGATCGGCCGCGGCCTGCGTGAGGGAAGAAGACAGGAAAGACAATCTTTCCTGTCTTACTCGCAGTTGCAGCACAAAGCGGCCTCTAGGCAGGCGGAGTAACAGGATTTTTTCCAGTATCCCGGTAGGCCAGTTCGGCCCTGGCTCTGTGTAGGTTGTCAGGTCAGAGAGAGAGTGTGAGTATATTAAATAGATCACCATGTACCATTGCCTTCTAGAAAGTCAGAACTATAACACAGAATGCATATCATGGTAAGAAGTAATACAGAGATCCATACAATGCAGCACACTCACTTTTAGGGCATGTGTACACAACCTGTATAAATCTGGCAGTGAGCATTACCGGTACACTAACTGGGATGCAAGAACTGGAATTTACGGTTTGGAAACTAGCAATACAGATATTACCACAAGGACAATATGACTGGCTAGAATACAGAATCATCATAAGGCTCATCAAGTAGCAAAAAACAAATACAGGATGTCTGTGTGGTAACGCAGCAGTTACAAATATGTGTAAAATGTTCTTACACCATACTTTTACACTAATCTCTTAAATGAGCACTCCATTGATTTTTGATTATAGTAGATACACCCTTAAAGAAAATATGCATACATTTTCTGCATACTTTCTTTGGGGGTGTATAAAAACAACACAGACCTGTGATCTTTGCAAGACCTCCCCGCTTTCTAAGGCACATACCAATGAGCAGCTTTTCTATTAGCGCAGTGTCAATCAGACAGCCAGGGATGTGTTATTGCCGCCCCAATAATAAAAGCACTGATTTCTATTTAAAGGGACACTATAGTCACCAGAACAACTACAGCGTATTGAATTTGTTCTGGTGAGTATAATCATTACCTTCAGGCTTTTTGCTGTAAACACTGTCTTTTCAGAGAAAATGCAGTGTTTACATTACAGCCTAGTGATAACTTCACTGGTCGCTCCTCAGATGGCTGTTAGAGATCCTTCCTGGGTCATGGCTGCCTAAAATGCATCCAAACATTCAGTATCTCCTCCCTCTGTATGCAGACACTGAACTTTCCTCATAGAGATTCATTGATTCAATTCATCTCTATGAGGAGATGCTGATTGGCCAGGGCTATGTTTGCATCATGCTGGCTCTGCCCTTGATCTGCCTCTTTGTCAGTCTCAGCCAATCCTATGGGAAGCATTGTGATTGGATCAGGCTTCCACTTCTGCTGATGTCAGCAGACAGCATGCAGAGCTACAGCTTCAGGCTTGAATACAGTAAGATTTTGCTATATTTATGGAGGCATGAGGGGCACAGAGGGGCTAGATTGTGGTTTTAACACTATAGGGTCAGGAATACATGTTTGTGTTTCTGACCCTATAGTGATTCTTTAAATTGGCATTTTTATAAACGGTCATATATATATATATATGACAGACTCCAGACATACAAAGCACTTTGATAAGCTAAAAATACTTAGCATGTCTTTATGTGCCTGGAGTGTTCGTTTAGTATATGAACACACTCACAAAATGCCAGTTCATTTCTTTACCAAGTGAATTTCACCACAACATAAATATATTGTATGTGGACAATGGAACACAAAATCACTGAACCATTTGGACATTTTTGCAACCCTTTTATAAATCTATTCATAAACAGGACTATACATAGGACACAAAGTCACATTTAGCCTGGAAGAAAGGAGATTTAGTTTAATGCAAAGGAAAGGTTTTTGTTTTTTTACAGTAAGGACAATAAGGATGTGGTATTTCCAGCCTGTAGAGGTGGTTTTATCAAAGTCTGTACAGATGCTTAAACAGCAACTGGATGAATACCTGCAAAACCACAATACTCAGGGATATAATTTTTAGTTTGTGGGGTAATAGCTTCTTGATCCATTGCTGACTGACACTGTTTTTTCTTAGTTTAGTTACAAAATAGGAAAGCACTTGAAACTGGGGTTTTTGTCTTCTTTTGGATCAAAAGTAAAAACAGATGCGAGAAAGGCTCCACCTGATAGACGCATGTCACTTTTCAGCCTATGTAACCCTTCTTCTATCCCCAAAATAAAATCATTCTCTTTGCCGGTGATTTGCAACTCTGACCTCAAGGGACATCAAAAGCCCAGGGTTCAATTCTATTTCCATGGACCCCTGGTGTGTCTTAAAGACTGGGTTGGGAGTCGCTGTTCTGTGCCATTGACTACAATTATAAATATAAGAAAATGTATGTATTAATCAGCATTTACCTTACGGATGCGTTTGCTGGCCTCTGGGTGCCTCTGACATATTTCTGTGACCAGGAGAACAGCTCCATACAGCACACCTGAAATTAAACCCCATTCCCTCACAGTTAGTCAACAGTGGAAAGCACAGCTTCCCTGTTACCGGTTATATCTACCTTTTACCTTACAATCTTCCCTCTCATCTTTCCTACCTTTCTGAAAAGGCATTGTTGCAAAATTTTGCACACTCCCATCCCTGCCCCGCTTTGTCTATTTTCTCTACTATGCTCTCGCAAAAACAAATTCAACCCTTCTTTATAACCACCACTCTCACCATGTCTCTTTTCTCCCAGTAGCTCCTCACTCACAGGAATGAACATTTCTACCAGTTCTGGAACTTTACGAACTATGTGAACAGCACATAGTACAGCCTGCGGGAAAGTGTTGAGTGAGTTTACATCTGGAAAGGTAGTACACATCAGAGCAAACCAAAAATAACCAAAGTGAAAATCTGGAAACTTCTTGTAATGAGCAATGAGCAAATAGTAAACACGTAAATACCTTCAATATTTGCAGTAAATCCACTCAAATATATAATGCACAATAATTGTCCAGACAAGTTCTATATAAACAGACACAGTATCCCACCTGCTTGTTTTCTAAGTTTTGATGTATTCCTCCTTCAATAAATTATACCCAACCCTGCCCTTTCCTATGTCCCATATTTTCATTGCCTTTTTCTTGACGTGGCTACTTGAGGTCCGCAGGAGCCGTTCCACCTCCCCAGCCAAGTCACGACACATCTCAGTGGATCCCAGACAGGCCAGAGTGCAAAGAGCCAAGCCTTGAATAAGGGGAGAATTGTGCTCTAGATCTCTGGAGGGAAAGAAATAAAGTTGTGGGTAAGTGGTAAACCTTGAAGAGAGGAGTCATAAGTCAGGCATAAGAAGGATAAATTACAGTTAAACTTCTTCCTCACCTTTTCATACTGTTAGTTATCAATAGATGGGCATCCTGCCTCTCATCCAATAACATCATCGCTCCAAGGTATCCAATGCGTTTGTCCGTATATCTGGGTGAAGCTATCAGCTTCAAGCATTCCATCTGGAATTGATGGATCATTGAAAAGTAATTATAATGATTATCTTATAATTATCAATGTATTTATACATTGAGAATATGGATGCGCACAATACTCTCAGACAAAGTTATAATAGAATACTATTGAATTAATTCTTCTATCTTTACCTGTGATGTTGGCTTTCTACATACATACACACTTCTATATGCTATGTGTTTGAGTAGACTCACTTTAGATTGCAAGCTCACAGATAGGGCTTTCAAAGCTTACCTCTATGGGTTTGCTTATTTCTGTAGAATTGCAATTTACGCAATATACAGGTGATACTCGAAAAATTAGAATATTGTGCAAAAGTTCATTTATTTCAGTAATGCAACGTAAAAGGGGAATCGAATATATGAGATAGACGCATTACATGCAAAGCAAGATAGTTCAAGCCGTGATTTGTCATAAGTGCGATGATTATGGCTTACAGCTCATGAAAACCCCATATCCACAATCTCAGTAAATTAGAATATTGTTAAAAGTTGCAATATTCTAGGCTCACAGTGTCCCACTCTTATCAGCTAAGTAATCCATAACACCTGCAAAGGGTTTCTGAGCCTTTAAATGGTCTCTCAGTCTGGTTCGGTAGGAATCACAATCATGGGCAAGACTGCTGACCTGACAGTTGTGCAGAAAACCATCATTGACACCCTCCATAAGGAGTGAAAGCCTCAAAAGGTAATTGCGAAGGAAGTTGGATGTTCCCAAAGTGCTGTATCAAAGCACATTAATAGAAAGTTGTGTGGAAGGGAAAATTGTGGAAGAAAAAGGTGCACAAGCAGCAGGGATGACCGCAGCCTTGTCAGAGGATTGTCAGGAAAAGGCCATTCAAAAGTGTTGGGGACTTTCACAAGGGGTGGACTGAGGCTGGAGTCAGTGCATCAAGAGCCACCACACACAGACGGATCATGGACATGAGCTTCAGATGTCGTACTCCTCTTCTCAAGCCGCTCCTGAACAACAAACAACGTCAGAAGCATCTTACCTGGGCTAAAGAAAAACAGACCTGGTCTGTTACTCAGTGGTCCAAAGCCCTTTTTTCTGATGAGAATAACTTTTGCATCTCATTTGGAAACCAAGGACCCTGAGTCTGGAGAAAGAATGGAGAGGCATACACTGCAAGATGCTTCAGTGTCCAGTGTGAAGTTTTCACAGTCTGCATTGATTTGGGGAGCCATGTCATCTGTTGGTGTTGGTCCACTGTGCTTCATTAAGTCCAGGGTCAACGCAGCCGTCTACCAGGAGATTTTGGAGCACTTCATGCTTCCTTCCGCAGACGAGCTTTATGGGGATGCTGACTTCATTTTCCACACTGCCAAAAGCACCAAAGCCTGGTTCAATGACCTTGGGATTACTGTGCTTGATTGACCAGCAAACTCGCCTGACCTGAACCCCACAGAGAATCTATGGGGCATTACCAAGAGAAAGATGAGAGACATGAGACCGAACAATGCAGAAGAACTGAAGGCCGCTATTAAAGCATCCTGGTCTTCCATAACACCTCAGCAGTGCCACAGGCTGATAGCTTCCATGCCACGCCGCATTGAGGCAGTAATTGCTGCAAAAGGGGCCCAAACCAAGTACTGAGTCCATATGCATGCTTATACTTTTCAGAGGTCCGATATTGTTCTATGTACACTCCTTGTTTTATTGATTGCATGTAATATTCTAATTTACTGAGATTGTGGATTTGGGGTTTTCATGAGCTGTAAGCCATAATCATCGCACTTATGACAAATCATTGCTTGAACTATCTTGCTTTGCATGTAATGCGTCTCTCTCATATATTAGTTTCCCCTTTTACGTTGCATTACTGAAATAAATGAACTTTTGCACGATATTCTAATTTTTCGAGTATCACCTGTATATCTTAATAAAGATTTCAGAATTTACAGGTTGTAAAAGAGAAGAGATTAGCAAACATAATATAAATTTAAATGTAACAATAGAAAAGCTTCTTGTTTTACATCAAGGATTGTATATAGTTTTCCAGCAGATGCGGTTCTGGATAATGTAATGATCACAAAAAAAATGCCTAGGGTAAGAAAGCCTATAACAAGTATATGAACAGGCCGGAGATACCAACACCCCAATATAAAATACAAGTTATAGGCAATAATAAATAAATTGCTTGTGTGTATTGCAAATCATGCAGGGTTTGTGGATTTTGCATTGAGCACTCAGCAAACCAGGAAGTCATGGTTGCTCAGTTGCATTGTTTTTTTATGTTACCAACTATTGCATGCACTAAATCTATCAAGATATTATTGCGGCAAAATGTGAAATTCTGCAGGTTGGGCTTATCTAGCTCATTTAAAAATGCAAAAAAGGTAAAACAAATTAAAGTAATGGGAACTAATGAAAGTATTTAGAAAATTGGACAGACTAGATGGGTCCAATGGTTCTTATCTTTGTTTCTAATAAACAAAGTAACTAATGATAGCCTAAACTACCTTTAATTTGAAGCTAACATTCATGGGTCCATGGAACTGTGTGTGTAGCCTGCTCTCAAAATGAACCTATATTTCTCACTTACTAGATTTAGCTTTTCCTCATGTATGGCACCTATCTAATTACAGGCTTTATATAGATGCATGAGACTTACCCCACCCTCCATTTAACTCCATCATAACAGGAAATAAAGACAAAGACAAATCAAGGGATCTGCCTAACTCATGGTTGTGAGGGGGTTAAGAACCAAACACAGGGTCCCCTCTTGCAGTAAGTGAATCAGCATACTCCTCATAACACAGAGTGACTCAGTACTCTGTGCACATATAGAGCAGTGTACACACACACACACACACACACACACACACACTAAAGTAAATCTGCAAAATCATTCAATAACAAAGACCCAACAAATAAACAGATTCAAAACACTGGATTAGCCAGTAACGCAACCTTACTACTAGCCACCAGACACACTATTTGCTTTAATATACAACTAGATGTAGCTGTCTCTCTTGTCTCACATTCAAATCAGATCTGAAAGTGCCCTTTTCTCTTGCTTACACATTAGACCAAAGGTGTCCATCTACCCCCACTCACATCCAGCAGCACAGCACCCCTTAACACATACTAAGCAGCCCATCACTGCCCTGACATGCTTTGTAGTCCAATATTACCTCTCACACACACACTTCACAGCCCAGCTCCCATCCTTACTTAAACTAAACAACTCAGCAACCCCGTCACTCACAAATAGCAGTCCTGCGCTCTACCTCACACATTTAGCAGCTGCCCTGCCCTGCCCCTCAGACCTGCTTAGCAGCCCAACACTTCCCTCATACCTGTGTAGCAGCCCTGCCCACCCCCTCACAAGTGCAGTGCAGTATTTCATTAGTTTCTGTCACTGAAATATCAAAGAAAAATAAAACTGCAGATTTTCAACAGTGACTATGAACAAGTCATGTCTATCCCTCACATACCTGTCCAAAGTGTGCAGGGTACCCAAGCATATGCATGTAGAGAAGTTTGGCGACACTTCGTCCACGATACAATGTGTCCTCATCCCGGAAAGAAGAGCGGATGTCAGCGCACTCTCTCTGGATCACCTCTCGCTCTTCATTCTGTGTTTTAACACTCCGGATTGCTCGGATCAGCTCGTGAACCTTTAGAGGAGGGCCCATTGTGCTGGCAGGTGCACTGGCAGGATCATTCAGGACAGATAGAAACAAGACAAACACTGACACAATTATAATCACACAGAGACAAGTTCAGATCCCCAAGAAAACACCTCTCCCTTCATGTACCTGTTTGTCTCTCTCCCGGTGTCTGCTTCTGACTGTCTCTCTCTTCCTTCTGAGTTTCAATTACCTTCCTGATTCTCACCTGGATCACTTTCTGACAGCTCCTCACTTCCTGAAAAATAGTGATACACCTGAGCCTTTACTGTAATGATTACTCAACCCAGTCTAAAGCAGGACATGCAAGGCAGTGATCAAGGCCTCAGGCAGCCGTCAGCATGTATGTTTTCGTCAGACAGTACTGGTGAAAATTGATCATTTTTAACCTGCAGAACAAACGGTCAGAGACAAGAGTACTTTTCAGAAAAGTGACCTGTTGTGTCCTGGAGGAAAATAAATGAAATAACATTGCCTGGTTTTTGAATGTTGAGTCTCTTTTCTAATTTACTAACAATGCAAACTGGTTGAAAGAGTAACTGTACCCATCGCGATGTACTGATCCTAACACTGACAAGTAATGTATGTGCACACATTTGCAGTTAGACATGGATTTAACCCTGCAGTGAAAACATTGCCTTTTCTAAAAAAACTGCCATGTTTTACATTGCAGGTTTAAAAATGATAGGACCACAGCACACAAACCACTTCATTGAGAGGAAGTTGTCTGGGTGATTTTAGTGATAATATATTATTATTATTATTATTGCCATTTCTATAGCGCCAACAGATTCCATAGCGCTTTACAATATTATGAGAGGGGGGATGTAACTATAAATAGGGCAATAACAAGAAAACTTACAGGAACAATAGGTTGAAGAGGACCCTGCTCAAAGGAGCTTACAGTCTATAGGAGGTGGGGTACAAGACAAGTTAGGACAGGAAATAGCAATCAAATAAGGTGGGAGTGAAGCAGAGCTGGAGGAGAGAGTAAAGCACTGCCCTATAGGAGAGAGCAAGATACAGGTACGTGAGGTAGAGGTTACTCTGGGACGCCATAAGCTTTCCTAAAGAGATGGGTTTTAAGGCCCTTCTTAAATGATTGAAGACTAGGGGAGAGTCTGATGGTGTTAGGCAGGCTATTTCATAAGAAGGGAGCCGCCTGTGAGAAGTCATGCAAGCGTGAGTTGGCCGTACGGGTGCGCGCAGCAGTGAGGAGGTGGTCAAGGTCAGAGCGGAGGGAACGAGGAGGGGCATACCTATGGATCAGTGAAGAGATATAAGAGGGGCTAGAATTGTTCAGTGCTTTAAATGTATGGGTTAGCACTTTGAATTGACTCCTATAGGATACATGGAGCCAATGTAAGGACTGAAAGAAGGGGTGAGGTGTGAGAGGACCGACTAGAGAGGAAAATCAGTCTAGCTGCAGCATTCATTACAGACTGTAGCGGGGCAATACAGCTTTTTGGGAGACCAATCAGGAGAGGGTTACAGTAATCCATGCGGGAAATTACTAGAGCATGGACAAGCTCCTTGATAGCATCTTGTGTAAGAAAGGGGTGGATGCGGGCTATGTTTTTAAGTTGGAACCTACAGGATTTGGCAACAAACTGGATGTGAGGCCAGAGTCAAGTATGATGCCAAGACAGCGTGCTTGCAAGGATGGACTTATGTGGATATCACTGACTTGAAGGGAGAGCAAGAGAGGAGGATCAGTATTAGGAGGAGGAAAAACAAGGAGTTCAGTTTTAGAGAGATTGAGTTTCAGAAAGCGTGAGGACGTCCAGTCAAAGATGGAAGAAAGGCAAGCAGTGACACATTGCAGGACGGCAGGGGGGAGGTCAGGGGGAGGAGAGGTATATCTTAGTGTCATCAGCGTACAGGTGGTAGTGGAATCCAAAAGAGGCAATAAGTTTGCCAAGAGAGGCAGTGTAAAGAGTAAATAGAAGGGGACCAAGGACAGAGCCTTGGGGAACCCCAACTGAGAGAGGATGAGGGGAGGAGATATTCTTGGAAATGGAGACACTGAATGAGCGTTGGGAGAGATAGGAGGAAAACCAAGAGAGGTTTTATAATAAATATCTAATAAATATAATAAAGTCCTGTTCCCTGTATGCAATGACCTATGTGAGTAAACAATTGGCCATCTGCTTTCTTACATTGTCACATCTATCTGTCATGTGTGGTGGCATCTAAATGAAACTGTGTACATCCTAAACATGGGGATAAGGGACTTGAATAAGGGGAGAAGGAAACAAGGTGAGGAAAAGCGTGAACTGGGGTTCCTGCTTCGTGTTTTGGTGTCCAGTCAGGGGTATATGCTCTTTTCAGTTTGGATCGAGTGTGCTATGTCTGTTAAGTCGGGCCTGGAACTCCTGTTAGCTGTGTCCCGCTATGCGTGAGCCAACAATGCTATAATAACTCATGCTGCTGCACTTTCCCTTTTATCCTAAGGGCCATTTGTTCATATATACATATATTATCTAATCTCTTTGAGATCTCCTCCAGGGAGGGGATCACCTTGCACAGGGGAGTAATATGTGTAATCCCTAGTTCCAGGATAAAGGCAACGCCATGTGTCCAGTGGTGTATTTTGGATTTGTGCTGCCCTAGGCAGGACTAAATTCGGGCACCCCCAAAATCTAAATTTGCCCCCCCAATTCTTGTAAAGGCCATTTTTTTGACTGACAGACACATGCCCTCATTGATACATGCACTGATATACACTCACTGACAGATACAGTCATTGGCACACACTGTTTAACCAACACACACTTTCACTGACAGACACACACTGACACACCCACTCACTGACAGGCACACACTCTCAGATACACATAAAAAGACATACACACACTGACCCACACTCACAGACACACACTGACAGCTACATTCACTCACTCACAGTAAGGTGGACAGCCCCAGAACATGAGGCAAACAAGGCATGCCTTGTGGTAAATTCATCCCTGCATGTGTCATATAGGTCATGATCAAATAACAGTCGAGCTAAATGTTGTCGCAATGCCAGCAATGCCCGCTTGGGCCTTTTGCTCCGTGTGTGTTGTATGTCTAAGTGGGGATCTGTTTTGCAGTTAAAATACCACAGAGAATCACATGGCCCTGCTTATATTTTGCAACCTTCAGTAGTGCAGAGGTTAGGAAGGATTTGTGGTCCTAGTTAGGGGCATATAGGTAAGTAATCGTTAGCACAATACCGTTCAGTGTGCCTGCTAGAATAAGCAAGCGGCCATCCAGACTAGCATGTTGCCTGCTTGGGGTGAATGCCCAATCATTATGAAAGTATATGGAGACCCCTTTTGATATGGTTCAGGAATATGCATGATATGCTTGGAAGTAGTGCTGTACTGTGAATCTCGGGGGATTGCGTTTGCAAAGGTGCGTCTCTTGCAGACATGCTATGGCCGCCTCAGAATTGCGAATTTCCTGGACTGCCAGCCTCCGTTTGTGGGGACCATTAAGGCCTTTCACATTAAGGGAGAAAATAACCATAGAGTTAAGTGGCCCCATTAAGTAGTTTATTTAGATGTGCGCTATATCGGTTGCGTCTCAGAGGTTTTGCGTGGGTACTATATGTGCAGAGGCTACCCTGCCGCTGCGTGTGGGCGATCTGGAGCATCCCCCCCTCCCTTGTGGGCCATGATATCGAAGAGTGATTGTTGGTGCTATCAATTGGGGGCATACATTAAGACAGTGAACCCCAAAATCATGGAAGACATAAACATAAGAAACAAACAAAGTATATACAACATTCCCTATTTCTAAAGGGTATTTAGTGCTGTTGAGTCAGCCACCGCGCCTAGTACCTGGGAGGCAGACCCAACTGGGGGAGGCGGATTAATCTGCGTGGTGCGGCCTCGTAACCTGACCCTTTAAACATACTAGGTAAATTATGGCTAACAGTATACAGAAAGGTTGTCAGGGCTGCCTCTGAATCTGATGTTTCATCGCGAACAATCTTCCATGTCTGCTGCTTTAATTATGTTTGTTCATCAGTGAGGGCTTGAACTTTAGCCTCTATGTCATTGTGTGCAGAGCAAAGCTCTTCAGTGCGTACCTCCAGGCGGTCCGTCCTGTCCCCAATCACTGACAGTTCCCGCCGAAATTCCGCCGTCATTTGCTTGAAGTCAGTGTGGAATGTTTCCCTTAATTCTTCAGCATCGTGTAAAGCAGTTTTCACTCACCGGGGTGTCTGTGTAGCGGCTTGAAAGAGTCTCTGTATCAGGCTGGTCCTCTGATATAGGGGTAGGGGCCATGCTGTCGTCGCCATCTTGGCTGGAACGGAGCCGGTCCTTTTTGGCTGAACAGATCGGGTCCATGAGCTTTAACTGCTTGGACGGTGCCATGAGGGTGTCTGCAGCTCGCTGGAGCACTTCTAGGCTGATTTTTGTAGCTTTTTTTTGGGGGGGAGCTCTTACTCCATGCACCCTTTCCATTTGGTCGCTAGCCATGCCCCCATTTTATCACCTTTTAAGGGGGCTAAGGGGGTAAGACGGGGGGCAAGCCACCTAAATGGTGGTTTTAACACTATAGGGTCAGGAATACATGTCTGTGTTCCTGACCCTATGGTGTTCCTTTAAATTAAAAAAGGTAGAGGGACTTGGTTGTGTCATATTTATTTATTTATTTTAAATCCAGACTTTTTTTGTAAATATTTCTTTATTCACAATTTATAAGTAGTAGGTACAGTGCATTGGTTGTAAAATTTCCATGACAAGTGAATACAGAGATTGTATACAGGCGTTGTAGCGGAGCTCCCTGTACCCTGGCTGGTTACATCCGCCAATGATAACTTCCTAGCTGGAACCAGGGAAAGCCTCAGCGCTTCTGACCCAGTTGCTTGACTGGGGTCCTCCTGGACCTGTCCATCCTGGAACAGGATAGGGGACTAGTTCTATTCCCTCCCAGGGACTGGACGACACAAGGGCTATAGTCCTTACAAGGACTTTCCCCACTTAATCCTCCACAAACTGAAACAAGGTAACAAGGTGCTGAGCAGTGAATAGCCCTTTCCCCTCCCAGTAACTAGATGACACATAGTTCTGGGAGTACAACTTAGTTTAATGAGTAAAACTCAGCTTTTTATGCACAGAACCCAGCAGGGGGTCTTCAAACAATACAATCCAGGAACCTCTGGGCCTGGGAAATCATTGAGTAAACTAATTATCTCCCAGGTACAGAGACCAAAACACAAAAACAAAAGTACCCTAAAACCATCATAAAAACATATAATAACACCACATGTCCTACATCCCCAAACAGCCCTAACCTGAGCGCCCAAGTTGTCCAAATATCCCTCAGATCCATGCAGTGTAAGGAAAAAGTTCTGACCAGCTGCACACGTGTTCCTAGCCCAAAATAGTTAGAGTGTTTGGTGATTTTGCCAGTCAACTTTCGGGAGCTCCCGCTTCTGAAATATGGGGTCTTTCACCTGGCTCGCAGGAAGAGTTTGTACCCCTTAGTCTCAGGTGCCTTTCACTCCAAAAAGCTCTCTCCTGGCTGGAAAAGTGGTTCAAAACCCTGGACCAAGTTGTCCGGGAACCGCAGGGTCACCTAGCTGAAAACAGTTTCACAACATTTGCGGCTAAGTACCATGCAGTCCTAATGCCGAAATAAGTTCCATAGCGGTACTTAGGAGTCTTCCATGACTGGTGGCTTCCTGGCAGGCTTACGAATTTAAATACGATTAAGTGTTATTTGTTTGGACGTCATGCCTGAGTCCCCAAAACGTACATGAACACCAGACTGATGAGGACCAATTGGAACCAAAAGTGACGTGATGCCCTCATTGCCATTTTAAAGTACTTTGGATACGAAAAGCATTATTTTTTCTAGAATTCCGGCCGTGCAAATGGCTAATATATTTGGCTAATGTGTGGTGTGGGCTGTCAAGAGACCAGATAAGTAACGCTACATATATGTAGTTTTTGATACGGATTCTCTACCTGTTGAATTCGATTTAAACAAATCTACAAAAGGCTGCATCAATGAGATATGAATGCCCAATATTTTCTTTTTTTTTTTTTAAATCCACGATAAGTTGAAAATTCCCAAGCTCTTATTAAATCCAGAACCTAGTTGATTTTTGTTTGCGTGAGTGGTGGTCAGTATGAAGTCTTTTTCTCTAGATCTTATGATTAAAGATTGTGTTCGGCAGTGACATTTTGAGAAGATTTTTGCACAGAAATCCATTGTAAGTTCGATATAGTATGTCTCTTGAGGAGATTTCCATCTTACCATTTTTGCATAGTGTGGCGCAATATAATAAAGTATATGGTTAAGGACTCCCAGACCACTTTTTTGTGTTGTAAGCAAAGAGTTATTTACAGATAATCTTGCTCTTTTCCCAGACTACAGAAAGTTTAGCATCAACTCTTGATTTCACTTTTGTTTCACACCTTCCCAAAAGTTACTCACGGACTGATTTAATTTTAATGTCAGAAAAGATATGGTTTTTAAAAGACTGTGTAATTAAAAATGTTCCATGGTCAGAACATTCTTTGGTCCAATAAAACTTAATGAAGATTTGCGGTCTAGACAGAGATAGACATTGGCATTTAAGGGACTACATCTTGTTCGAACCAGACATTCATACTGAACTAAAGCATGCAATAGAACTTTAATTTAAGATTAATAATATACATCCCATTTCATTGCAGCAATCAATGTGCACCATATCCTGAGTTTTTGTTGGTACCTCTATGCTATTTTTTAAGGATTGATTTATACGATTTGTCTATGGATTATTTTATGATTTATTTTATTACTAATACATTAAAGATGTTTGGATTTTTCTAAGAAGCAGTCCTCTTTTTCATATTCATTCTCTTATTTTTAGCACACAGTTGATTTTGTACTGTGTCGCTTTCTCATTACCCTTACTTTTTATTTTATTTTTATGTGATTTTTTTACTATTTGGCTTTTATATTTATTGTTTTTCAGTAAATTATATTATTGCCATAGAGGCTCCATAGCTGTGTATTCCCATATATATAACTTAGTGAGCGTATCCCATGCTACATTCTGAGGACTGATTTATTATTTTGGACTTATCTTATTTGTGGGACTGTCTTTTTGTTAATTATTCTTTTAAGTGGACATTTCTTGGACAATACATCAACACACACAATATATATATATTGGAGTTGGATCTCATTTATTATCTATTGCAATGTACAGCGCTATGGAATGTGATGGCGATATAGAAATAATAATAATAATATTGATTTTTACTATTGTGTCGTATTATAGCTCCTGGAATCCCCACATCTAATTTATATAAGTGTGGTTTGTATATCCCACTTCATGGAGCATGGCATGGTCTGCTTTTAAAGCCTTCACAAGAGGAGCAATAACGTTTCTGCATAAATAGAGAAAATATATTCTTAGAATAATTTTTAAAAAATTGAATAAAGTACATTAATGTACTAGGGACTAGAGTATATTAACCAGGGACAGGGCCTAACAGCCGAACTGATCGGACGCATCTTGAGAGAGCGGTGTGTGTGTCCCGTTGGAGAGTGGCGTCTCCTCCAAAATGGCGGATACAAAATGCTTCTCTGATCAGCCTGGACCAAGTGTTGGCAGACTTCACCGATTGCACCCCATCGCACAACAGGCAACTACACCTTCTGTGAATTTGGAATCAGTGGTTCCTACTACGCACACAGGGAGGCCACACAAAGAGAAGGGTGCACATTTATACACGGAAATCAGTGAAGTCCCCACGCTGATACTATCCTAATCTCAGGGATACGGCTTCATACCTATCTGCCAATCAGAGTTACCCACTGTAGCCTGTGAGTCTCTTCCACCATCCCTGTTGGTTTTGACAGATATTCACAACTGTACCTATGGTCAATGGCTTCTTAATATTGTGTGGAACAGCGTTCTGCCTTTGGAGGGAATTGGTTGCTTATAGATCCCTATTCAGCACTGTATTTCTAAGACCCCGCGGCCTGATCTAGTTTTTACTTGATATAACTACACAACAGTAGCCAAGTTACTCCGAATTGCTTACACTTCACATTGTAACCCAAAATCACCAATATTCGTAATGATACGGAGCAAGATTTTCAATGCTATTTTAAATAAAAACAAACATGCAAGACCCTGTCTACTTTTCTTAACGGAATTACAAATTTTAGGCCAAAGAAGCTGAACAGTAAAGATAGTCGAATTTTTCCAATCTGATTATTTTGCCCTATAATTTGCAATTCTTCACAATTTCCTGTTTAATGAATAAACCGGTTAGTGTTCTGTACCATTCCAGGTTTTAGTTCTTAGCTTGACATTACATCATATAAACAAAGTGAATTGTAATCTGTCACGAAGAAACCATTGAAAGTGCACTTTTCTGATAGAAGGTTATTATGACCTATAGTGAAAAACAAATTATAACTAAAAACTAACAACTGGGTCACTGCACCCATTATATTTGCTGGTCAAGACTAGTGATCATCTAGCTCTCCCTCAGGTTATAATATCAGCTCAGTACAGAAAAAACTACTCATATTAATAACATGGATTGTAATTGTCATTGTATTTCTGCTGCTCTGTAAGGTATTTTTTTTTTTTTTTTATTAACGTGGTTACATTTTGTGGGAAAAAAAAAATATATATATACCATCCCATTACTTTGCTTAGGCTTATCCTAAACTTTGCACAATTTAGGACATTATAGCTTGTTACCTGGAAATCACGGTTATTTATAAAAGGATACTTGCTATTAAGCAGCACAGAACCTGCAGAGATTTTCAAGCAAGAAGTAGGTTTTCACCTCTGATGTTTGTTTGGTAAACTATTAACAGTCCCCTTGAGTATATATATATATTACAATTAATGTACCAATCAATTTACTGAATTTATAATATTAACCCATTTGTTGACTGAACTCTTGTCTGCTTAACCCCTTAAAGGAACACTATAGTGCCAGGAATATAAAAATATATTCCTGACACTATAGTGTTTAAAGGGACACTAAAGTCACCAAAACAACTTTAGCTTAATGAAGCAGTTTTGGTGTATAGATCATGCATCTGCAGTAGGAATGCTCAGTTATCTGCCATTTAAGAGTTAAATCACTTTGTTTATGAACCATAGTCACACCTCCCTGCATGTGACTGCACAGCCTTCCTAAACACTTCATGTAAAGAGTCATCTAAAGTTTATCCTTCCTTTATTGCAAGTTCTCTTTAATTTAGATTTTCTTATCCTCTATGTTAATAGCCTGCTAGATGTAATTAAAGTTAAATTTACAGAGAAAGAGATACAATTGTTTAAACCAGTTTTTTGTTGTTGTTTTTTTCTTCATGCAGGCTGTGTCAATCAGAGTCAAGGGAGTTGTGACAAGGAATGCATAAACAGAAACAAAGTGATTTAACTCCAAAATGGAAGTGAGTTGAGCAGTAAAACCTGAGAAGCATGATCTATACACTAAAACTGCTTCATTAAACTTAAGTTGTTTAGGTGACTACAGTGTCCCTTTAACTATTTAGTTGACCATCCCCCCACCACTCACTGCATTCACTGTACACACACACTCTGACCTACACACTAAAACGGCTTAATTAAGCTAAAGTTGTTTAGGTGACTATAGTGTTACTTTAAACGCACTAACCCTGCTCACAAATACAACCCTGCAAGAATGGGCAAATGGTAGATCTCTAGCTGGTATAGCATCATTGGAATTGTACAATTGGCCACCCTTGCACTAGAGGGGGATCCCCCCCCAAAAAGTTCTTGCACCTGGATCCTCTCTACATTAGTTCCGCCACTGATTAAAATGATACATGCATGTCATATATCTACTCTATATCAAATGAAAATTATTATTAAAAGTGACATTGTTATCCAAAACCTCCTCAAATTTATATTTTCCTGTGTTCACCTCCAAAGGGGTCTCTGAAGATGCCCTCCAGCTTCAGATGCCCCTTTGGAGGTGACCACAGGAAAGAATAAATCTGGAGTGCCTATAGAAATACAACGTTGTCCTAATACAGCACTGTCCCAATTGCTACACTCTCCCTTTGCCCCCTTTCTATGGGAGGCACGTGAAAATCCTTTGCTAGTATCTACTCACAAGGCGCAGAAATTGGTGAGACAATTACTAGGACTGCAGCGGCAATACACCAGATTTATCCCCTTCTTGCTCAATCTAAATTTTCAAGACGGGGAAGCTCAATATACATATTGTTCCTGGGTGGATAGAATACACGATTTTCTGAATGACAATAGTAGATCAATCCTCTCTTTTCAACAAGTCAAACACAAATTTCCTGACGTTCCTTGCATACCAGCAGCCTGATTACTTCTTTCCACACTTAAGCCCCACAGACTGGAACCATTAAATCTATTATTTACTTACTCAACCCGCCGATTCTTCCTTCTCAATTAGCGTACTTTATTCTCTAATCCGGTCCCACTTGGATACATTGATTAAAGGTATCTCTCGATGAGTAGTTGGATGGGTAGAGAAAAAGTTTTTTTCTCAACTGGCAACCTTACATTACCTCTTTAAATAGAGCAATCTAATCCAAAATTAAAGCTCCTTTTGAATTCACAAATTGAAGACTACCAGCATCATGTAAAACCCCATAGGAAAGCATTATACAGGTTTTCATAAGGGGGGAAAACTAATCAGCGTCAAGGGACACTGAGGGGTTTTTAACCCCTTCTGCGCCACGGGAGGAGAGGGGAAAGGGTTTGACCACTTAGTTATTTACTAAAGTGAGAATTAACTGTGAATGTCAAACTGAAAGTATAGCTAACGTAAAGGGACACTATAGACCCCAAGATCATTTCATGTCATTGGAGTGGTCTGGGCAGCAATTCTTTCCTATGGTGAGGGTTTAAAGGACCACTATAGTGCCAGGAAAACATACTCGTTTTCCTGGCACTATAGTGCCCTGAGGGTGCCCCCACCCTCGGGGTCCCCCTCCCGCCGGGCTCTAGGGTGAGGAAGGGGTTAAACTTGCCTCTTTCTCCAGCGCCGGGCGGGAGCTCTCCTCCTCGGCTGAATGCGCATGCGCGGCAAGAGCTGCGCACTCATTCAGCCAGTCTCATAGGAAAGCATTCTCTGAAACTGCAATATTTATAGAAAAAAGGGTTAATCCTAGCTGGACCTGGCACCCAGACCACTTCATTAAGCTGAAGTGGTCTGGGTGCCTATACTGGTCTTTTAATGCACATGGGCATTGGAGCCCTGCCGTTACTAGGGACATCGGCACTGTACTCTGGTAAGTACAGTAAGGGTTTATTAACCGTTACAGTACGGGGGACAAGGCAAGTGAGCTATAGTGCTAGGAATTCAACTTTGTATTCCTAGCACTATAGTGTCCGTTTACACTTTCCCCATTTTGGCTACTTTGACTTTGAATTCTTACTTTATTGATTAACCATGTAACTGTGGAAAAGTTCATGTAAAAGTTTCATTCAGAACAGACTACTTCTCCATACAAAATGCACTCATTAGAAATTGAAACTCATATGTTTTGCACTGATAGCAAATACTAATAAACTCACCTCACAGTAGTAGGTTTCCCATACAAATAGACTCTAGTAAGCACTGTGAGCAAATGCAGAAGTAACCTGGAATAATAATAATAATAATAATAATCCCCATGGTGGAATAAATGGTGCAAAACAAGGGATTAATTTTATACGGTAAAAGATGTCCTTTTTAGCCCATTTTATATAAATCCAAACAAACGCATTACAGAACAAAAATAAAATACATTTTCGTTCCCCATCAGTTTGATACACCTCCCAATTGTTTAAATTACTCCTCCACATTTACAATGTGTGCCCTGGCTGGTCCTGGCATGAACTGAATTATGGCAAGTTGACAACATTTGCTAAACATTATTTTGAAAGAAAACTGAGTATCACATGGGAAAGGAATTCCGGAGAGGTGATAGTTCCCCTTTAATTATTTTCCCCAAGTTTGGCTATTTTGACCGAATGTTGTTTCCAGCTCACAGCTTAGTGAATACACTCCAATTAAGTGTCAATGGTGGCTGGATAGATAGATAGATAGATGTATTTAGTACAGAGCCTGTCCATACCTACCTGGTCATAGTGTTCCCGAACTCACCCTCTTTAATCATGTCAGGCCCCCGTCCTTCACTACGCTGTGCTGATGCTTGATGTTTTTGTACCCACACACTGTACCCACCATCTCTCCCCTCTCCTTATTTCCTCCACTTCCTCTGCCTTTACTTCCCCAGTGCAGTGCGCCGACTGGCCAGCATGGGGAGTGAGCTTAGCGAGTCCCAGCCGTGCAGTGCAGGCCTGTCTATCCCAGTGCTGAGCAGGGCTGGGCGCAGTGTCCGCCTACTGTTTGCACGGGGAGCCCCGGGCTTGGCTGTTCCGGGATACAGGTTGTTTCTGGACAGGTTTGTGAACAGTCTCCGCACTAATAAATACCTTGCTGGACATGTGAGTCTGTAAGATAGCCGGGCACTGGCTGCACACTGACACAGGGCTGGGAATGGGAGCAAGGTGAAAGCAGACTAACTCCTAGAACTCCCAGCCAGCATCCTGGGCTCACTCACACTGTATGGCAGCTTGCTTCTCTCTATTACATGGTCACACACAGGGAAAGCCATTGAATATAATAACATTCAGTGTTCCATGTCCACTAGTTTAATGATTAGTGTGTGTCTGTTTCTGTCAGAGAATGTGTTTGTCTGTCACTGAGAGTAGATATATTTTTGTCAGTGATTGTGTATGTGTGTTTCAGTGCGTGCATGCGTGCCTGTTAGTTAATGTGTATGTCTGTCATTGTGTGTCTTTCTGTGAATGTGTGTATATATGCCTGTCAGTGTGTATCTGTCAGTTAGTATTAGGGATCGACCGATTGTAGGTTTTGCCGATATTATCGGCAGATATTCATATTTTTGGTAAATATCAGTATCTGCCGATAATCACTGCTAATACCGATAATGAGGTGGGCTGGCAAGTCCATAAGGAGGCACAAGCGGCTGTCTTAGGGTGCACTGGCCCGGGGGTGCTAGAATAGAGTGGGGGGGGGGAGGGAGAAGGAAAGAACACTAAGTGAGGGGGGAGGGAGAAGGAAAGAACACTATGGGACAGGGGAGGATGGGGGGAGAAGGAAAGAACACTATGGGACAGGGGAGGATGGGGGGAGAAGGAAAGAACACTATGGGACGGGGGAGAGAGAGAGGAACATTAAGGGAGGGCACTAAGGTACAGGGGAGGAAGGAGAAAAGGAACACTGGGGTAGAGGGGGGACCATTAAAAGAGAAGGGAGTGGAACATTAAGGTGAATGGGTGGGGGGGGCACTAAGAGACAGGTGAGGGGGGAGTTCCTACCGCACATATTTACGCACACACTGCATCCACTATACAGACACATTGCATCCACTACTCAAATTATTATTTTATACAAGAATTACTAATATAGTATACTCACAAACAGAGAGCCTGTGACCTGGCTCAGTAACCGAACTCTGTGTAGTTAGGGACTACACTCCCTTCTTCGCAACGACAGAAATCACAGAATAATGTTAAAAAGATATACTTTATTAAAATATACAATAAAAAATGCCAAATACCAAGGTATATATATATAGTCTATATAGCCAGAGAAACGCGTTCTCCGATCTCTCGGCTTCAATTCCCTATATACTATAATAATCGTGTTCAGTTAACAATAGATTTGTGTAGAAATTTTCTTTTTTTCAAAACGGTAAATGTACAGTATATCGGTAAGCTATCGGCCTGAAAGTTCCCAGATTATCGGCTCTAAAAAAAATCAATATCGGTCAATCCCTAGTTAGTATATGTGTGTGTCTCACACCGAATGTGCATCTGTCGGTATGTGTGTCTGTCGGTGAATGTGAGTGACTGTAGCTGTGAATGAGCGAGTGTGTATGTCTGTGAATGCGAAAGTGTGTGTTGGTTAAACAGTGTGTGTGACAATGACTGTATCTATCAGTGAGTGTATCTCAGTGCATGCATCAGTGAGGGCGTGTGTCTGTCAGGAATAGACATTTGGAGAGGGGGGTGCCCGAGTATTGTCACGCCTAGGGCAGCACAAAACCAGAATCCACCACTGGGTACCACGACTGTGACGTCAGTACATAAAACTTCAGACTTCTCAATTTTTGGCACCTCTCACTCCAGTAACCCGAAATTGCGTCTAACTCAGACTTCACAGCCCTGGCTGGTCTCATAACCACTACAGAAGTAATAATTTATTTGTACAGCTGACCACCATGCATACATATTGTGACCTAAAGGAACACTCCGTGCACCCTAACAACTTAATCTCAATTAAAGTGTTATCGTTCCTGGAGATCCTGGATGTCATGCTAATTTAAAGGAACACTATATTGCTAGGAAAACAAAGTTGTTATCCAGGCTCTATAGCTCCCTATAGTGCTTTCCCTCCCTATAAAACCCTTTTGTCACTTACCTTGTTCCGCTTTCGCTCCTTCCTTGCTGACGTCAGCCTGCGTGGAGACCTAATACAATCCTTTCCTACGGGTGTTTCAGGTGACGCTGGATGTCCCCCTCTCCTGCTATGCTATCCAGCTATAGTGCCCTGAGGGTACCCTCACCCTCAGGGACCTCCTACCGCCCAGCTCTGGGGAGAGGAAAGGGGTTAAAACTTACCTTTTTCCAGCGCTGGGCGGGGAGCTCTCATCCTCCTCCTCTCTGCCCCTTCGGCTGAATGCGCACCCGCGGCAGGAGCTGCGCGCGCATTCAGCCAGTCTCATAGGAAAGCATTTACAATGCTTTCCTATGGACGCTTGCGTGCTCTCACTGTGATTTTCACAGTGAGAATCACGCAAACGCCTCTAGCGGCTGTCAGTGAGACAGCCACTAGAGGAATTGGAGGAAGGATTAACCCATTTACAAACATAGCAGTTTCTCTGAAACTGCTATGTTTATAAAAAAATGGGTTAACCCTAGAGGGACCTGGCACCCAGATCACTTCATTAAGCAGAAGTGGTCTGGGTGCCTAGAGTGGACCTTTTAGGTGGGCCTCACACACAAGCAAAAAAAAAAAAAGAGTTCGACATAGACCAACACAAACTTAAATTACTTGTATCATTCTCATGCAAACAATATGTAATCCTGGGTACATAAATATAATTCACTCAAAAGCTTTACCTCAAGTTACTTACTTTCTCAGTAGTAATACCACTGTTTGCAGTGTCCACTCCACTCACCCCCTCAGTCCCTCTGCAAACTGCCGTCTCAGCCAGGTAGGTAGCCGCACTGTCTGCTCTGCTCGCTCCGTAGTCCCTCTTCAATCTCCAGGCAGAGTAATGTGTGGCTGCACACTCCACTCTGCTCGCTTCTACCCTCTTCCATCCATGTCTATTCTTCCCCCCTCCCATCCATGTCTCTCTTCCCCCTTCCCTCCATGTGTTTTTCCCTCTATGTCTCTCCCCCATGCCTCTCTCCCACCTTCCATATCTCTCCCTCCCTTCCATATCTCTTCCCCTTTATATATCTCTCCCCCACATCTCTCCCTCCCTTCCATATCTCTGCCCCCACATCTCTCCCTCTCTTCCATATCTCTCCCCCCACATCTCTCCCTCCCTTCCTTCCATACCTCTCCTCCCACATCTCCCCCCTTCCATATCTCTCCCCCCATGTCTCCATCCGTTCCATATCTCTCCCCTTACCCATTTCATCCAAGTCACCCTTCCTAACACTTTGATTCTAAATGAAATCTCCCTACCCCCTTCCATTCCTATCTCTCCCACCCATGTCTCCCTCCTACCCCTTCATACCTGGCAGGCAGCTGTTTCTCTCACAGAGCCGGCACCCGAGGTGTTGGTAGGGCCAGCTCTGCACTGCACTATTGATAGATGGCCCTCTCCATGCTGTTTCTCACCTGACATAGCAGGAGAGAGGGGCTTATCCGGCGCTCCCACGCAGAACCAGAGGGGGTGGCGCTCCCCCTCCCAGTGTACTAAGGGTGCGGTTCCCTTATGGAGCCGCACGCTGCCTGTGGGTGGAGGAAACACAGGCTGAGGCAGTCTGACAAGTAATTTTTGCGCACTCCTGGTTGGCTTATCTGCGGGCCACAATGAACGTAATTGTGGGCCGCGAGTTTGACATCCTTGCCTTAAATGGTTTCTCCAACTCTCATGAAACTTCTTTATTTTTTGCTGTAATTGTCACATATGCCCCTTTTTATGCCTTTTGTACATATGCCCCTTTTTATGCCTTTTGTTGTGTGTACCAAACTGTAAAAAAAGGCAAAAACAGACTTTGAATCCGGCTGGGCTAAGTTCTCCGAGAAGCTCTCCATGCCTACTCATACATCATGCTACGTTACTGGTGTAATAGAGAAGCATTGTTGGACTTTGGGCGTATGCACGGTGAGCTTGACGCCCAGCAAATCCGCTTCTTTTGATGTGTGCAGTGTGTGTTCACAAGCACCAAATGAGTTGAGTGACAGCTTATTTAACTGATACAGCCTGTCCACCTCCTAATCCAAGAGCCAAGGAGGGAGGGATAGAGGGTTGGGGATGCATGTACATGGTTTGGGGGAAAAGCAATTGTATAATGTAGATTTGCCGGGAGGAGACAATTTTACAGTGAGCAAGTTGGTTTCTTGTTGCAGGCGCACTTATAACTCTGCATACTAGAGAAGAAGCTCATTACATCCAGTGTGCAGTGCGTTCTGACAATGTAGGTTTTTTTATGCACAGAGCTGACAGTCAATCTAGAACAGAGTTTTGGTCTGACTAGGTCATGTGTGCCTACCTTCCGGCACAAAACCATTAGTATCTCTGAATATATAGTGCAGGGGTAGGCAACCTTTTAGCAGCACTGTGCCGATATAGGATTGTGATGTCCCGTAGCGTGCCGGTCCTATTTTTTTAAATTGAGGTGTGTATGCTGCGTTGTGTTATTTTTACTGCAGTTGCTTTGCATCGTTGTATTTGTGCGTATATAAGCTATTATATTGTATATGTTCATTAGTAGTTTATGGTATCGTGTATGATACATATGAATGTGGGCTGTGTATGAGGGCTGCTTGTGGAATTGTGTGTGGATAGATATGTCACATTGTGTGTTTGGTAGTGTGTGTGGGCTGTTTGGGGTATTGCATGTGAGAGGCTGCATGTGGGGTTGTGTGCATGGATGTGGATTGTTAGCGGGTTACGTTTGTGCGGATTGTGTGTATGTTTGCGTGTGGGCTGTTCGTATTATTTGTATAAGGGGAGGGTTATTCTTCATTTCTGTGTTATGAATGTAAATTAGTGATATTAAAATGTCTATTTACTGTGTATACCTGTATTCAATATCTACTCAAAATGGCTGCTAGAGCACCCCCTCCCACCGACTAACTACCTTGTGTAACAAGATGGCGCCTAGATCCGGAGTAAAATCCCGGGATGATGGTGACATCACACCTCGTAGGATGTGCATTAGATAAGACACTTAACACCTAACCAATTAAAGATGTATTCTCTCTGTTATCTACATTTTTGCATATGATGTATTTTTGCCTTTATAAGAAGCTTGCCGCCCCCTGAGTAAACATTCCGAAGTTTTTCATTAACCTGATACCTGTGTCTCAGTGTAATTTACTTCAGAGCGTGCACGCATTTATTTTAACAATTTGGAAAGAAGCAGATACTCCGATAAATACTTGGTTTGATCCACAATATCTGTGCATATCTAGCAGTATGGTTGACTTCCCTGGGTTCCAGTGGGGACCAGGCTGGCCTGGTACAGGTCAAAGACAGGAGATGCAACAGCCGCTGCAGGCTGCTCTACTACGTTGTAGATTCCCATTCACAAGTGCTTGGAGGAAGTGATCTGAGATCATTTCCTCTGTGCTGCAATGCTTAAATTGAGGATTGTCCTTCACCATCTTTTCGTATTAGCAGATATTTGAAGTTTTACTGGGACTCCTGATAGGCCAGAGCCTGTTTGGCTCTAGCAGCCTTGAGTGCCGTGCAAAGACACCTCGAGTGCCGTGCATGGCACTAGTGCTGTAGGTTGCATACCCCTGATATAGTGTTTCAAGCTGAAATGCTGCACATACTGATTGCTTGCACCATGACAACTTCTAAAAGCAGAAGTAGCCATTGCAGTTGAAGCATCCCTTTACAGTAAGACACAGCCTAGAACCTCCAGGCAGCATAATAACGTAATTGAAGTGACATAGTTATGGTCCCCAAAGGATTCCTTTTTTTTTTCCTTTAAAAACTCCATGACAAGTTTTTAATTATCAGTCAAGTTATGTAAACCATACTTTGCTGTAATGAAGTGTGGACACATCCTACTGTAGGGTTTTTTACTCTAAAGCAGTGGTTTCCAAACCAGTCCTCGTGGCCCACCAAGAATCCAGGATTTCTGTATTTCCCTTTTCTTTTCTATGGAAGATAATGACAAAACCTGGACTGTTGGTGGAAAACAGGTTTGAGAAACACTGTTCTAAAGTGATGTTATGAACTCATGCACCAAACATTCTTTGCTGTCAGAAAGGAGATCAGGTAAGAAAGACATAAACATTTCGGTCCTCAAAATGGACTGCGTTTCAGAGATACTGATCCTCGAGATTTATAAAATTATGAATTCTGTCTTCTTCCAAATACTAGCCTAAATTGTGCTTGTTGGTTGTCAGTGCATCATAAGCAACAATTTAATGAATAGGCCCTATTTTATACCACCATTCATCTGATAATGCCCCAGTTATCAAAATTTGAAAGCAAACACATACACAAGCACTGACAGAGACACACACGCAAATATTGAAATTTAAGATTTTAGTTACTCTATTGTTTGCCTACATTTGCCAGTGGGGATCTAGCACCGATGGCGAGCTGTGATGGGTGGTTTCTGTCTGGGTACTGGAAGGAATAGATCAGACATCACTCCATCCCAGAGCAACCATGCATGTTGCTTCCTGATGTAGTAATGTATGAAGGAGATTGCCAGGATCAAGATTCAAGATGTCAGCCATGGAGGTGGGACCAGCCGTTGCTAGACAGGTGCAGCGATGGAGAAAAGGTATGTTTAAATGCCATTTAACTCCATTCTGAAGGGTGCTGGGGACAGAAACTGCTACTCCAAAACTCTGTTTGTATTCCTAACACTATAGTCTTCTAGCAGAACTAGAATTTTGAGAATTTTCCATATCGGTTATTTTGACCTTAAAGGGACACTATAGTCACCAGAACAACAACAACTAATGTAGTTATTATGGTGTCTAAAGCTGCAGGCATTTTCATACAAACATTGCCTTTTCAGAGAGAAGACAGTGTTTATATTACTGCCTAGGAACACCTCTAGTGACCACCCGTCAGACAGCCACTATAGGTGCTTCTTAGGTCAGTGCTTCAGAGTGTGGAGACACAAAACTTTCCCCATAAAGATGCATTGATTCAATGCATCTCTATGAGGAGATACTGATTGGCCAGGATGATGTTTGGCTCCGCCCTGGTTTGCCTCCTTGGCTGAGATCATCAGAATTGACGATCTAAGCCAATCCAATGCTTTTCCAATTCTGATGATGTCAGCCAAGGAGGTGGATCGGGGCGGCGCTGGAAATATGGTGAGTTTTAACTATATTTAGGGGGTCCAGGGACTAAATAGTGTTTTTAACGATATAGTGTCAGGAATACACTTTTGTGTTCTTGACCCTTTAAAGTTAAAATTCACTTTGAATTCTAACTTTAGTGAATACTGCTCTGTGTGCATGAAGTAATATTATGGTAATTCCTAACTATTGTAGACCTTTGACCTTAATGGTAACCATTCATACAATGTGCTATTACCATTAACAAATTGTTTGTGTGTTTACAGTTAACAATCATAAACATTACGTGAAGAATAAGGCAAAGGTTGAAGGACATTCTACAGGTATGAATGCGATTGTTTAGTGCCCATGTGATTAAAAGATTGATATGTACTTTGAACCTGTATGTACCACCCCTTCTCTTTCTATAGCAGGTTTACAGGTCACAGTCCTCATGCATCGTCTGCCTTTGCTGCGAGGCCTTCTCTCTTTACCGTCTCCTGTTACAGGATCCTGCAGGATGCAGAGTTTAGGAAGCCAACAGCCCCTCAAGAGACTGCAAGGGAAAGTGGCATTGGTGACAGCCTCAACAGAAGGGTAACCTCTGTCTTTTCTGTGACTTCCTATGTTGTTTATTTAAATTTTGTCACATTAATTAAAGTGTCGCAAACACAAAAGAGTTTTAGTCAAACCATTAACTATACATTGTCTGTACACATAAGGTGCCCTGCTATAATGTCTACCTCATGTATACAGTTAGTTCACGTTTCTGTTACAACATTTAAAGGATATTCCCTTAGAGTTTTTATATTAACAATGTTAATAGTATATTTGCTATTTTTATTTAAACTTGAAGTGTACAATTTAGCCATCTGGCAGTATTTGCATTAACTTGCTTAATGTTAGTCGTAAGCATTGCCTGCCACGATCTTTTCTAGATGTAGTTGTAGAGGCTAATCCATATGTAACACCCTTGCTTAACCTCAACCCTTTCCTCAAGTACAATATGCATGTTTACATATACCACTCTCTTCTAGGATTGGCCTGGCAGTAGTCCGGAAACTAGCTGAGGATGGGGCCAGTGTGATGTTGAGCAGTCGTAGACAGCAAAACGTGGAGAGAGCTGTCAAAGAGCTCCAGCAGCAAGGACTGGATGTGGAGGGAACAGTGTGCCACGTGGGGAAAAAGGAGGATAGGGAGAGGTTGGTAGAGACGGTGAGATTTTAATATTCACATGGTTGGGTAGGAAAAGGAGGGATATTGGTGGGTAGGGTAAAAAAAAAAAAAGGAAGACTAGCAAAAAATATAGTAATAAAAGATCAGTGGACACGGCGAAAGAGGAGGAAAGAAAAGGAGGAGATATGTGGCAGTGATCATCTCTGAATCTGCTCGCAAAATGAATAACATGTCAATATAATATCTATATACTGATACCAAGTATACTTGCTGTGGATCACATATATCCACTGATAAGACACATTTTTGTAATCTGAGACTTACATCTGACTCCTCGGTCAACGGCTACTGATAGAGAGTTTGTGAATACAGTATTGCAGTTATTCTTAGGATAAACATTAATCCCAAAGTATAGTTTTTAATGATTTCCATTGGTGTTTTTTTTATTTTTTTATAACATATCCCTGTGGAAGGAATAGGAACATGTTTATAAAAAAGAGACACTAGTGGGAATAAAAAACATTCACTGAAGTGGGAATTGTTGGGGATTCAAAGTGAATTTCAAATTTAAATCAAAACTAGCCAAACTGGAAAAATTCTCCAAGTCTGATTTGCTACCAGTTCTGCTATTTTAGCCTTTATTTGAAATTCACTTTGAAGTCCAACAAATCCTCATTGTTATGAATAACCATGTGACGAGAATAAGGATATCTGACAATGAATAAAACAAATCACTATTTAAAATTTCTTTTTTGCCAACTTTCTAATGGCATCTAAAATAACTGTATCATCAACAATGTCTATTGCTTTATAAAGTTTATATTTCTTGTATGACAAACTATTCAAATGAAATGAAATTTTTAGTGGGACTGAAACGTTGACCATCTATAGCACTACAAGCACTTTATGCAAGTGTTTTTTTAAAGATGAAGAAATAAATGCTAGGTTTTGAGACCGTGAGTGCAGACTACCTTTGGAATTTGTTCATATATATATATATATATATATATATATATATATATATACACTGAACAAAATTATAAACGCAACACTTTTGTTTTTGTCCCCATTTTCATGAGCTGAATTCAGAGATCTAAGAATTTTTCTATGTACACAAAAGGTCTATTTCTCTCAAATATTGTTCACAAATCTGTCTAAATCTGTGTTAGTGAGCACTTCTCTTTTGCCGAGATAATCCATCCACCTCACAGGTGTGGCATATCAAGATGCTGATTAGACAGCATGATTATTACAAAGGTGTGCCTTAGGCTGGCCACAGTAAAAGGCCACCCTAAAATGTGCAGTTTTATCACACAGCACAATACCACAGGTGTCGCAAGTTTTGAGGGAGCGTGCAATTGGCATGCTGACTGCAGGAATGTCCACCAGAGCTGTTGCCCATGAATTGAATGTTCATTTATCTACCATAAGCCGTCTCCAAAGGTGTTTTAGAGAATTTGGCAGTACATCCAACCGGCCTCACACCTGCAGACCACTTGTAACCACACCAGCCCAGGACCCCCACACCCAGCATCTTCACCTCCAAGATCGTCTAAAACCTGCCACCCAGACAGCTGCTGCAACAATTGGTTTGTATAACCAAAGAATTTGTGCACAAACCATCTCAGGGAAGCTCATCTGCATGCTCGTCGTCCTCATCGGGGTCTCAACCGACTTGCATGGGCAAATGCTCACATTCTATAGCGTCTGGCACTTTGGAGAGGTATTCTCTTCACGGATGAATCCAGTTTCCACTGTACAGGGCAGATGGCAGACAGCGTGTATGGCGTTGTGTCGGTGAGCGGTATGCTGATGTCAATGTTGTGGATCGAGTGGCCCATGGTGGCGGTGGGGTTGTGGTATGGGCAGGCGTATGTTGTGGACAATGAATACAGGTGCATTTTATTGATGGCATTTTGAATGCACAGAGATACCGTGATGAGATCCTGAGGCCCATTGGTGTGCCATTCATCCACGACAATCACCTCATGTTGCAGCATGATATTGCACGGCCCCAGATACTGACTCGTTTTCGGACCCCCCTGGGTCCCCTAATACAATAAAACTGCACATTTTAGAGTGGCCTTTTATTGTGGTCAGCCTAAGGCACACCTGTGCAATAATCATGTTGTCTAATCAGCATCTATGCCACACTTGTGAGGTGGATGGATTATCTCAGCAAAGAAGAAGGGCTCACTAACAGATTTGTGAACAATATTTGAGGGAAATAGGCCTATTGTGTACATAGAAAAAGTCTTAGATCTTTGAGTTCAGCTCATGAAAAATGGGAAAAATAATCACAGGAACCGCACTCACTCCCAGCGGCCACCGGTGCTCCGGAACAGGACCAGCACTCAAAACACGTTAAGGCAGCAAGAAAGATTCCCAGGCACTCAGTGTGAAAGCCGCAGGCAGATTTATTGAAACAAAAAGGAGAACAACATGAAAAATGGGGGCAAAAAAAAAGTGTTGCATTTATAATTTTGTTCAGTGTATATATATATATAACAGAATAATTATTAACATTAGTATGTGGCTGATGGTGAATTATACATGTGATAAGACACATAAGCACCAGTTTTAGGGTAGTTGCAATGGTCTGTATTTATGAAGAAAATTCATCTTGATTGCTGCATGCTATTGTTCTGTCTCAAGACACATCACATATGTCTAACGTGGAAGGTCTCAATTGGACAGCCATGACATGTAGCTAGATTCTCTCACCCCTCCCACCACCCAAGTGTAGGAGAGAAAGTCCCTATTTGGTCCTAAATCCCTATGTCCCTCTTTCCTATCTTAATGTCTCTCTTTTTTTTTTTTTTTAGAAACTCCATATTGTTGGTGTGTCTCAGGGTATAATAGTGCTCCACGACAATAATACTCCCAGTAAAGTGTCCATTCAAAATTTTGGGAGAAAGCTCATAACATCTTTCATGCCTGTAATTTGTAGGTGAAACATGAAGGTTACAATTAGTGGTTTGTGTTCTAGGCGGTTCGGCGGTATGGAGGGATCGATATCCTGGTCTCAAATGCTGCTGTGAATCCTTTCGCAGGAAACATACTGGACTCTACTGAAGAGGTGTGGGACAAGGTGAGTGTTTCTGTGATTAGATTTTCCCAACATATGACAAATAAGCAAGATTCAAGACTACTTTACAAGCTGGTAATTTTGTATGTGTGTTATCAAAAGAATACAGAACAATAGCACATAGAGCTAGAAACAATATAAATGGCATGAGGGATATACAAGGCATTTAACTTGGTGTCCACAGGCATTTGTCCAATTTGTGTGTCTTGGTTTCTGTCTTTGTTTATCATTTTGATTCTATCTGGATAAATTCTACAACGTTCTCCAATATATTTGTTCTTTATATGGTGGCACCTTTAGGAACACTGTAATTATTATCTTAGTTAATTATTTGCATTCCAGATACTTGCAGTTAGCTTAGTATGTGACTGCATATCATATATTTCCTTGGAAGTGTGCCATGAGTAGTCTGCTTTCATCCACCACCTACAAGCTCACCTACACCACCTGAAAAGTAGTGTTGGAGACTGTATGTGTCCATTCAGGGGCCTCATTTAGCAAGGTTGATTCTTCTTTATCCATTTTGGATAACTCAATAACCATCATGGTACATAGAAATGCTATTAAATAATAGCAATCTAACATATGATAAGAATTGTAACTACATGGATTGCTGACACACACATTGTCCATTCCTCCCCAGATTCTGGATGTAAATGTTAAAGCTACATTTTTGTTGGTGAAGCTTGTGGTACCAAAAATGCAGGAAAGAGGGTAAGAATTTGGGAATAACACAGGAAGTGCATGTGTATAATGGATTTTAATTTGGCCTTTTTGGGGGCTGTAGAATAGAAGATTTAAAAGAAAGAAGACTTCTGACAGTAAGTATAATTTTTTTATTTTGCAGGTATTCATTTAATGCGCCCCCTTACTATTATTCAGATGACGGGGGGTAGGTAGGGTTCATTGTCTGCCCATTTGCTAGTTTTCAAATATTTAGTAGATATGAGTTTAAAACTTCCTTTATAACCCTCTGTGACAACCTTCCGGTAGGTTTGCTTGAAGAGGAAAGGCAAACCCTTGCAGAGACAACCTTGCCAGGTGCCTAAGAGTGATACAGGAACCTGGGAGATCTATGAGGGCATGTGTATTTACAGAGGTGATGAAGCCAGAAAGGAGCAGACAGAAAGTGGTGTCAGGCAGTCCAATGGCAAGGGCTCGCTGCAAAGTTGCAAAGTCAAGAGTCAAACCGAAGGTCAGAAGCCAGGAAATCCATGAATAGGCAGCAGGATGCAAGAGCCTAAAGGTCGGATACAAGAAGCACGTCAGAGTCAATGCCAAGGAACCAGGACCATGAGACTGGGGAAAACACCAAAACAACCAAGCAATGACCAAGTGCTTGGGTATTTATATGGAGAGCTGATCACATGACTGGAGCCCTCATTAGTTATAAAGGAGGAGCCGGCATCTGGCACCATCTTGGTTAAACAAAGACTCCCGCTCCCCCAGCAGTCCCGAGCAGCTACACACAGTGGCCACCATCTTGCCATGGCAACTCCATCATGGAGCTGGCACAGACAAAGAATGCCAGACGGAGGGGAGCACTGCCGGAGTGGCAGCCCATGAGAATCCACTCGCAGGATGCCTCAGGCATGCTGGAGCAGGTAAGTGCAGGGGAAAAACGTGGACACCCCCTAAGGCCTTTTCATTTATTTACTTGTAATGTGGCGGCAAGCAAGCTCTTGCCAGCTGTTACTTTATTAACCAGTGGGAGAATAGAACTTGAAATTATCATTCACTTGCATAAAGCAGGTAAACAATATCTTACGGACGTGCATCCTACCGAATGGATTTGGTCCTGAATTTTGTTAAAACCGGTGCTTTATGAATCATCTGAATACTATGTAAAGGATCAAAAATGATCAAAATGCAGCCGGGCAATTGCTGCAAATTCAGTCGGATCGGATTAGGCTTTATTCAGAGGGAATTCTGATTGGATTTGGCTTTAGTTAATATGAGTTGAATTGACATTTCCAGTCGGGATTTGTCCATTTTCACCTGATTTTGACCATCCGGTCAAAAAAGGTGAATTTACCTACTTTTTCTCAATCTCAGCAGCAACAGTCAGGGGCGTTTTAGCCGCGAGGCAAACAAGGCATTTGCCTTGGGCGGCATTTTTCAGGGGGCGGCAAAAAAAGCCGCCCCCCAAATGCCCAAGGCAAATGTCTTGTTAGCCTCGCGGCTAACAGACATGCTGGGCGCTGGGCGGCATTGGCGGGCGGCTGACGAGGGAGCTCTTCCTGTGAGCTGACTGCTCAGCTCCCTCGCGCGCCACAGAGTGAGGCTGGGAGCCGGAAGATGACGTCATATCCTGGCTCCCAGCCTCACTCTGCGGCGCTCACAGGAAGAGCTCCCTCGTCATCCGCCCGCCAATGCCGCCCAGCGCCCAGCAGCCACTGGACCACCAGGGAGATAGAGAACCCCTTCCCTCCCCAGCACTCCCAAAGGTAAAGAGGCTGGAGGGGGGGGGGGGGTTTAAAAAGTACGTGTGTGTCTGTTAGTGAGTGTGTGTGTGTCTGTTAGTGAGTGTGTGTGTCTGTTAGTGTGTGTGAGTGTGTCTGTTAGTGTGTGTGTCTGTGAGTGTGTGTTAGTGTGTGAGTGTCTGTTAGTTAGTGTGTGTTAGTGTGTGTGTGTCTGTTAGTGAGTGTGTCTGTGAGTGTGTGTTAGTGTGTGAGTGTGTCTGTTAGTGTGTATGTGTCTGCTAGTGAGTGTGTGTGTGTCTGTTAGTGTGTGTGTGTGTCTGTTAGTGTGTGTGTGTCTGTTAGAGTGTGTGAGTGTGTCTGTGAGTGTGTGTTAGTGTGTGTGTGTGTGTTAGTGAGTGTGTGTGTGTGTGTCTGTTAGTGAGTGTGTGTGTCTGTTAGTGAGTGTGTTTGTGAGTGTAGTGTTTCTACGTTTTACTGTACTCTTTCTAAGTATATATAGTGGTGATATACTTGGGTATAGCAGCACCATTCATTTACTCTATCCTCTAGCGCCATTTTCTATATATTTTTGTTGCCATGTGTTTGTGAGTGTGTCTGTTAGTGTGCGTGTGTCTGTTAGTGAGTGTGTGTGTGTCTGTTAGTGAGTGTGTGTGTGTGTGTGTGTGTTGGGTGTGTGTGTGTGTGTGTGTTAGTGTGTGTGTGTGTGTGTCTGTTGTGGGTGTGTTTGTGTCTGTTGGTGGGTGTGTTTGTGTGTCCTGTTGTGTGTCTGTTAGTGGTGTGTGTGTGTGTCTGTTAGTGAGTGTGTGTGTGTCTGTTGTGGGTGTGTGAGTTGTGTGTGAGTGTGTGTCTGTGGGTGTGTGTGTTAGTGTGTGTGTGTCTGTTAGTGAGTGTGTGTTAGTGTGTGTGTGTGTCTGTTAGTGAGTGTGTCTGTGAGTTTATGTTAGTGTGTGTGTGTCTGCTAGTGAGTGTGTGTGTCTGTTAGTGAGTGTGTGTGTGTCTGTTAGTGTGTGTCTGTGTCTGTTAGTGTGTGTGTGTGTCTGTTAGAGTGTGTGAGTGTGTCTGTTAGTGAGTGTGTGTGTGTGTCTGTTAGTGAGTGTCTGTTAGTGAGTGTGTGTTAGTGTGTGTGTGTTAGTGAGTGTGTGTGTGTGTGTTAGTGAGAGTGTGTGTCTGTTAGTGAGTGTGTTTGTGAGTGTGTCTGTTAGTGAGTGTGTGTGTGTCTGTTAGTGAGTGTGTGTTAGTGTGTGTGTGTGTGTGTCTGTTAGTGAGTGTGTGTGTCTGTTAGTGAGTGTGTTTGTGAGTGTGTCTGTTAGTGTGTGTGTCTGTTAGTGAGTGTGTGTGTGTCTGTTAGTGAGTGTGTGTGTGTCTGTTAGTGTGTGTGAGTGTGTCTGTTAGAGTGTGTGTGTGTCTGTTAGTGAGTGTGTCTGTTAGTGTGTGTGTCTGTTAGTGTGTGTGTCTGTGAGTGTGTGTGTCTGTGAGTGAGTGTGTCTCTGCTAGTTAGTGTGTGTGTTTGACTGTGTGTCAGTGAGTTTGTGTTTCTGTTAGCTAGTGTATGCGTATCTGTCAGTGAGTGTGTGTGTGTGTATTTAGAAGGCGGGGGAAGGGATGGGTGAAGTCGCACGGGCGGGGGGGAAGGGATGGGTGGGGGTCGCGCGCGCAGGGGGGTTGGGGGGCGCCTGAGTTTTGTCCTGCCTAGGGCAGCACAAAACCAGGATACACCACTGGCAACAGTGATGATCTGAGCCATTCCAATGCTTTTCCATAGGAGACTATGTCCTCTTGTTGAAGTAATATGCTGTCTAATAGTACCCTGATGTCTTGGGGGGCTAGTATTTCCCTCTTAGGATGAGGTATCACCCAGTATCAGGAACCATGCAGGACTCTGACAGGTAGACAATGGGACTTCCTCAGAGACCAATATTCTATAAAACAGTTATAACAATAATGTTCCCAAAAAAGCAATCTTAATTTATAAATAAACAATCTCACAAGATGAGGTTTCAGAATTTATGATCGGTGGAATCAGTATTTGCTTTATTTAGACCGGCAAGTGTCTAATAATAAAGAGATACCTTACTAATCACCATAGATTAATTTATTTCCCCCAATTGTTGATTGATCTGTTAAGAAAAATAATATTAGTGATGAATTAGGCAACAAGTCTTATAACATACTGTACAATACTTAACAGTCAATATTATTTAAGGTAAGAAAATGGATGAATAAATCTGTTAGCAAACCAAATACTTTACATAAGGCAGCTAATCTAAAAAAAATAATTATTGTAAAAACCTTTAGTTATGTATTTAATTCTAGATGATAATATTTATATTGTAAGCTCACAGGCCATCTAGCCAAGCACTTTGTATAAAAGAGCTCCAATGGCTAGATATCAGCTTAGAGGCAGGGCTCTCTCTACCTCTTGTATTTGTCTGTGTATATTGTATGGTTCTCCACTAATTGTACAGCGCTACGGAATTTGTTGGCGCTTTATAAATAGCAGTAATAAATAAATAAATAATATGCTTCTAACATAATTTCAATATAGAGTTTTCATGTTAAACTCTACTGCACTTGGTAAAGGGAAACAGTTCTTTGTATAATGGATATATGGCATTGTAACAGAGCACCTGTACCGTGAATGGTACCTGCGCTGTAGGTTCTCTCAGAGTGAAGCAGTGATTATAACTCTGGTGTACCCAAACAACAGCCAAGACTTGATGAAGGGTACAAAATGAACTGTTTTATTAGGGCCAAGTGGCCTGTTTATATACAGAGACCCCCAGCATGGGGTCTTCATTCACTACAACAGTAAAACCCGCGCAGGGGTCTCTGTATGGGAGATAAGTGAGTTTGCTTTGGGAGTTTTGACCGACTGTGAATGTGAGGAATTAAATGTGTATTTCAAATTTTAGACCTGGAAAAATTTCTGAGCCAACAATGCTTTCATTTCACCTATTGTGACCCAAAGTTTGAAATTCACTTTGAATTATCAACAATTCATATTTGTTAGTGGAATCAGCTACTTAAAGGGACACTGTAGCCACCCAGACCACTTCAGCTCTTTGAAGTGGTCTGGGTGCAGTGTCCCATCACCCTTAACCTCGAGCATATAATTATTTCAGTTTTTATAAACTGGAATAATTACCTGCCAGTGTAAACTCCTCCTCCAGGGGCTGTCTACCAGATAGCGACTAGAAGGACTTCCGGGCTCGAAGGTGACTTTTGGTCTCCTCAATGATGCTGGACGTCCTCACGCTATGCACGATGCTTTCCTATAGGCATTTGAATAATGCTTTTCCTATGGGGAGGAGTGAAGACGGACCTGAGCCAGCGCTGCGGGACGTCGCCGCTGAACCCAGGTAAGTGACAGAAGGTGTTATTAACCCCTTCTGCACCACAGGGGGAAGCTACAGTGCCAGGAAAACGAGTTTGTTTAGTGGCACTATAGTTTCCCTTTAACAAAAATCAAGGGTTCCCAACTGCACCTTGTTTGAGATCTGGAAATCCTGTTGTATTACCCAAGATGTTCAGTCAATTTGTACACTGATCTTAAATTAGTAATTTAATTTCTAGTGTTTATGAAATGTACTGTTAATTGGAATGACAACAGTATCTGAATAAAGCAGGATTCCAACTGAATCCTAAACTCCCATGTTAAGTTAATTGCATAGACCTCTGCTACATGTACTGCCAATACAGGTACTGGATTACTGGCTAGATGTCCTACAAGTTCACCCACACGTTTGCTGCAATGTCTAGGATAGGATATACAGCTATATTGGGTGTTTGTTTTTGTTTAGTAACCCCTCTTGCTTTGTTTCTCATTCTCATGTACTGTCATTACTCAGGTTTATGTGCATTCAAACAGCTAATGCTCAGTCCATAATACACTGCTTTAAGAAAATGCAGAGCAGCTCTAAAAGAGCAAAACAAGTATTTACTGCTTTCTGGTATGGTGAAAGCTCATTTGATCATGAGCTTTCACTTAAACTTCAGTTGTCAGCCATGCTCAAGTCCTCATCCTTCCACATGAGAACCACTATATTCCTCCAGAACATCTTTCAACATAACTGAATTATCTTATATATATCATGACTATTCACTATATTTGGGTGGGGTGGGGGGGATTACCCTGTCTTTGCTTGGTACCAAATGCTGCAGCCATGTTACTAACTAGTGCTATAAACCACACTCATTTAATCTGTCGACAGTTTGCCTGTACTATGGTGAATACACTGCAAAGCTGGTTTCCTGACTTATATACTGACCTAGTACCCAGCTACCTGAAGGGTTTATTTGTTCACTGCACTCTCAACTGCTTCCCTTTATAAGTAAATGTACTACAACTGATGTTACAACTGATGTTTCTCATAATGCTTGAACTATTTCCCTTTCAGTCAAAGCAGCTTGTTCGACTGAAATATTTAAAAAGGGACTCATGACTGTAACCTATGCTCAGGCTTTTGCATATGCTGCACTTCTTAACTTATTTGAACTTCTGTTATGTCCTAAAATTGCTGGTTCTAGCTTAATAAGTCATTGTGTATTTAGCAGGGATATGGAACAAATTGCAGTTTCCATCCTATACCCACTGATTATGGTAAAATGCAGAAAAAAACTATTAGATATTAAAATATCCAATTGTTCCCCCAAATCTCCAACCATGGATGGCAGGTAGGGGCTCTAACATTTATAAGGCGGGTCTAGTATTCGTCCCCCAGCTGTTATCTGTGGGCTGCAACAGGGGACTATAATTTGGTCTGGTTCCCATGGGTGGCTGGTGGGACTTAAATATTTGTAAGGAGAGTACCTTATGTCACCCACCCATGGGTGGCTGCCTAGGGCTTAAATTAAAAGTACAAGAGGGGGGAGAGGCCATGTCATTGTCTATCCCACCAAAGTTTTTTTCTAATTCCTCTCACTCTCATATTAATAATAATCTATTGCCTCCCAATCTTGGCGGATGTAGTCTCCTATATTGCTAAGGGAGGGACCTTGCATACTCTCCCAATCCTTATCCATTGGGCTGCCAGTGGGGACTCTAATTTTAAATGGGGCGATGTAGTGTCTTCCACCCATAGACTACACCTGAAAAAATACTTCTTACTTACCATCAGAAGTCTTCTTTCCGCTAAATCTTTTTTTTTATTCATCCTGAAAAAGGTCAACATGCAACTCAATAAATAATATTCCATATGAGCTCTGTGGTGCTAGGTGGTGCTGGAACAAGGCTAGGAACTATGCAAGCTCAATCAGAGCACTCTGATTGATGTTAACAGTCTGCCCACTAAAATGTTTACCGAATTTGGGCCTAACTGAATGACGAGGTGACTTGATGTTCGAAGAACTGAAAAGAAAAACACAAACTCACTAAAGTGAGAATTCAAAGTAAATTTCAAATCTATGGCCAGAAAAGCTAAACTGAAAGCTTAGCTGACTTAGAGAATCTTACCAGGTCGACTATTTTGACCTTATATTTGAAATACACTTTGAATTCTCACTTTAGTGAATAACTGTTAAACATGACTGCAAATTCTTTCCATGCACATCTCTAAAGATTAGCCACAGTCTCATGTTTTCCCTATTAGCACATACCATAGGGTATTTTCTGCATGTAATCCAATCACAGTACATTTGCACATGTAAATAAAATATTCTGGTGATACATAGTGGCATTGGACACTGCATTCGTGCTTACCTAGATCAGTGATATCTTTTCCTCTTCCTTTGCAGGGGTGGAAGCATTGTGATTGTCTCGTCTGTGGCTGGATACACCCCATTCCCTGTGAGATATTTTGCTCCATGCATGCCTTTCTCATCCCATCATCTTCCTCTATTCTCACAGTCTCTGTGTTATCATAAGACTCTGGTTTTCTCCTCTGCCCATGCAGAAAACTGTACTTCACTTCTCCTCTCCTCTTTACCTACATTATGCTGCTTCTATTATCTATCACAACCTGACTCCTCAGGCTCTGTACATTTATAACTTCCCCTATAGTTCTCTTATCTTAATAAACTATAATCCACTTATCTGTGTATATTCTAAAGTTACCGTTCGTCCTATACCTTGCCTGTATAATATAGGTTTAACTTAATCTTCTAACTTTCAACATCCATTCTTTTAGAGCCTTGGTCCATACAGTGTCAGCAAGACAGCATTGCTTGGTCTCACGAAGGCCCTGGCACCAGAACTTTTACCTCTGAACATTCGAGTGAACGGCCTGGCACCGGGACTCATCCGTACCAAGTTCAGCTCAGCTGTGAGTCTGAAAGATTTTCAAGAAGTGTGATTGTATAGTTATGAGTGTGGAGACGTTCCCATATTATTTGGTGTTGAAGAGTGAGTTTGTAGTAGATACAGTGTATGTTTGGTGTACTGTATGATTTGTATAGTTTTAGAGTACAGATACTGCAAGTTATTTGGGAATGTGATTTAAAGGTGTCATTCTTCCCACAGCTTTGGAAGGATGAATCCATGGCGAGTATGGTGAAAAGCGTGGTCGGCGTTAACAAGTAAGCACTGGAGTCTCTGCTGGAAGCACACTGTTTTGGGTGTTATCAAATTGTTAATTTTATTACTTTATTTTTATATGTGTGTATTATTTCATTCATATTATAACTATCTTGCAGAATAGTGGGTGATGATTTTAATTGCCTTTTATCTTACATGGATGATGCAGCTTGAAGAACTCTGAACTAGTTCTATACACATATAGGTGCTATACTCTGTCAATTCTTCACGGATAACCAGAATTTACTGAGAAAAATCATAGTGCTGTATTACAATAGCATAGTGGTGTACTATTGACTAGTTTGATAGATGTTTATTTCAAAACACCTGTAAAATCACTGTATGACCTGAGTCACTATAAACCTGCTCTTGTTTTGGGACCTGCATGTCCTTAAACTAATATTGCTGCAGAAATGGATAAATAATATGAAAAGGGTTCATATTCTTTTGATGGGGAGATAGATTAGATGTCTGGTCTGTCTACTGCTTGTATGTGGCAAGGCTATTGGACACTGCCTGCCCAGAGCCAGGCTATACATGTCCCAGATGTCAGGAAATACAAGTTCAACGTTCCTACTTTAATATAACCATAATGGAATGAGATAGATGCAGCATACTATTTTAAAACAAAATTTGTTCAGTTAAAGGAACACTATAGTCACCCAGCCCTCTTCAGCTCATGGAAGCAATAGATTTTGATTCCAGTGTACAGCAGTACATGGGTGAGCTTACATGTGTGTTTCGATTCATCATACAATAAAACATTTATATATAATATAATATTTATATTTATTTATTTTCTAACATTTTGGTGAGCAAGAGAAGACAATACAATATAGAATATGTGCATAATAATGTCATTTCAAAGAGCATACAACTAATAATATGCAAATACATTTGCTCAATATTGAATTTCAGTCTACATTCCATCAATAATTGTGATATATTTTATTATGTTCCTGTTATGATAACTTATTCATGTCTATAGGGGAACATGCTAATTTATACATCTATTAATCCACTTTCAGAGCGTGAGTAAGATATATGAGGTGGGAGAAAGATTCAGTATTTTATCCTGTGTTTTTTTGTTTTTTCTGGTTTGTTTTTTTAAACAATTTTATTATACTTTTCATTCATCAGGAATGCATACAGAAAAGATAAATAGGGAGGGTAAAGCATGATAATGATAATAGCCATCTGTCAGCAGCGTATCTCAGCTGAACTACTTTATTATTTTTGTATGGAATGTTGACCCATGTTGTTAGTATGTACTACCATGCAGGGATTTATTTATTTATAAGTCTCCTCACTATTGACAGCACTGGCTTTACAGTCTTTGAATCTCCTCCCTTCATTACAGTTATTAATGCTATATAACACAGTATCACTTTTATAACTTGTATTGTTTTTGCATTAGAATTGATACACCTTTACAGCCTATATCAGTAGTCACTGAGCTTTACTCGCTGTATAGTCTCCACTTACTCCTGTTGTTCTTACAATTTTTTCTTTTCTACATTTATTTTAGATTTATTTATTAAAAGTTACATTTTTTTCAGCTAACTATACACAGGCAGAATGGCATTTTTTTCTTTTTTTTGTTTATTCCCTAGGGTAAAGCATGATAGTTAAAAAAAATGGATAAAAAAGCATAAATGTGTGTGCATCTCTAAAATTAATTACAACCCATTATAAAGCACTACGGCATTTGTTTGAGCTATATAAATATAATAATAATAATAATTACACCTTCTTGGGGTGAAATCAGTATCCCATGCGTTTCTAAAACCACAATGTGCATCTCACCACTGTTATGGAACGAGTCATACCTAAAAACAGAATATAAGGAGGAGGGGGAACCAGAGCAAAAATTATAATAGTACTCCTTTCAGCTCTAACCAAAATGGTGTACCATGGTTTCCAGCATGTGTCCAATTACGTAGTTTTAGGAACACATGTTTGGGCACACCTTTGGTTTATTTAAAGAGGCAGTTTTATATTTAGGAGTACAGAAAATGGACAACGTTTCGGCACCTACTTGTGCTTTTTGTCAATTAGACTTATAGACCTATAAATTAGGTAAGGCCAACATCCTCAGTCTCAGGACGAGTAAGGATGTCAAACTTTACCTCTCTAGATCTAGCGCTGTATGACTTGAAGAAATTGTTGGGCAGGTGAATGGGTAGGGTCTCAAAAAGATAAAGCATTCTTGGAAGAAGCTTCATATTGATGATTCCTAACCTCCCCCACCATGAAATGTGTTGTAAAGCCCAATCTTCCATATTGTGCCAAAATCTTCTGAAGCAGGGTAAGAATTGTGAGAGTAAACCTAGCTCAGATCCCTGGTTACTCACATCCTCAAATATTTGAGGGAGGCAATGGACCACTGAGACGGGATCAGGTCAGCAGATCAAGCTGGCAGGCAAATGTTCGAGATGGTTGATTTTGAAAAGTTAATACGTAGGTAGGAGATTTAACCATTTCAGTTAAATTTATTTAAGAAATTAGGAACAGTTACGGCAGGTTACATAGAACAGCAAGTCATCAGCATATGCTGCTACCTTATGCTCTTCCCACCCCACTTTGACCCCCCGTTCCCTGCCCCCCATATTTCTGGATTGAGCTGTATCGCATTGAGAGGGGGTTCGAGGGCAAGGACAAAAAGTGACTACAGGCAGTCTTGGCAAGTACCATTATGTATCTCAAAGGAGTCAGTAAAGGCCCCATGGCTACACAACCCGGCAGTCAGGGAGACATAATGTCAAATTAATTGTTGCATGAACGGACTCAACCGTACATGGCAGAGTGTGGCAAACAGGAATGTCCATTTATCTTGATCTTCACCGCGTCTGTAGAAAACAGGAGATGGCCCCCAGATTCCGTTTTTTTGTTGATGAAGCAGAGCAAGAGTCTGGATAGTGTTTTCTCTCCCCCGCTCAGTGGTATGAAGCCTGTTTGGTCCTCGTGATTGAGAGAGGCTTCAATCACATGGCCTGTATTTTTGAAAACAGCTTTGTCACAGTTCAGGAGGGAAATTGGATGGTAGCTTGATAAGTGCTCTTTGTCCTTGTCCTCTTTGGTGATTATGGTTATGTTAACTGACAAAATTTGCCTTGAGATGGCAGTGTCCTCCCGAATTGCATTGAACACAGCGACAAAGTATGGAAGTAAATTGTAGTATTTCAGTGTCAGCCCATCAATCCCTGGACTCTTGCCCGTTTGCGTAGTCTTGGCTGCTAGGGCCAGTTCTTCCTCAGTAAGGGAGTCTTCTAGATGTTGTGCATCTGTACGGGAAAGTCTGCTTTGTGTGTATATCTAGAGGTTATCGTCAGTTGTCTCTGTCAGGGATTTTCTAACGACAGTGGGAGGGGGCGAGAGTAGTATGAGTTAATTAGCCCTGCAATTTTATCTGGCATGTAACAGACAATTATTTGGGTTTTGCATGTTTCCAGTGTAAGTGGACGCTCTGTGCTTGGAAATCATTTTGGCTAATAGAACACCACACTTATCAGAAGGTCTTGTGAGGGTTCTGTTGAAGTCCCACCTTGAATTGATTTTCCTGGAGGAAAACAATCTGTGCTCTTTTAGCTTTAAAATCTTCCAGTGCACGTGAACATTTTTCCAGGATATTAAGGCCATTGGAATTTATGGAAAGCATTCTCAGGGTCATGGGTGTAAACATCATGGTGGAGTAGGTTGGACAACACCAGGCAACTCAATTACAAATGATGGTAAGGAGAAGTAAGAAACACCAAAACAAAACACCTGTCCAGCAACCAGGAGGTACGGGTGACAGTGAATGTGATTTGGGAGAAAGAACCAGCCTCTCCTCAGAACCAAGACACCAAAACCTCTGGGGACACCCATCAGGACGCCGCAAGATGTGTCAATCCCAAACCAGTGAGTCTATAGGCTGCTTGACTATGGTCAAAAAGTACTATAAACAGAAACCAGTCACCCGTACAGAATCAAAGATTAAGACAAAAAAGGAATGATAGTAGTTGAAATTCACAATTACATGTACTTGCCCAAGTGAATCTAAGAGGACTTTGGAAATGCTTACGCAATTTGACAGCCATAGCCCGTATAACATAATTTTGTACAGTTTGAAAATGTCTCTATCACAATTTAGAGACAGAATAAGCAGTGGAAGATGAACTGTGTCTGATTAAAATTACAGATTGGTATTGGACTGTGACATGTGAGGCCTATGTACATCCTGTGCAGAAATGGTCTATCCAGAATTCTTGCAATTAGGAATCCATACATGAGGAAATGGGAAAAAGCAAAAGAGGTTGCAATCAATAAAAAAGCAAAAGGAGTGAAGCAGAAACTACTATAAAGCCTGGTATGACTGTAATCTGTGTTATTTAAACCATGTTCAGCACTAATATGTCCTCCAGAGTCATAAGCCATGTATTTTTGAGCTGACATAGAGAATGACCCTGAGTGAAGGAGCAAGAAACAAAGGATCATGAGAATCCGGTTGTGGTCGTCTGTGTCCAGTATTCACCTGGTACTTTTTCACAATGTTCAAGTTTACTGGCAGCTTCCAGATAACCTATGAGTACAGTGTGAGCCTCTTAGTTCCTTGTTATCGATCATTGGTTGCAATGATGGTTACTGCAGTATGGCATAATGAAAACATATACTTGCATATGTATGCTCTCCACTCAATTTACCTTCAGAAATGGAAATAGTAATTGGACTTTTCTGTGCAACTTGGTTCAGGAGTCCATCTTCATCTTGCCACATGCTTTTGAGCTCTATAATAAAATAACAGACAGCTTTTTTTTTTAATATTCTACTTCAGACGAATGTGAGGAGATGAAGGCATCCCTTGGAAAAGCCAGCAGCGTACTCTTATATGGAAGAGGCAGGAATGAGATTATCAAAGCAAGGAATATGTTGCCATATACAACTTGACCACAGAAGATGTCTCTACCAGTTGCAGAATCTACCATGTCAGCCTTTTGATGGAAAGTCGCTTGCGCATTCAACAGTCATGAACGAATACAGACACAACCATGGGTTGGTGTAAACTCACTGTGCAGCAACCTGTCCACGTATCAAATGCTGATCTTATTATTAATTTATTTTGCAGAGAGCTGCAAGCAGATTACGAGCCACGGAAAAGAGCTGAGCAGCTCAAACAATGGAGGTAAGTGTGGGGTACAAATATTTAAAAATATGCAATGTGAAAAAAAAATCTGATTTATTCATTTTAATCCATGTTGACTTAACTGAAGTAGGTAAGACAGAAAATCTATTTGATTTCATATGATTTAAAAAAAAAAAATCAATACATAATCCATACAATTACAATTTTTGACTTGCTCTTAAATCTAGAAATCACTTAACCAGATGCACAATCTTCATCCTTTTTTCTTTTAAGAAGTCCCTCATCCTCACTTCTTCAAAGAAGCTTATAATTAAAGGGACACCTCCTGTGTGACTTTTACTAAACTTTTGTAATGCATTATTTACCCATTAAACATATTTGTTATGGAAAGCATTACAAAGGAAGGAACATTAATACGAAAAAATGTTAAAGGAATAAAAACATTTTACCTAAGATGTTCTCCCTTCGGCTGCAAGAACCAAGAAACATTTTGTCTTCTAGGAATGTCCAAATTAACCAGAAGGTGGTTATTTCAGGAAATACTTTCTCATAAACCAAGAGAATCACTACAAATACAAAAAAGCTGGATTTCTGAGATGAAATGCCAGGAAGGCACATGCTGCTTTTTTGATGCACAGTTCTAAAGTACCAAGAGAGTGAATGGAATAGGAGACAAACCTGTTTTCCTACTGCAAAACCATCTTTTCTCAAAGCATCATGTTTTGAAAAGTAAAAGGCAAGTCCTGTCATGGACACTGAACTGGTGTGCCCAGTTTGTGGGGTATAACAAAATGTTATTCTGAAGAGTCATCAAGAAATCCCAGATAATATTCATGATTGCCAACCTTACTCTGCAGCTGTTGAAGAAGAAGAAAATATTGCTTGGAGTGTCCCTTTAATATAACGAGATCCCACAATAATTCTCCACTGTGACCAACTGCAAAGCTGATACAGTCTTTCTGTCTATATTTGTGACACTAACGTTTCTCCTACCTTGCATTTAACCTATACTGTACACCCTCTGTGTTGATACCAGAGTTAACTCTTATGTATAAGTAAGATATCAACCAATGCATACATTAACCTTATAAGAATCATTATTACTAATTATTTCAACCAATGAAAGCCAGTGAAAGTATTGAAGTATTGATCTATCTGCTAAATGCCAATTAGTTACACTGTCTTTTGGAATATACTTCATATATGACATGAATTATACTAGCAAAGAGTGCAGGGGAGAGAGAAAGAGAGAGAGAGTGTGTGTGTGTGTGTGTTAGTTATAGTATTGAATAGAGAGTGCCTTACTGTAAGGACTTTTGTAACCTAATTTATATACATATATGCAGGAGCAACTGTTGTGCTTCTTTTATTGGCTTTACAAGCTTTGCCATTCACAACACAGAAAATATGTCACTTAATTAACTCTTGCAGTGCATGGTACATTAAACTTTGCCCAATAATGTCTATAATAGTTAATAAGATATTTACAGCGAGCTTTGAAACCTGATTGCTATTCTTGAGCCAAGGAGGATTTTAATGATAGTTAGAAATCCCACTTGACTCAATACTTAGAAACTTAGGTTTCTGAGTATATATGGTAATACCCGGGCTGATATATTTTTTTTTCTGCCCAGGCTAAATTTTAACTGGCCGATGGCTAGTGGTTGAGTGGAAATTGTGAATTTTATTGAACTATGTTTAAAACTGCAGGTCACTGCTGAATATAAGTGCAGGGAATCCCATGAATGACTATGTTATGCATCTGGAGACGTCCAGTCTTTCCGAGTTGTCATGTATATGGCATTTTTAGTTCTGTTTTTATAAATAAGTATGTAGTAAACAGATTGTTGTTGGTTATTAGTTTCACCTGTATTAATTCTTCACAGAAGAACTAGATACTAAAATTGGCAAAGAATAAAATAAAATATGAAATAGGATTATACAAAGTAAACACTGGGATGATGACAAGTAAGTATTAAAGGAGCACTATATGGTCAGAAACACAAACATGTATTCCTGACACTATAGGGTTAAAACCACCATTTAGCCACCCTGGTCCCCTCATGCCTCCCTAAATATAGTAAAATCTTACTAGTATTCAAGTCTGGAGATGCTTGGTTTGTCACTGTTTCCTTTTGACCTGCCCACTGCCTGCTGACATCAGCAGAAGTGGTAGCCTGATCCAATCACAATGCTTCCCCATAGGATTGACTGAGACTGACAAAGAGGCAGATCAGGGGCAGAGCCAGCATGATTCAAACACAGCCCTGGCCAATCAGCATCTCCCCATAGAGATGTATTGAATCAATGCATTTATTTGAGGAAAGTTCAGTGTCTGCATGCAGAGGGAGGAGATATAGAATGTTTGGGTGCATTTTAGCCAGCCATGACCCAGGAAGGATCTCTAACAGCTATCTGAGGAGTGGCCAGTGAAGTTATCACTAGGCTGTAATGTAAACACTGCATTTTCTCTGAAAAGACTGTGTTTACAGCAAAAAGCCTGAAGGTAATGATTCTACTCACCAGAACAAATTCAATAAGCTGTAGTTGTTCTGGTGACTATAGTGTCCCTTTAAATAAGAAGATATGAGAAAATCAAGAAGTTGATATGATAATATTAGTTTGGTTTTACACCAGCAATTATTGGCTCATTGATTTACAGATATGTTAATTAGGATAATATAAGGTATTGAATACATAATGTGATTATTAAAAACATATTGAATAGGGCTATATGAGATAACCAATAAGTTTTGGGATCATGAAAAGGAAATATTGAATCAGATGTAAGTTTATTAGTAAATGATGGGAATTATGTGAAACATGCAATAAAACTGATGAAATTGATCAAATCATTTTGTCGTGACTGAAATTAAGTGCAGACTGTTTATATTGAGGCAATATCTTTGGAAAGATGATTTGTTGACAATAAATATTTATATAGACATAAGATGATGATAATAGAGCCTCATTTTACAAAAAAAACAACCTGCAGCATTTAGTGGGGCGAATGAAGCAGTAAGTGTAAAACATACTTACCTCCAGTGCACTTCCGTGTTCTGTGTGGCTTTGTAGTCATACTGTGCCTTCTGCTTCCTTGGCTTCAACAGAGATATTCTGTATGAATGCATGCATGTTCTCCAAGAAGTGCTGTCTGCACACATGCCCAGTACTTTCGGCACTGCATGTTTTTACTAATTTGCATTTTTTGCCTGGTGCTACTCAGCATAGCATTTAAAGTAAAATAAATATAGTATTGAAAAAAAATAAATTTTGGACTATATAGAGCAGGTGTTTGCAAGGTAAAACTCATACTGACATTGTTATTTCTGCCACAGGATTGGAGAGCCAGAAGAATGTGCTGGAGCAGTCTCTTTCCTCTGCTCGTCTGATGCTTCATATATCACCGGGGAAACCATTGTGGTAGCAGGAGGGACACAGTGTCGGCTATGAGCAATTCTCAATACTTTATACTTTTTTGTAATTGTGATCATTTGCCTAAGAATACATTTCTGTAATAACATGCTTCTAAATGTATCAAAGCTTTATTGCTACTATTGGGAATCCCATTATAAACTTTACATCATTTTGCAATAAAGCCCTTACATCATAATTAGCCACGGGTAAGCTAAATTGAGTTATATAGACTAAATAAAATAGCTTTCTATGCCAGTGTTTACCTGTTGTTTCCGCAAGAACAAAATTGGGGATCCCCCGTGATTTCACCGATCCAACATGGCCGTGGCAATTTGCTAATCGGGTGACCCAAGCACTTTCATGGGTATTATTGCCAATCGGGAACTGTTTGATAGGTATATTGCTGTCAATAAATTTTTGGGAATATTTATGAAAGTTTGGCGCACTTTTAAATATTGTAATCTATACTCCCAAGACCAAGTAGTTTTGATCTGGTTTGGCTCTTTATATTAGTAGGTTTAGGCTCTGGTTTGGCTCTTAATGAGTAGATGTAGGTTTTCTTTAAAATTCCCTGTTGATTGAATCACCCTGTAAAAGTACAGCAAGTGTGTCTCACTTTTAGATATTAGAGAGATCCCAAATTTCACAGGAGAAGGCCTGTAGATTTTGAAAGCAAGGGGAGAATCAGATAATTGTACAGAAATTTTGGCACTTTGATTTCATTTTCCAAAATGTAATGTTTAGATAATAACGCTGTAAAAATGTGTGGCATTTTGAGATATTATAAAGATATCTGTAAACTTGGAAAACAGTGGGAGATGGAATGATTTTTGAAATCAGATATTCCTGCCTAAATTTTGCCAAAGATCCAACATTTCCCCAGGAAGATGTGCATAGACATGGGAAGAAATGGTAGATTTGGTAAATAGTAGAAGTAATAAATAGACAAAAAGTAGCTTGCTCCAGAATGTTAATATTGTTGGCATTTTTGTGTCAAGACATTACCATTCTACATTATGTATAATGTATTTTTATTGGTTGGTAAATAGAAACCTTTACATACACCTGTAAAAACAAATGGAAAATGGGAACACCATTTTGGAACATGTAATGAACCTTCAAAAAACACGCATTAGAATGAGGCAGAGGAAAGCCAGTAATATGTCATAGAACGTCTGCTGGGTAATAAACACTTCACAGGCTACTCCAAGGACCATGACCACTTCATTGATTTGAAGTAGTTATGGTGCCTAGACTCTGTATGTGTAGCATTTGACTAAGAAACACTGTACAGACATAATGGACTTTTCTGCTGGAGGTGTTACTCCAACTTCTGAAAGCTAATAATGTCAATTCTGTGCATTAAAGGCATCGATCAACAGCATGCATAGGATCAAGCCCCCTCCCCCATGCTGCCTCCAGTTCTCCCTCACCCCATCCTTCAGGACATCCCTCCCCATGAACAGAGTAGGAGTGACATCACCAGAGGAAGATCAGACTGCATGGGATTGCAATTAAGTTCTTTCCTTACATCTCCATGCCAGCACTCTTTTTAGTTGGAGTAACCCATTAAGTAGGCAAATGAAGTGTCCAGGCCAGTAATAGATTCCTTCATTACATGATTTTCATGTTATATCTTCATCTAGCCTATCTTCACAAGTATTAAACAGGAAAAGTTTAAAACAATTTACAATCATCAAGAAAAGAGAGAGAACATGTTTTTGTCACAAAGCCTCTGGCTGTCTTTTTGATGAATATCGGGAAGCATGCTGGTGCTCCTGCTTTACGTACCAAAGATGACAATGTGAAGACCAGGTTTGCTCAGTTTGCAAAGGTCCTTGAAGGAATAATCTGGATGAATCATTGGATATCAGATGTGTGAATGCAGCTTTGTTTTCCGTTGAATGTTTGTTGCCCATCAGTATACTCTGATGTGAACATTTGTTTCCTGGCATAATGTAATAAGAAACTCTAAAAAGAGCATTCTAAAGATATGATATTGCATAAGAAAACAAATCTCTAAAATTATGCTATGGCATAAAAAAATCGGATGTGTTAAGAAACTGTTCACACATCTCCAAAACATGGTGGGCTCATAGTATGGACTCATCTTCCAACACAGGAGATGATTGTATGTATCTGCTGCTTATGTAAATCAGTAGAAAGAAAAAGAAAAAAATACAAACGCAAGAAATACAAATGTACCTAACCAACACAGTGGTAGGAATATACACTTAACTTGGTATGAGATGAATGCAGCTTCCCAAGAGGTTTCCCCCAAACGAACCTCAAATGCAGATATGTAAATGGACAAAATAGGGATACAGCTGAATGACTAAAAAACATAAGAATACATAGTACATAGTGAAGTACCGTCACAATAATAAAATATAAACTTCAATGATTGCACTCACAAAATAGTGATGGATAATACGCCTTTAAGCCCTCAAGGGCTGCAGTGGTATTCACCCTCCACGAATAGGTTGCTCTGTCTTCAAAGAAGTGGGAGTATGCCAGTGAAGTATAAAAAATTTTTTTTATTATTATTAAAAGGCACTAATAGGCCTATATCAAAAAATCAATAGTTAAAAGTATACAAATAATACTGCATCTAACGCGTTTCGTCCATACAAATTGGACTTCATCAGAGAGAATTTTTTGCAGTATACACAATATGTAAAATGCATGCTTTGTATACTTTTAACTATTGATTTTTTGATATAGGCCTATTAGTGCCTTTTAATAATAATAAAAAAAAATTTTTATACTTCACTGGCATACTCCCACTTCTTTGAAGACAGAGCAACCTATTCGTGGAGGGTGAATACCACTGCAGCCCTTGAGGGCTTATGTAAATCAGACTGATGTGTTCTAAATAAAATTTTAAAAAGATACATTAAGTGATTTAAAGGGACACTGTAGTCATCAAAACAACTTAAGACTAATGAAGCAATTTTGGTGCATAGATCATGCCTCTGAAGTCTCACTGCTCAATTCTCTGTCATTTAGCGGATAAATAAACGTTGTTACTGTTTATGCAGCATTAGCCACACCTCCCCTGGCTGTGATTAATACAGCCTGCATGAAAAAAATAGTTTTATTTTCAATAAGATTTTAACTTGCTTTAGAATTTTCTATCTCATGCTCTAAATTGAACTTTAAAGGGAAACTCCAGTGCCAGGAAAACAATACGTTTTCCTGGCACTACAGGTCCCCTCTCCCTCCCACCTCCCAATTCCCTGGTTGCTGAAGGGGTGAAAACCCCTTCAGTCACTTACCAGAGGCAGCGACATGTCCCACATCGCTGCTTCTTCCTCCGCCGCCGCTCCTCCTCTGCATTACGTCGGCCGGGAGACCTAATGCGCATGCGCGGCAAAGCCGCGCATGCGCATTAGAGCTCCCCATAGGAAAGCATTGGGGATCGAGAGCTGTTTGATAGGTATATTCAGTAAGGATGTCAGGAGGCCGCAGTAAGCGTGAGGCCTTAGGCAGCCGCCTAAGTCGCCTAATTAGAAAGCAGTGTATGTACACAGTTATGTATTATGCATACCAGAAACTGTTTCAGATACACATACACATATCTATTCATTCACAGACGCACACTCTCAGCACATACACAGTTACACAATACTAGACACAATGAAACATGCAGCAGTACTCACCTATCCCTGTTCTTCACTGCTTACTCACACCACTCTGATGAGACACACAAGCATTGCACCCAAGATGGTTCTGGATTCCTGGGCTTGATTCATGGAAATTAGCTGGACTTCACCAACAGTTAAAGACTGGTCACGTACTATTGGCCTATAAAACCTCAGTGCGGACTTCAGCAGTTGCTTGGTTGTTTCACAGGTTGCCTCCTGGCATATCTTGCATCTGTTCCTACTGTCATATTGTCCCACTATCCTATTTCTATCCCATACCCATGTGTGCCTCTCTTGGTTTATGACTCTTGTGTGCTCCTGGCTTCTCTTCTTCACTGCAAGGCCTGACCTACAGGCCTCCAGACTATGCCTTTGTCTTTCTCTTGTTGGATGCCTTGCTCTACAATAAAGTCCCCGTGCCACCACGGACCTATTCACCTCAAGGCCTCTTCTGAGGGTCGTGTTAGAAAGGGTGTCCTGTTCTTGCTTCTGAATTCCACAACTCCAACTAGACCTGGACAGGTCATCCCACACAGGCAAAAACACCTACTGCCAGCCACACACGGTTATTGTGCATCTGTATCTGTCAATGTGTGTCTCTCATTTTGTTTCTGTGTGACTTGTGTCCATTAACATGCTTCTCATGGAGAAGCATTGGGACACATGACACATGCACTGTATTTGTGCAAGCCAGCAAAAATGCTTCTCCATAAGAAACATTCACTTCCACTTTGAAGTACAGCTCAAATTGTTGCACAAAACACTCTTGGCTGCTTGTTTCACAGCTAGATTATAAAAGTGCCAATTTCTCCTGAAATGACATTGTTATAAGCATGCCGTTAAACCCTAAAGTGTTTCAGCAATCTTCAGTACTTTTTGAGAGTGGAGTGTTCCTTTAAAATACCAATAATATAATTTATTCATAGGATGGAAATGCCTAGAACAAGCACATTTCTAGCAAAAGGTTTATTTAGTCCTGTGCAGAAGAACAAAACAAACAAAACGTATACCTTAAGAACAGGTATCATTAGCAGCACTATGTATCCAGACATGGTAAGATAAAGTAGAACTCTCTTCTGTTGAGAAACTAATTTTCACAGTTAATATAGATAAATGCACTTCCATCTGGATTTTATTAATGATGTGTCATATCTCCCATTGACTTAACTTCCTCTCTACCATAAACACTTTACATGTTTTATACCTATATCTCCTTTCCTGCATACCCTACCATTCTCCATGTAAAGTGACTAGGACAATCCTTCTTCCTTTTCTCGCCTACTGTTTGTCATTAATCTTTATTTTCTTCTATATCCTGCATCAGATACATGCCCTTACTGAAAATCTTGGGGCTCTGTTTTGTGTTTTATTTCATGAAACCTTGATAGCTTAGTTTGATGTTATGAGCTACTACTTGTCATGAGCTTCCTTGATTGTTTGCCTGTTTGCTTTTCTTTTTATTCTTCAGGTGATAATATTAGGTGAAATCTCTATTACACATTCACATGATCTTTTTTTTTTTTTAATTCCTTATTTTTCTTGTGCATATGAAAAAACAAATAGCATAAAATCCTGTAGTGCCGCAGGCTTATTATGAACAGGAGATTGACATAGCATGCGAATAGACAGCACAATTTTGTATTATATTATCGAGCTAGTCATTAAAAGAGTATGTCAGTATAATAAACGCAGCTTTAAACAAAAGATTCCAGATAGTTCAAGAATATTCAGAGTAGGCATTGATATGAATAATTGCATATTTTGCAGAGGAGCAACAGGCTTAAACGGGTAGTAATGAGTTGTCAAGTGCCACAACAGTATCGGTCTACCCATTCATGCAGGGTTATCTGTGGCAAGAATGTTTGCCCCTCGTTAAATATTACCATGCCTAGTGGAACAAGCTGAGAAGCTTATTTGTAATACAGGTTTACAAGTATATCTTTCGAGGTTCTATAGCTAATGGAATCGATTATCAATAATGTTGTCCAACAGGCTGTATATCCACTGGAGGGGGACACACACCTCAGGCTATCCCCGACAGGAGTGGGCAATACTGCTTTGGGGACTAGATGCAGGCTTAAGTGGTTGAGGATGCTGCCCGCGTCTTTCCTCCCATGCCGCTGATGGCCATGTGGGAAGGGGTTGTTCTGCGTTAAGCAGTGTTGCCTTAAAGGTAAAAGAGAATTAATATAAACTCTACATGTGGGAACAGAGACCTGTAAACCAGTCGCCAAGATATAGTTCCAGTGGATTGAGCTGAGAGCGTTAACATCTTACTGATGGGCTTAATAAGTCAGGATTCTCTGCCCGTGGTACAGTAAGGATGATATCATTAATGATGGGTATTACTAGTATGGTAATTTAAGTAACCATGGGTCTCTGCCTGTCACTGCAGTACAGTCACCTTTAACTTGATTGAGCATTAGAAAGGCAACAAAACAATAAAATACAAGGCAACAGGCCAAAATAAAAATAAAACTTTCAGGCTCGTTTGCATCTAGTAAGTGTAGGAGGTTTAATGATCTCCATCTTATATGAGTCCTCCTCTGTTAGAACCCCAATAGTGGAAGTTGCCGAGGTGTGTTGACTTGTCTGTGCTGTCTCATCATCCGAGGCTCGCAAGGGTACGCCTGCAAACAGGTTCGTCGTGTCTTATGGCTGAGGTCCGCTCCTGCCTCCACCTGGTGACTTTTAGCAGGTTAATGCTGTGGGGTCTGGAAGGCACCACGCCGCTGGCCCCCGGTACCTCATAGGCCTGTTACCAGCGCCCTCCGCTTTGGCTCGTCATAACCAACAACGGAAGTCCTGGGGTAGGTGATGAGTCCAGGCATGGGGCCGTGGTGAGAGGGTTTACCTCAGAGGGCTCCATGCCCTGGGAAGGCAGCCGTGGGTACCAGCCCAGATCCGAGGTTAAGTGGGCTAGCGCTGCAGTCGCATGGATAAAGCCGCCTGCTGGTCAGTGATGTCACTTTGCCGCCATTTTGTTGCTCAGGCTCAGTGTACTCTGTGCTGGGTAGACCTGTGTGGGGCTGATGGTAGGCGGTAATACCCCCCCAGTGGGGTCCGGGATAACCCCCCCGGACCAAGGGGGGAAGTGGGGCCCGCAAGGCATTTTGCAAGGTCGCTGCACGGCTGTCTGGCTCACAAACAGGACGGCAGCCGTCCGTCCCGATCTTCACCTTCACAGGCCGCAGGCCCCAAAGCCTCATATCACCCACAGGGGCTCTGAAACTCCCGATCTCGGGGACTACAGCGCCACCGGCAGCTTTCTGGATACATGGGATACATGGAGGCATAGGTATTTTGCCCACGGAGAATAAATTGTGCAGGAGCCATTTCCACCTGCGACCGGTCAGCATGGCGGTTGGGCCCCGCCCCCTCTATTACACATTCAGACAACAGTTCTAATTCTCTGTTAAGGGTTGTAGTTAACTGACATGATTGATTTTTTGTTTGTTTTTTTCCCCACTGTCTTTTATTGTGAATATATTTCCATAGTTTTGTAAATTGTGTTAAGTGTGTTAACTTTGTGCACTTAAAGTCTTTTCATTTTGAATCACACTTCTTTTTCTTATACAACCATAACCTCATTCAACACTGATGAAATCAAAGCATTCCGGTGCCTGCACATATAATATCCTGGTATGGTATTTTGAGTTACTGGCCATGAGAATGAACTGTATGGACAGACATACAGTTTGTCTCTACCTATGCTGTTTCCAATTAACTTTGTGGATTTAATATGATGTGGGGTTTTATGCACACCCTTGAAGACTGGAGCACAGATTTCAGGCTGAAAGTTACCTCCTGTGTAAATCCTGGCCCTTGCGTATTGTAATATAATTGTAATTTTTAGGATTTCCCTAGTTAAGCGATAGTCACGCAATTAACGTGTGCTACTGAGCAACACTCTGGAAATAACAGTGAAAATAAACAGTGTTTATATCTGTGAGGTTTGGGATTTTTACAGTGTGGGGGGCAGTGTATGTGGTGGTCATCCGTGTGGGGGGCAGTATATGTGATGGGCAGGGTATGTGGGTGGCAGGGCAACGTGGGGGCAGGGTATGTGGGTGGCGGGGCACAGTGGTGTATCCTGGTTTTGTGCTGCCCTAGGCAGGACAAAACTCAGACGCCCCCGTCCCCCCGCGCCACCCCCACCTAACCCTTCCCCCCCGCCCACCTTCTAAATACATACACACACAGTCAGACACAAACACACACACAGTCAGACACACAAACACACACACACAGTCAGACACAAACACACACACAGTCAGACACACAAACACAGTCAGACACACACACACAGTCAGACACAAACACACAGTCAGACACAAACACACACAGTCAGACACAAACACACACACACAGTCAGACACAAACACACACACAGTCAGACACACAAACACACACACTCAGTCAGACACAAACACACAGTCGAAGACACACACACACACAAAGTCAGACACAAACACACACACACAGTCAGACACACACACACAGTCAGACGCACACACACACAGTCAGACACACACAATCACTCACATTAACACTTTTTTTTTATTATTATGTAACCCCCCCCCCAGCTTCCTTACCTTTGGGAATGCTGGGGGGTGGATCTCTATCTCCCTGGGGGTCCAGTGGCTGCTGGGTGGGCGGGCGGCTGGCGAGGGAGCTCTTCCTCTGAGCGGTCTGCTCAGCTCCCTCGCGCGCCGCAGAGTGAGGCTGGGAGCTGGGTTGATGACGTCATATTCCGGCTCCCAGCCTCACTCTGCGGCGCACGAGGGAGCTGAGCAGACCGCTCAGAGGAAGTGCTCCCTCGCCAGCCGTACAGCGGCCCGCATGTCAGTTAGCCGCAAAGCTAACAAGACATTTGCCCTGGGCATTTGGGGGCGGCGTTTTTTTGCCACCCCCTGAAAAATGCCGCCCAAGGCAAATGCCTTGTTTGCCTCGCGGCTAATACGTCCCTGGCGGGGCAGTGTATGTTGGGGCAGGGTATGTGTGTGGCAGGGTATGTGGGGAGCAGGGCTGTGTTGGGGCAGCGCAGTGTGGGAGGCAGGGCAGTGTATGTGGGTGGGCAGTGGGGGTGGGAGGCTAGTGTTGGGGCAGTGTGGATGGGGGGCAGTGAGGGTGGGAGGGGCAATGTTGGGGCAGTGTATGTAGGTGGAGTGAGATGGGAGGGACAGTGTATGTAGGTGGGCAGTGAGGGTGGGAGGCAGTGTTGGGACAGTGGGTGGGAGGGTAGTGTTGGGCAGTGAGGGCAGTGAGGTGTAGGGAGCAATGTTGGGGCAGTGTATGTAGGTGGGCAGTGAGGATGGGAGGCAGTGTATGTAGGTGGACAGTGAGGGTGGTGTTGGGGACGAGTGAGGTGGGAGGGGCTGTTGGGGCAGTGAGGGTAGGAAAGGCAGTTGGGGGACAGTGAGGTGGGAGGGCAGTTGGGAGGGCAGTGTGAGTGAGGGTGGGAGGGGGCAGTGTTGGGGCAGTGAGGGTGGGAAGGCAGTGTTGGGGCAGTGAGGGTGGGAAGGCAGTGTTGGGCAGTGAGGGTGGGAGGGCAGTGTTGGGGACAGTGTACCCTGTTTTGTAATAGAAGTCCCTGGTGGTCCAGTGGCAGCAGTCCCTGGTGGTCCGGTGGGATGACTTCCGCGGAGCTGCAGACCTTGTTCTCGCGAGCGCCTGTCAGAGCGTTGCCGTGGTAACTCGCGGCAACGCTCTGTAAGCCCGTGAGAACCACATTATGTGATCTGCAGCTCTGCACTCGGCGGAGCTGCAGATCAGAGGCTGGCTCTCCCTGTGGGCAGACCGTGTGGAGGGGCCACCCGGCGGCATACTGGGCAAGCCGCCGGGCCCCCTCTCATTGTCGGGTCCTCAGTCATTGACCGAGGACCCGACAGTTCAGTCTGCCCCAAGGCGATTTAGGCAGCCGCGAGGCCCCAGCAAGCGCGAGGCCCCAGCAAGCGCGAGGCCTTAAGCGGCTGCCTAAATCGCCTAATTAGAGAGCTGCCTCTGGACACGCACGTTCACTCACTAATAGATGCACACTGACAAATACAAGCACTCACTCATAGATACACACTCACTCATACTGACAGTCACACACACACATTCACTAACAGACACACACTCATTTACTAACAGACACACTCTAACAGACACATACACACACTCACAGACAGACACACACATTCCCTGACAGGCATACACACATTCACTCAGACATATAGTGATAGACACACAGACAGGCACACACATTCACTCACAGACACACACTGACAGACACACACACATTTACTCACAGACACCCTGATACTGACACACTCACACACATTGTCTAATACAAATTATATGTAATTAAATTCTAATCCACCCAGCCTCCCTACCTTTAGGACAGCTGGAGTTGATTCTTCCCTGGGGTCTAGTGGGGCCGGCTGCTGGTGGCTAGGCTGGCACCTGCTGCTGGGCAGGCAGGCATGAAGGCACAGGCAGGTGGGCCGGCAGTCAGTCAGCCAATGCGGGCTACGAGAAAGCACTGTACTCTGAGCTTTTCCTCCTCAGCCTCCTTGCGCACATGCTGGAATATGATGCCAGAGCACAGTGCTCCCCAGGGGCGGACTGACCACTCGGGCACATCGGTCATGGACCGAGGGCCCGAGACATCCAGGGGCCCGTCCGCACAGTCATGATCCAGCTGGAGAGATTAGTAACGGCAAAATAAAAATCAATTTCATTAACAGGTTGTGGGGCCCCTGATGGAGCGCAGGGCCCCATAACCTACCATTATGCACATAACCGCCCCTCATCCTCAAATGAGACCTGGCAGCTTCACCTCCTCTCCCTCTCTGCCAGGTCTCCTTCTTCCTGTCCCACGCGGCGCTCTGTGTGATGGGGAGAGGCGGGGCTAGGAAGTGACATCACTCCCTGTACTCTCCTCACACACAGAGCCCTCTCAAAGCGAGGGGAAGGAGCAGCAGCCGGAGAGACCAGAGGGAGCAGAGAGAGAGGTAGGCACTAATCACCCCCTCTCTCTGTCACTAGTCACCCCCTCCCTCCGTCACTAGTCACCCACTCTGTCACCAGTCACTCCCCCCCCCTGTCACTAGTCACCCCCTCCCTCCGTCACTAGTCACCCACTCTGTCACCAGTCACTCCCCCCCTCCCTCTGTCATTAGTCACCCCACCCTCCTTCTGTCACTGTGTCACCCCCTCCCTCCCTCTGTCACTAGTCACCCCCTCCCTCTGTCACTGTGTCACCCCCTGCCTCCCTCTGTCACTAGTCACCCACTCTGTCACCAGTCACTCCCCCCCTCCCTCTGTCACTAGTCACCTCCCACTGTGTCTCCCCCTCACTCTGCCTCACCCCTCCCGCACCTCTGCCACTGTGTCACCCTCCTCCCTCCTGTCACAAGTCACCCCCCTCCCTCTGTTACTGTCTTAGCACGTAATGCACCAGTCATGTCCCTCCCTCCCTCTGTCACTAGATCACTTACCCCCTCCCTCCGTCACTAGTCACCCCACTCTGTCACCCGGCCCAGTCACTTCCCCTCCCTCTGTCACTGAGTCACCCCTCCCTCAGGTCACTAGTCACCTCTGTCACCAGTCACTTCCCCCCCCTCCCTCTGTACTAGTCAGCCACCCTCCTTCTGTCCACTGGCGCCTCCTCCCTCTGTCACTGCCCTCCCTCTGTCACTGGTCACCCCCTCCCTCCGTCCTAGTCACCCCTCTGTCACCAGTCACTTCCCCCCTTCCCTCTGTCACCTAGTCAACCCTCCTTCTGTCACTGTGTCACCCCTCCCTCCCTCTGTCCTTGGTCACCCCCTCCCTCTGTCACCATGTCACCCCCTGCCTCCCTCTGTCACTAGTCACCCCTCTGTCACCAGTCACTCCCCCCTCCCTCTGTTGCTAGTCACCTCCCTGTGTCTCCCCTCACTCTGCCACCACTCACCCCCTCCCTCTGCCCACTGTGTCACCCCTCCCCTCCCTCTGTCACAGGTCACCCCTCCCTCTCTGTTACTGTCACCCACTTTGTCACCCAGTCATCCCCTCCTCACTCTGTCACTAGTCACCCTCCTCTCTGGTCACTAGTCACCACTCTGTCACCAGTCCTTCCCCTCCCTCTGTCACTAGTCACCCCCTCCCTCCGTCACTAGTCACCCACTCTGTCACCAGTCACTTCCCCCCTCCCTCTGTCACTAGTCAGCCCACCTCCTTCTGTCACTGTGTCACCCCTTCCCTCCTTCTGTCACTAGTCACCCCCTCTCTCTGTCACTAGTCACCCCCTCCCTCCGTCACTAGTCACCCTCTGTCACCAGTCACTTCCCCCCCCTCCCTCTGTCACTAGTCAATCCTTCTGTCACTGTGTCACCCCCTCCCTCTCTCTGTCACTAGTCACCCCCTCCCTCCCTCTGTCACTAGTCACCCACTCTGTCACCAGTCATCCCCTGCCTCACTCTGTCACCAGTCATCCCCTCACTCTGTCACCAGTCATCCCCTCACTCTGTCACCAGTCCCCCTCCCACTGTGTCTCCCCCTCACTCTGCCACCACTCACCCCCTCCCTCACTCTGCCACCAGGTACCCCCTCACTCTTCCACCTGTCACCACCTCCCACACTCTTCCACCTGTCACCCTTTCCCTTACACACTCTGCCACCAGTTACCCCCTCACTCTGCCACCTGTCACCACCACCCACACTCTTCCACCTGTCATCCTCTCCCTTACACACTCTGCCACCAGTTACCCCCTCACTCTGCCACCTGTCACCACCTCCCACACTCTTCCAACTGTCACCCTCTCCCTCACACACTCTGTCACCTGTCACATATGCTTTCACACTGACACTATATACAAAAAAGCACATGTAGTCATCCAGACTTGCATAAGTGCATTCACACAGACTCAAATACAAACATGCATTGATACACAGGTCTTCACAATATACACATCCAAAGGAATGCCGTATTATGAGAGTTATATTATTTATTAAATATATTTATTTAATGCACATATATTTGGCCTTCAAAGGGCCTGAGATCTAATTTTGCTCTCAGTCCGCCCCTGGTGCTCCCTCGCCGCTCCGCACTGTTAGCAGCTTAAACGCCTCTGGGGGGCCCTGAGGTGGCTAGTCGGCCAGCTCTTGGGTCCCCCATGAAAGAGGCTAACATGGCATCTGCCAGGGCGCTTGGGGGGGCGGCGTTTTTGCCGCCCAAGGCAAATGCCTTGTTAGCCTTGTTAAATATACAGCACTGGAACTATCCAGTTCAAAATTAAATCTACTTTCGAATTTACAGACCTTTACTTGATCATGGTTATAATGTGCCAATCCTCACAGCACAATAAGGCCAACATCCCAACACAAAATATCTCAAAGTAGTCATCCTTGACATTAAGCTACCCTCGAGCTGCAATACCCAAAGCAATTATAGGAGAGCACACTTATTTAATTTTATTAAATATTCATTTTATTAATATTAGGTCCTTCAGCGCTGAGTT